AGTCTGCTAGGCCATAGCTATCTCAAATAGTTAAGCTGATAAACGATGATGATTGTTTGAGATTATGAAAAATATTCCATATATAAGAGAACTAAAAGCACAACCATATATAAATATGCGGACAAACACTAAGTGGAAGCAAACGGGTATACTCACCATGAGTTAACTGTTACTGTACAATAACGAAAGCTAATAACTGTGAGGAAACAATCAGTAAGATATAGATCGTATTTCAAACTACATATTAGGCTAGCAATTCTTTAATTGGTGCTATATATGCATATACAGTTATATTTGCATGTTAATCATGATTAAAATGGTGGATACAGATATACAAATATTTATTTCACAATAAATGAAGATCACCTTATGGGGATTGTTTTACAGGTGTAGTTAAGTCCTGCTGAGTGATAAGAAAAATGAAAAATAGGTAAATTAAAAACAGACAAATACAAAAACGTTGTAGATTAAAATAGATGAGATTTCAACATATAGGAAATGCATAGTGTTAAATTCACGTTCATATTCATGTATTGGCTGAAACTGATATTATAAGTGCATTGTGCTAAGATTTCTGTTGTGTACGACTCAAGTAACAATTTTCGCTGTCTAATTGGTCACATTTTCCCCATATTGGTTGAATTACTTCAAATAAAATCACACAATGACACTATTCTAAACCAGATATTATTTCAAAGACTGAAGCACTCTTCAGATTTTGAAACAGTAGCTTAAGCAGCAATTCCATTAAAGTTGTGTACACTGTGAGTTAGTTGGTTAGAGGCAATCGACAAGAAGCCCTGTACCTACGTTTCATACTTGTTGGCACTCGTCAGTAAGGCGTATCTGAAACCTCAAGAGAACTGAGACTCGAATCTGCGTCATCCAGTGTTGCGGTCAGCCACCAAGCAACTAACACCCATCCGATTTCACCCCAGTGGTGGGTGGCCACATTATAAAATGATGGATATAATTCGATCACCAGTGGAACTAAGTTCTGAAACTGGTAAAAGTTTATAATATACAAATTTAATGTGTCTTCAAAACATTCTTCACAGAAGATCTTGATTATGACCTTTAAACATTCCCAAAATTTGTTAAGTGAGGAATGCGGAAAGAAATATTGGTAAACAGATTTAAAGAGGACATTAATGTATGTCGACTACATAAGTCTAAAGCGGATTTTCGGCGTATTTACAATAAATTTGACACAAAAAGACACATTACACAAGGTAATATAACATCATGAAGATAGAAGAAAAGAAGAGAGAGGAAGAATGACGGAGTTATTATTTATACATTACTTTTTAGTAATACAAAACACTGCTGTGTTAGATACTGAGTTGTATCTGGTAACATCTCGAGCAAGAATAACAGCTGCAGAACCCTCGGGACTACTAATATATTGTTGTCACGAGATGCCAGCAATTATTTGGAGATAAGGTGGATTGGATATACAGAGTTGCGAGACATCTTAAGCAGGGGGAGGACAGCTTTCACAGTTGTAAAGCAGAGCCACTTGACGACTGGGAATATTGTAAACCCCGTTTCTACAGCCAGACTATGGTAATGATGACGCCGGTGATACCATGTATTCCATCAATTCCTATAAATTAAATCACTAGAGTATACAACTACCCAAAATACATGAACACTCCAACTATTTCCAATAGTTTATTACCAAGAAAAGCGCGGACACACTTTCATGGCCATGCTACAAAAATAATTTGTACATGAATGAGCAGAGCGAAAACCACATTTATGGGAATTGATCACCAAGTGATTCAGTGCCATTTGAGTAGCTTTTATGTTGCTGTATAGTGACGCAAAATCACCCGTGCACTTACGGTCTAAAAGTTTTCCTTCTACTAGATCTTCCCCACAAAGCGGTCACATTACAGTTGTGGGAAAAATGTGAAATTAGGCAAACCTGCCTATCCCCACTCCTGATTTGGAACAACAGATAGAGGTGTTTACATATCTTTACATTGCCTAGTGTATTTTATATTTGACTTTCAGTAGTCAGTCTTCCTCTCCACTTAACTATATTGGACTTAAGTCTAGTTGCTTTATTCCACCTTATTGTATGGTTGTGTGTTGATGTAAGCATTGGAAAAATCGAGTTCTTTTCTAGATTATGAACTCTATCTTTTTGCACTTGGCTGAACTGCTAGGTTCAGAAAGTTTAACTGATCCCTATCGGCCAGTTTGATCTATGTTATTGACTTCACAGTCATCGCATGGTATTCGATAGTTTAAATTATTTTATCTAGTAGGGTCAATTGGATCCTTATTAGAAAAAAGTTCATCTTTGGGTGAGTTTACAGATCTAAATGCCACCTTATTTGCAGCGTTGTTGAGAACTCTACGTAAAGTTTTTGATGTTCATACCTGCTTTGGTAACACCACAGAAACCTTTAACTCATTTCCACTTTCCTTTATTACTCCTATTATCACATTGTTTCTTACATGTTCTTACGATTTTCTTGATAGACTCCAGAGTATGATTATTTAGTAGTGCTTTCTTTATTTGTTTCAATTCTCTGGTGAGTTTCCTAGCTCTATTATTTATAGATTTGACTAATTCCACTTTAACTGATATTCGATGGGATGACCGGAAGTCCAGATAACTAGCAATGTGTAGGTTGGCTGTAGCGAAACCATCATCTGTTCTTTTTCTTTCTTTCCAAGAAAGCTAATTATCCTTGTTCACTTTCTAACTCGCAAATGAACTGGATTGTACATGTAGCCGAGCTCATATGTGTGTAGAAACCATCTGTGTGTTCCGATTTCAACACAGTAAATATGTCATCTGCATATCTTGATCAAATCTTCCAAGTAAGATTAAATGTTCGTAAAGCAACCTATCCAATAAAGGTGTGAGCTACGACTGAGGATTTCAATGATCCAATTGCTACTGCTTCTGTTTGCCTATATATTCTGTTCAGAAACTTGAAGACTGTGTAGGTCAGACACAAATGTAATCCTGACATGATCTGATGAACCAATACCTTAGTTCTATCGGTAATTTCTGGGTTAATATTTGGCTGATTTCTAACTGCCTCCGGCAGTCTGGTCTGTTATATCAAAACTAATCATTTTTTCATTTTGTTCTATATGCAGGTCATTAGTTCTTAGTTTTAAATCGTGAGATTTGATTAATTTAGGATTTAAACGGTTTCCAAATTAACATAATATCGCTGCCAAGTTTGTATGTTTGAATATTTATGAAGTCAACTATTAGTGTAAATAGGGCAACCTGGTCTATGAACCTTGACAGTTGGATTATCGGAACATAGGAATTTAAGTGTAGAAAAATAAAGAGCACTAAGTGGAGAAGGAGACTGACTACTGAATCCTTGTTCGTCGAATCAACACCAAACACATGTAATAGAAATGACGCAATATCTATATGGAGGATGTGGAAAACTTTATTACCGAACAAAATGAAGAATATGAGAAGATAGGACTTTAAAACAAATCGGAAGTTGTGTGACTACTTTAATATGTTTATGAGCAATAATTTAAGCTTCAGACGTCATCAAGTGAATAATACTATATCACTGTGTGTTATATCAAATAAACAATTCGAATATGGAATTACATCCTACTTCAGCCTTTATACGTTTTATACGTAGAATAATGTTACATTTAGTTCTAGAGCCTAAACTGCACTAATCGACTAGATCTACACTTTGTCTACGTGCTGTTAGATTCGCTGGTTCAGTTACATTGGGAGATAACTGGCACGAGAAAATATTTCTTCATCTTTGCACGATATCCAACTGACTGCGGTAAGTAATAACAATTAAGTGTTTTTCCTGATAAAGTATAATCAACAGTTATCATACTACTTGCCAGGAGATTTAATGTACACGTTGAGCGTTAGGACTTGGAGCAACTGCATTGTGTGTTATATCAAATAAACAGTTTCAGTAAGTGTAAGTAACAGAGATACTCGAAAAACTAAATAAAAGTAGATAAAACACTGTTACGACTGTTAGGTGGGAAAGCCACTCGAAACAATAGAATTTTATATTGCATGTGCGTATCTGAAATGAAGCGTATAACAACTCAGAGGTTTTCTTGAGAGTATTAGCCAAACCACCGACTTCAGAGAAAACGTCATCATCAAACCTATCTGTTGTCTGATCTGAATCAAAGTTAGAATTTTGAAGTCGAGAAGCTTATATCGCACTGATATTGCATTGAAAGGCAGCTTCGTGAAAGCAATTGTTTAGTGATTTATTACGGAGATCACCAAGATCAGAACTTTAATTGGCAGTGAACATAAAGTGAAGGATATGAAAGACTGATCATAAAGTGTGAGACGTTGTATGATTAGTGAGGAAAAGGTCACGAATATGCTTCTGATCCTTCATCTGAGTATGTTATAACATGAATTGTAAGAGAATAGAGCTGTGGCCTGGCTGGCCATAAAGAAGTCTGACACATCAACAGTAACGATCATCCAAGTCAACTAAATGGTTACTTTCATTATTATCATCGGAAATTATTCCACATTAAATGTTCAAAACTTGTTTTTAAACAATTAAGCAGATGAAACAAAAAACATCTAAATTTTTCTTTATATTAGGTGTTCTGACAGAGCCTTAAAACATCAAAAGTGCAGAAATCCCTGATTTACAGAAGATTGATCAAATTCAGGAAAGTTTCCACGACATATTCACACTAGCTGAAGAACCATTACGACCACGTGGGATTAAATATCTGCATTAATCTATGCTTTGAGACTGCTCTACAATACCATTTTCGGTATCTAAGTCATGTAACTAAAATGAAGCATGATAATACCAAAATGCATTTAAAACAATCCTGAATAAAGAAAGTACAACTGGAGGTTTTGCAAATAACCTGTGATCAATTAATTTACTCGTGTTTTAGAATAACTGTTTTAAAATCAATGATAATTTATCTTTTTCAATTTAAGCAAAGCAATCATTATGATGCGTAAACCTTACAGAGGATATAACACTTACAGACTGAGTTTTCGTCAAGGCTCGAATCTGGTTTGAAGAGGCGTTCTGATTAAGACCACTTGGTAGATTATTTGAATCAGAAGTCAGATGAGATGAATTGTTGGGGATCATATTTGTTGAGGAGTCTCTACAATGGCCATCACTACCATATGTTGGGGAAACGCCGTATTTCTCTTCCACCACAGATTTAAACTTTGCTATTCGTTCAGCTTCTGTTAAAGGTGGTTCACCTGGATTAGAAGTGAGATCCAAGAAGGCAGCACCTGTAATCTGTGGGCCCATGTGTGAAATATGACGAAAGTCTGAGGGAGCAGAAATAAGATGTGACATACGAGATGATGTACTGTTTGAAGAATTTGCTGGCAATAATGATGGTCCAGATGAAGCAACATTTCGATATTGTGAATTAGAGCGAGAATTCCGTGATCTTTCAGGACTAACTCCATGACCAGTACGCGGTAAACCATCTTCCACAAGTGAGTAAAGATTGAAACGACTGGATTTCTATGGAAGGAAAGTATGCAATTCTTTCATTATCACGTTTTATAAATACAGTTTATTAATGGGAAAGTAACAGAATTGAAAACGTGGATCGTAAGTAAGTATCGAAATGAACTCAGCAAAGTGCACATTATTGCAGTAGGCGACGAGCCACACCTATTGAGTGAGGGCCAATGGTACTACCTGTCTTTCCAATCCTCAGTAGGTGGAGTGGAGTTCGGACCCATGACCCAGTGGTCGAAAGTCGTCTACTTAAACCAATGAGCCACAGCTCCTCTAAGTAGGTAAGAAGTATGTCTGATATTCGATTTAACGTCTAAATATATGGGAGACAAGTTGAATTCAACAACAAAATTTAGTTAGTAGCAGTATGACGCCCATCACACAACTTCATTTGTGGCACTGTGGCTCAATGATTTACGTAGTTGACTTTCAACGCCGCCCCACCTACCATGGTTTGAGTGACCAAGTAGTATCATTGATCCTCACACAATAGATGCAGCTAATGGCCTACTACGTGAAAATGCAAAAGGGTGCTGAGTGTTTCGTTCGTTTTTTTTCTCAACTTCAAACTAGTAGTAACATTTAGTGAAATCACAGAGATGACCAAAGACTAAATCTGAAGACCATTCATCAATCCAAGTGGAAAGGTGTATGAAAATCTTGGTTGTATTGTGTTCTCTGAGCTGGGTTGTTGAATCATGGAGCTTTCATAGCCTTTCTGGACGACATCATCAGCAATAACTTCAGTATAAAGTGAGATGTCATTATCTCTCTAAGTGACTTAGTAGCTTGTCCTGACGAACTGGTTTGTGATTGGTTGTTCCCTTCGATTGTTGTGTCATTGACTGTATAGACTTTCCTGTTGGCTGTTCCTCTGCCTGACCTCTGACCTTTCTGTCGTTTATCACTTTTCTCATTGGTTGACAGATTGGGTCTATATCTATACGTCTATTAACTGGTAATTGACCTGAATACCGAGCTCCCAGGAATTCTCTGGTATTCTTTGTTTCCTCTGTCCAAAATGTCTACATTGTCAAAGTTGAATTCATGTCCATAATTATCCACGTGCAGTGAAATGAGTGATGAAATATCGTGATGTTTAATAGTCAATTGGTATTCATGTGAACGACGGTGAAGAGGGCGACCACTTTGTCCAATGTAGTGTTGACCAACAGTTGATTTTGTATGTGATATTCAGCTTTTCTTCTTTGGCTGTTGCGTCCTTTGGTCTGCACAACAGGGTTTAGAGGGAATTTGTTGGTTTATGGGCCACACCAATTCCAAATGTTCTCAGTAATCTTGTCATGATTACTGATATATTCTTTATGTGCCGTAAAATGATAGGTTTATTGATTTCTGTCTATGGTTTTGTAGTTTATGATGTACGGGACAGGCATCTTCTGATAAAGTTTCGTGCATAGCCGTTCTTCTTTAGGATAGACATCAAATAATCTTCTTCGTACTGCAGTGTGTTCTGGCTGTTTTGAATGGAGTCTGCATGCAACTAATTATGTGCGTTATTAGGTTGTTGCTACTGTAGTTGAGGATTTGATCAGTGTGTGTTGGCTTCCTGTACACTTGGGTTTCCAGTTTTCCGGCATTTGCCCTACTGATTGAAACATCCAGGAATGGAAGTTGGTCGTTTGACTCCATTGTGAATCTGATGTCATTGAAAACGCTGTTGATCAAACTGTGAATGTTTTCCAAGTCATCCTTTGTAATTATGACAAAAGTATCGCCTACATGGCAATCCAAATTTTTGATTTGACAAACATAAAATGATGGCTTCCAGTCTCTGCATCACTGCTTCTGCAGGAAAATCCTTCGCCTATTGTAGAAGGAAGTAACGAAGAAGAAGCAAGACAAGGAATGGATCTCGACGCACACATGGAAGCTGATAGAGAAGGGAGAGGAAGATGGTGAAGCAGAAGATAAACCACTGCAATCCAGTGCAGGGATGAACAAGGAAAAGAGGAACTGAGTACAACCTATAAAACACTGGACAAAGGAGGGAAGCAGAGTGTGAGGAAAGACAAAAGACACTTCTACGACACATTGGTAAGTGAAGAAGAACAGGCTGCTGGTAGGAGAGACCTCACAACACTATGTCAAATAGTCAAAATACTATCTGGAAGGGAAGAGATCAACGCAGATGAAACCAACAAGAGATAATGAAGGAAACCAACTTACCAAAGAGGAGAAACAAAGGAAACAATTGGCTGACCACTTCAAAAACTCTTGAATCGACCACCACCACCTGCAACTCGTCCAGGAATACCACCAGCAGACCAGCCACAGGATCAACAGTGAACACACGCCCTCCAACAAAAGCAGAAGTGAAATCCTGAACGCCATAAAAATGCTGAAATCCGGGAAAGCAGCAGGACCAGATGGAATTTCGTCAGAACCACTGAATACAGATGTAGAGACAACAGCAGTGGACATGCTCTTACCACTACTATACAAGATTTGGAAGGATGGAAAGGTACCTGCCGATCGATTGGAAGAAGGGCTACCTTGTCAAATTCCCAAACAAGCAAGACCTAAGTCTTTGCAAGAACTGGCGCGGAATCATGCTGCTGTCCCTGTCCTCACCAAGCAAAATCTTAAGCCACATCAACCTGGAGAGACTAAACGATGCGCTGGATTCACAGTTACGACGCCATTCAACAGCTATGTGAAAACGCCACAAGCCAAGTAATTCACAATGGAAAGCTTAGTGACCCCGTTAAAGTGAAGATGGGAGTAAGACAATACTGCCACCTAATATCATCATCGATCATCTTCCTGATTGTGGTCGACTCGACTAGACTGGGTCATGCAACAAACCATGAGAAGCGAGAAGATTTGGATTTAGCCGATCATCATTTATGTCTAATGTCGCACAAACTCGAAGGTCTACAGGTGAAAACTAACAAGTTGACAGAAGAAGCAGGGCAGCGAAGGAAGACGGGACTTCAAGTGAATGTAGACAAGACAAAGGTGATGACGATACACAACCAACAACAAGCATCAATCACCACTAACAGGAGATACCTAAAGGAAGTACTCTCTTTCACCTACCTACCTACCTACCTACCAACCTACCTACCTACCTACCTACCTACCTACCTACCTACCTACCTACCTACCTACCTACCTACCTACCTACCTACCTACCTACCTACCTACCTACCTACCTAGGCAAGGAAACATCGTTTCAACTGCAGGTGGCACACACACACACACAGATGAGGACGTCAAAACCAGGGTCGAAAAAACAGCAAGACAAGCCTCACTTCATTAATCTCAAATCAGTGTGGAGATCTACTGCACTCCACTGCACTCAGTATAAAGCGTGAACAACATCCGGATTCTCAACACTAATTCAGTCAAGTCAGTGCATCCATGTGGTGGTTCAGAGACTTGGCGCGTTACGAAAAGCATTTCCAACAAACTGCAGATATACATGAACAGCTGCCGCTTACATTCACTGAAGATCAGATGGTTAGAATAATAAGAATAAACAACAAGGAACTCACTCTGGTCTAACAACGAACCAACCAAGAACCCATCGACCAACAAACATGCAGTAGAAGAAAGTGGAGATGGATTGGACTGGACATACACTAAGAAAACTATTCGGGGACATCACGTGTCAGGCCAGACCAGGCCGTGGAGTGGAATCCAAGTGGGAAACGACGAGTTGGACGTCCGAGGTGAGGGTGACATGGAGGAGATGGTGTGAGGAAGAAATGGAAGCTTGTGGGTAGTGGTGGAGCCAGGTTGAGTAGACTGGAGAGAAGAGAGTGAAACTTAGACGTGCTACTGAAGCCCTATGGAACCTAAGGGACAAATGATTATAATAATAATTGTAGAATTACTCGTTTAGTTCTACATTACTTTCGTTTGTCCAATATAACACAAAGTGTTGATTTGTTATTCGCTTGGTGTTTGAGATGATTCGTTGTTGATAACAAAATCAAAAAGTGAGAATGAGGTGTGTATAAAAGGGGACTATGGGAAAAAGAAATATCCAATTGCAAACTGAAAAAAAGAAGACAATGAACAGAAAAGTAACTAATCTCATGTTCAACCAGTCAGAAGAAAGTTTATCGATCAAGTCCACAATCTGATCACTAAACATAATGGTTTGTGCTCTAAAAATAAGAAATAAATGAACCTAGACTAATGTTTGTTGGTTTTCGTATTGTAAAACGTATCTACAGTAGTGACGAGAATGGCACAACTTACAAGACTGAGACAATATATGATGCTAAAATATTTCGTTCTGGAACCTAATAGCGGTAGTAACTACTTGAGAACAAGTACAGCACACAATCTATTACATAAATTCACATGCGTTTACTAAATATATTATCTGCACTTGCTTTTTAGATTTCCAATATCAAAATTTTTTTTTCCAGCAATATAAATAGTTTATTTGGAAGTGAACATCTGTTCCCGGTATGACAGGAATCAGTAGTTGAGGAATCTTAGTGACATGGTTGAAAATCGTCACAGTGGCGCAAACGTATTCACTCTTTGATCTCTTCTAAGATTAAATGTTTGCATCAACCTGAATCTCAAAATTGCTTATTCTCTTACCCAACTTTGTCTACCTTGATATCACATTTTTTCTATCCACTTGTTCTTCGTATACTACTGTGAAGTGTGGTAACTAAGGCCGATGCATTTGTGTGCAAGGTTCCACGTTGATGTTGCCTGTTTGTCTGAAAATCTGTATTACAGTCGTTAAAAAATGCAAATCCACCAAGTAAAACATCCTAACTATGTTAATTAATAAGGAACATTGATCTAAATATGAAAATGGATATGAAATCATCAAGAATATCTGAGATAAGTCGATACTTACACGCATGCGCCCTGTAACACCAAATATACTGGACTGAGGCATTTGTAATCGCCTGCTACGTAGAGCGGAAACCTGTTGTTTTGAGGATTCTTTACAGTCATACGTTTGTGGTAAATGAATCAATCGCAAAGGTTGTTGCTGTTGTTGTCCTGAAATCAGATCACTTGGTGAAATACATGGTGCAACAGGTGAAGAATTACCCAGTAAATTGTTACCTGGGCTATCCGCATTACCGTTGTATGCAGATTTACGAGATGACGGACTTGATGCAGACAACGATGACAGATGTACAAGACATAAATGAGCATCCATATTCAGTGGTTGAACGCGGCAAGAGCTAAGTGTAGATACCCAACAACCAGAGATTGCATTGAAAACAACTAATCCAGCCTCCGTAAATACATATAAATAAGGATAGGAAAAGCTGATGGCAGAACCAGAGATCAGTTTAGCAGGCCACATGAGATTATCAGGTCGTGTTCTTTTACGATTTGTATTCATATAAACGCCACAATCTATACATAACAAAAGAAAATTAAACAAACAAACGCAACATCATGGTTAATAGTAATGTAGCAAAGACAGAATAGATTGAAGATAAAGCCAATTTTTGATACTTACTTTCGAATGCCAAGAGAAATTCATCTTCACCCAACTGAACAGCAAAATATGCATCTGATGGTGACTGTTGAAAAAATATCAGGCTGGAGTCCAGATCAATCAGATCTCCACGCAATAAAACTATGAGGAAGATTTAGAAAACGATGGATAAAATTAAAATGGGGTAGAAACAAAGAATATACCAAGAAACTTGATTAGACATCATGCATACAATTCTAATTTCCAAATAAAAAATTAATTTACACTATTTAGTACAGATAAGAAGAGATGTACAGCTCAAAGCAATATACAAAATAGTAGAACTAAACCTTAGTGACGACGAATCATGTATACACTGACCAATAGGAATCAGGAATATGAAGGACAAAGTAATTATTCCGGAAAATAGTACTTCGTTTACGATTTATAGATTTTTTTCGCATGAGAAATAAAGATAACAAGATTTTCAATAGGTTTATGATCATTGGAACCATACCATCATCTATTTTGCCAGCCAACCATATGAGATTATACCATTTCCCGTCGTGATTCTTTTCAAGATCTTAAGAGCTTTCTAAGACGATTTCATATATTTTCAAAGTGCTTTTTGTAAACAATAGCTTGATGAAGTGACTCATTTATGGTAGACGCATATGCGACTTTCAAGCATCTGTGCATATTGTGGAATCCAATGCCACGCATTTTCCTATACCTTCTAGGATAGATTTTTTCATCTATCTTTTATCCACTGAAAACGTCCTTTCTTCGTATTTCAGGCAAATACACCAAGAAATATGTATGTAAATTATCCTGTCTCCTTTAAGAAATCATCTTTCTACATTATGTTTAAATCTCCGAAAGAGAGATTTATTTGTCTCAACCACAATACCTACTTCACCAAACTTCATATCTAACCCGTAAAGTAATCTTCGTTATATTATATCAGTCTACGCAGTGTAAACAACACTGTAAATGGACGTATCGAGTGACCTTGAATACAGCAGCCATACACTTATTCGTTGTCTTTAAGGTGTTCCGTCACTAAAGTTTAGTTCCACCGAAAACATTATTATGATGGAGTCGTTTACTTACCTTGAGGTGGTCCATCATTCCATATACTATATAGAGCAAAATAATTAGATGATCCAACACATATCCAATCCCCATCTCGAACAAAATTGATAGACTGAACAATATAAGGACAGGAAATTTCTCTTAAACGTTTATGCCTTCCTTGTACACGTGCAATTTCGAAGATAAATAATGAACGATTACTTGCGACACAAATTAAACAAACTGTGTTATTTCGACTCATTGAACATGTGAATCGAGTACATAATTTGGGTTCAGTAATCTTTATCGGTTTCAAATTCATTCCTTCAAATGCTCCAACCAGTATTAATTTTAGAAATCGTTGTTTGCCTAAAATAGAAATTCAAAGATGAACAATGAAGAATTAATGATTTATTATCCAAGCTGAAGCACAGCTAAACGTTTGTGTTGAAAATTTACACCAGATTGGTAAATTTATCGTGTCGAATTAAAATTCGAAAGAAGAAATCCACTCAGCAACATAGTGCATGTGGTACTGAGTTACACCTATCATATGACGGCTAGTTATACCACCTGGCTGCCTAAACCTTGGTAGGTGGTGTTCAAACCCGTGACCCACTAGATGAAAGTCAACTTCCTAAACCAATGAGTGAAAACTCTACAAAACATGACGATGGGTTAAAATTAAGACTGAAACACTTTCAAAATTGTTTGAATGATTGGTTGATTGACTTGTGATACACAATGTGGGCTTAGAATTACGCACCTATTTTTTTTTTATCATATCATCTATCACAAAGTGGAAATGAAGAAAAGATAAAGTAATTAGGTTCATTGTAAAACATGTATTAAGAATGTACTATAATGAACTTTACGCTTAAATGGTTAACAATAACGAAGTGTAGAGTGAAAATTAACTGTAGACAATAAAAACAAGTAAACTGTCAGATTAGAAAGTTAGTGTCATTCAAAGCAATGTAATTAACCACTAGGCAGAAAAACATGCACCCTACTTAATTCACTCTGAAAATGCACAAACAATTACAATATTGATTTCCATTTGTCACAGAATAAAAATTTTCAACCTTTAATAATAAATTTTATGCAACATCTAAGATAATGAAAATTATCTTTGAATATAATAAAACATTAACATGACTACATGAAGTTGCACAGATTTATTTCACAGGATGCACTTAGTAAGGTTGTGCACATTCGTACAGTAGGCAATAAGCCACGCATAACGTGTGAGGGCCAATGATACTATCTGGATGCCAAAACCTCGGTAGATGGAGCGTTTAGAACGCATGACACATTATTTGAAAGTCGTCTGCGTAAACCAATGAGCCACACATACACATCTACCAAGAGGATAAAACTCAGATCTATTGTGAACGTATAATAAACATTCGAACCAGTGACAACTGAATTAGATCCGGGTGCGGATGTATTGATCAAATGTTCACACTGCGCCAGGTTCTGGAACACAGACACGCTTACCGACGCCCTTCAAAAGCTGCATTTGTCGACATGAAGGCGGCATTCGACTTCGTTCTTCAAGAAGTCTTATGGCAATGTCTCTCATTGAAAGGCGTGTCGAGTAAGTACATCACCGTATTGAAAGCTCTCCACTCGAACACCTGTGGGCGTGTTAGAGCCTATGGTCAGATGTCCGGGGAGCTGTGCTCATCGAGTGCCGTCCATCAAGGGTGCCCACTCTCTCCATTCTTATTCAACTTTATCATAGATATTCTTATAGAGGTCTCCCTCTCGTCACCTGATTACACAGACGTTGACCTAATCGCCAGAGAATTTTCGTTAGACCTAGAATACGCAGATTACAGTCCTGTTAGGTTAGGTGAAGATGCTGAAAAGATGCAGAGTCTTCTGGACACTTTGAGTGGAAATTTGGGAGGCGTTTCTCACCAACCAAATGCAAATTGTTGCTCCACGAGATTGGTCTTCAACGTTGCCCCAACGCAGCTAACAATAGACAGTGTAGTGATTGAGTGTGTCGACCACTTCACTTCACTTACTACCTGAGAAGTAGGATCAAACCCCACCCTGGTGGCTCAGTGGTCGATGAAATCTCTGCACCAATACAAGAAGCTCGACTGGCTGGCTTTCGCCAACCTACGCCACGTATGGCGCCTCCGAGATATCCGATTGTCTATTAAGGGTGGCGTGTACTACACACCAGTCCGCGCTCTGTTCTACTCTATGAATGTGAATGAAACATGGCCATAGAAGGTGGAAGACGTGAGAAGGCTTCAGGTGTCTGACCACCACTACCTTATCAGTATGGGCTGTGTTTCGTGGTGTCGCCACATGAGTAACGCAGAAGTAAGGCTCAGGTGTAGAGTTTTAGGGAGAAGAGGTAAGTCATTTGACGAGGTTATGAACCTTCATCGACTGAGATGGCTGGTCAGGCAGGACATGTGTTGCGTGTGCCTAGTCCTTATCTGCTTCATCACACAGAGTTGGCGGAAGTAGGTTCAAGCTGGAAAGGGGGTCGAGATGGTCAGACTAAAACATGGCACCATTGTATGAAGTCTCTGACTGTTGGTTTGAGCCGTGTGGGGCGATGTGGACTAGCCAGTTAGGGTCGGCGGGACAAGAGGAACCAGTGGTTGGAGACTCTAGGTGATATGGCTGAGAACTGATGTCAGTGGCGTAGATGTATACACACATTGTCCTCATCTTAACGACACTCTACCGAATCTCACCATTTTCTCATTCTTCCCTTCTTCTCTTTTTAAGTATTTTATATTTCTTCTGACTGAATTTTCTTATCTTCATCTTCCACTGCACTGCTTTTTTACTTGGTGCACTGATATGAGGTGTGGCAACTCGGACTGTTACGCAGTAATGCCTGGTCTTGTGTTGATTTGGATAGATGGATGAGGTGACAATTGAAAGTTAGAACTAAGGATATATGATATTCGGTAATATTGAGTAATAAAGTTACTGTCGTGTGTCATCCTTGAAATGAATGAAATGCGCTCAGAAACCATGTGTTTATCCATGCAATAGGCAATAAGTCACACAAACAGTATAAAGGATAATAATACTGCCTAGCTGTCCAAACTTCCGTAGGCGGGGCGGGGCTCGGAGCCGCGAGCCAGTAGTTGAAAGTAATCTTCCTGGGCCATTGAGCCACAGCTCCTGTACCATCTACAGTAGAATACCAATACCTATATTATGGTGTTTTGACAGTAACAAACGTTTGTACGTACATAGAAAGTCAGTGAAAGATGATTTTGGAATGAGACTATCTATATTAAGCGATAAAAAACCTTCATTCCAGTTTGTACAAGTTAGTTATGTGACTGTTTGACAAAATTTTAGAAAAGGCAGAAGAGAAAAGTCTCTTGCATATGTTTGGATAACATCACTTTGTAATAGAAAGAAAAAAAACCAATTTAAGATTCGGCATTGTGAAGGAGCTACAGAGATATTATGGAAACTGATACTTTTTATGAAACTAAAAATGACCGACTAAAAAATACGAATATTCTGAAGGAAATCAAGCGCCGGACCTAAATCAATCGCTTTACGAATACATCCTAACAAAATCTAAGCGTGTTTCAACTGTCTAAGAATGCTGGGATGATACTAAGATGTATCCTTACAAAAGAAACTACATATGGTTCCACTGTATACCCTTCGGTTCTTTGTAGAACTGGAATCAGTACGGAAATGTCATAAAATACACATTTAGCATAACAAAAACTGGCAAAAGAAGAATTATTTTTATAAGATAGATGGGTATGCAGTTTATCCAGTAGACGACTGGAGAACACAAAAACGTCTGAGACCTTGTAGATGGGAAAATAACTGGTACCTGAAAACGAATAGTTAAAAATATAAAGTAAATAAGGCCAGTAAGTATGACATGCATTTTGCGGAGTACACCTTTTGAAGTAATACATTATACTTTTAAAAAAAATATAAATGAAGGTATACATCGTAGAGTCATTCATAACACTAACACACAAAGGAAAAAATGATTTGTATTCATGGGTAGAGATCATTATTTGAGAAGTAACCAGTGATATGAGCGTCTGTAGATATGTTCAGAGGCAGTTTTGCAAGATAACGAATTCATATTAAAGGAATCATAGAGATTATTTACAATAGCACATTAGTAATAATTGTAATAAAAGTACAATGCTAACCTTGGATAGCGACAACAAGTTGCAGTTCTTCAGCTAATGCTTCAACTTGAAACACGGGTTTACGTCCACCTACGCGCATGTTCACTGAAACAAGAATGTAGTGAGCTATACAGTTATAGATTATTACTGGAAATATTATTTTTTATATACTTGTGCTAGTATGCAATAGAATTCAAGGTTCATTCAGATGCATTATTGCACCATAATGCAGAGTTCATGTATGCTGAAATCACCAGGTTAAGGCAAGATAGTCGATGAGGTTGTGAATCTTCAGTAACTGACATGACTTCGATATGTGCTCGGGTATGCCGAACCACCACCTACCTTGATGTGTGATGTTAGCTGAAGAAAGATCAGATAAGAAGACCATGTGTATAGGGGTTAAACTTGGGCACTGTGGTAGATCGTAATTCCTTTTCAGTCTGTTTATAAGAAATGTCACACAGTGAAAAAGTATCACTTACTTGATAATGTTTCGGACATGACTTGTTGTGTACATTCATATTACGTAACTCTACAACTTTGAGACAGTTTATATGGTTCTAATCTTATATAAACTTAAATATTCATATAAATCCAATATAAACGCCGTCTCAAAGTTCTAGAGTTACTTGTTACGAATGAATATAGACAAAAAAATATGTCAGAAACGTTACTCAGTAAATGATACTGTTCCACTGTGACATTTCTAACAAACAGACTAAAACAGTAAGTTGTAGTCAGACGAAGACATGGCGACTGTGCACGAAGTCTCTGACTATTGGTCTGGAACGTGTAAGGAGGCACAAATTACCTGGCTGGCGTCCTCGAAACGATTGGAACTAGAGGTTGGCGACATGACTGAAAATTAGTGCAGACATGTTCACTCTTTGACGTCTTCCAAAGCTTTAATGTTTTGATTAACCTATATTTTTAAATTCCTTCACCTGAAATGCACTTTTCTGTACGTTGATATCAGTCGTCTTCCATGCACGTTGTTATGAAGTTATAACTTGAAACGAAGTACCTCTTGTGTGATTTTCTGCATTGATTTTGTCTGTCTTTCTAACTACGCTTAAATGTCTGTCTAATCAAAATCATTTTTACGCTTAATTAATACATTTCTTCCTAAACCAGGTAACCGGTACGGAAAACATTCAATAACCTATTAAATCTCAGCACAGATATTGGGTATGTAGTTATCATTTTATACTGAAAGTACACAAGAAACCAATAAAAGCTGCCAAAACAGAGCGTCAAAAAATTTTTCACCTTTTTAAGATTACAAGGAATTACTTTTAGACTTCATTAAAATGAAAACCTCGCCTGCTTAACTAGTTCACTAGTTACTAGCCAGTCCTAAGCCCTGATAAATGGGAAAGGTTCGGAATAGGGTTGGCGAACCTACCCCAGAATACAAATCCAATCGCTAAAAAAATTTCCAAGCATAAAGAAAATATTAAACATAAACTTATTCACTGCTGGAATCGGAGAGACGAAATGACGCCAGTTGGTGAAAGCCTTTGCGAAGCCATTAGGGTGATGCGTCTTCTTTCGATGAAAATGAAAGTAAGAATGGGGACATGGAATGTTCGAACCATGCATAAACCTAGTGAGACTGCCCACATTGCAAAAGAGATGAGACGGTATGGCAGAGAAGTCATTGCAATCTGCGAAAAAAGAGAGGAAGGAAGTGGACTCTCCAAACTGTCAACTCCAGAGTCAATAATCTACTCCGATTTTGTCACCCAAACGACACGACAACCACAAACACACTCAGTTCTCGAGTGGCTATCATGATGTCCCCCTCCTAACAGCATCAAAGGCTCTCATGCAGTGGGAACCAATCTCCTCAACCATTAGGATCATGACAGCAAGATTCAACTCAAAAGGAAGGAAAGTCACAACCATACAATGCTATGCTATGCACTTACAAACAACACAGATAAAGAGAAGAAGGAGGAATTCTACAGACAACTGCAATCACTACTGGACAAGACCACACCCCAGATGGCGACATCAAAATTTTAATGCGTGGGGTGATATGAATGCCAAAGTGGGAGCAGACAACACAGGAAGACAACCAATCATGGGTCGAGAAGCACTCGGTGAAATGAGGAATGAGAATGGAGAACTGTTTACAGATTTCTGCGCATTCAACGACTTGGTGATTGGAGGCACTGGGTACATCCACAAGGGTATTCACAAATCAACATAGATCTGATTTCACCAGATGAACAGGCTACACTAAGAATCAGATTGACTTCATCTCAACCTGAAGAAAGAGGAGATGGAGACTCAGTCAGCCTACTGGACACAAGATCAGATCAAAATAAAGGGGGGGGGAGCAGATGTAGGTTCACACCACTCACCATCTAGTGCAACGAACCTAACTTCAAAATCAAGTTGAAAGCCTTCACAGAAGTTGGTGATTAGAGACCACAGTTAGAGTTCAAGTTCAACAAGAAGAACAGAGACTGAAGGACGAAACTACAAGGAACATCTTCACTTCAGTCAGCCATCAGGACAGAATGGGAGACATTAGGCAACATCCCCATCCCCGAGAAAACCTGCATGGAAGAATACTGGAACTCTTTGAAAGCTATGTGGAAAGAAATCTACATAACCTTGTTAGGAGAGAAGAAGAAACAAGGCAAGACGCGACAAGACAAGACAAGGAATGGATCTCTATGGACACATGGAAGCTGATAGAGAAGGGAGAGGAAGATGGTGATGCAGGAGATGATAAATCAGTGCAATGCAGTGCAGTGCAGGGATGAACAAGTAAAGGAGGAACTGAGTACAACCTATAAAACACTGGACAAAGGAGGGAAGCAGAGTGTGAGGAAAGACAAAAGACACTTCTACGACACATTGGCAAGTGAAGAAGAACAGACTGCAGGTAGGAGAAACCTGACAACATTATATCATATAACCAAGTTACTATCTGGAAGGGAAGAGAGCAAGTCAGACGAAAGCAATGAAAGATAGTGAAGCCACAAAAATGCTGAAATCCGGGAAAGCAGGAGAACTGGATGGAATTCCGCCAGAAGCATTGAAAAAGACTCAGAGACAACAGCGGACATGCTCGCATCATTATTGCAGAAGGTCTGGAAGGAAGGAAAGGTACCTGCCGATCGATTGGAAGAAGGGCTACTTTGTCAAACTCCCGAACAAGCGAGGACTAAGTCTTTGCAAGGACAAAAACTGGCGTGGAATCATGCTTCTGTTCCTCTCCACCCCAAGCAAAATATTGAGCCACATCATCCTGGAGAGACTAAGCAGTGCTCTGAATTCACAGTTACGACAGGAACAGGCTTGCTGGCTTCAGGAAGAACAAATCGTGAGCCGGTCAAATTGCAACGCTACGCTATGCATCATCATAGAACAGAGTATAGAACGACAGTCAACTCTCTACCCTAAATCAACTTCATCGACTTTGGAACGGCCTTCGACAGCGTCAACCAAGAAGTAAGTTGGCAGGCAGCAGCTTCAACACTACGGCTTTAGTGCCACAAACCTTTATCAATCTCATTCAACAGCAATATGCTATATGATGCCACATGCCAAGTAATTCACAATGGAAAGCTTAGTGACCCCGTTAAAGTGAAGATGGGAGTAAGACAATACTGCCACCTAATATCATCATCGATCATCTTCCTGATTGTGGTCGACTCGACTAGACTGGGTCATGCAACAAACCATGAGAAGCGAGAAGATTTGGATTTAGCCGATCATCATTTATGTCTAATGTCGCACAAACTCGAAGGTCTACAGGTGAAAACTAACAAGTTGACAGAAGAAGCAGGGCAGCGAAGGAAGACGGGACTTCAAGTGAATGTAGACAAGACAAAGGTGATGACGATACACAACCAACAACAAGCATCAATCACCACTAACAGGAGATACCTAAAGGAAGTACTCTCTTTCACCTACCTACCTACCTACCAACCAACCTACCTACCTACCTACCTACCTACCTACCTACCTACCTAGGCAAGGAAACATCGTTTCAACTGCAGGTGGCACACACACACACACAGATGAGGACGTCAAAACCAGGGTCGAAAAAACAGCAAGACAAGCCTCACTTCATTAATCTCAAATCAGTGTGGAGATCTACTGCACTCCACTGCACTCAGTATAAAGCGTGAACAACATCCGGATTCTCAACACTAATTCAGTCAAGTCAGTGCATCCATGTGGTGGTTCAGAGACTTGGCGCGTTACGAAAAGCATTTCCAACAAACTGCAGATATACATGAACAGCTGCCGCTTACATTCACTGAAGATCAGATGGTTAGAATAATAAGAATAAACAACAAGGAACTCACTCTGGTCTAACAACGAACCAACCAAGAACCCATCGACCAACAAATATGCAGTAGAAGAAAGTGGAGATGGATTGGACTGGACATACACTAAGAAAACTATTCGGGGACATCACGTGTCAGGCCAGACCAGGCCGTGGAGTGGAATCCAAGTGGGAAACGACGAGTTGGACGTCCGAGGTGAGGGTGACATGGAGGAGATTGTGTGGGGAAGAAATGAAAGCTTGTGGGTAGTGTGGTGCCAGGTTGAGGAGAAGAGAGAGAGAGAAGAGAGTGAAACTTAGACGCGCTACTGAAGCCTTATGTTCCACTAGAGCCCAAGGGAAAAATAATAAGTTACTAACTTGAAAGCGGGAAACAAAACATTTAATCCCAATGAAGTCAGATTATATTATGCTGAGTTAGATTGAAGAATAATTAGTTGATGTCAGAAGAGCTAATCTACGTATATAACGCGTTTCCTTATCGCACTGATGAAAATCAACCGACTTAGCGAAAGTTTAACATATATCGATTGTAGGCATCTACTAAAAGCTTTAAAAGGATAGCATGGTGAGTATTAATGACTGAAAAATGCTTACTTGTCAATATGATCTAAAACTAAATTTATTAGAGAATTAAATTTTTAAAATCAGAGGGAGAAATAGAAATGAGAAAGTTTTATCTAATACAGTATCAGAGATAGGAGAGGACTATTAGATAAAGACAGAGAGAGAAAGAGCATAACTACCACCTCTGGTATCCGGTACGTTGCTACATAAGCTTTGTGTGACATGATTGACGCTAGCAGTCATTACTTTGCTCAAATAAATATTAAAAACATTAGAATCAGTGCAGAGTTTAATTCAAAAATGCTAAAAACTACTCATTCCACACACTATTTCAACGAAATAATGATCTCTTATGTTAGCAACAGGAAATAAAGTTGACATGGCAACATGCCGGATACCGGCAGACAATAACGACAAGAAATAATTAGTAAAATGAACTTACTATTTTGTCGAATATCAACAACATACAGACCTTCATCTGTACCAGCCAAGAATCGGTACTCATCTATGTAATATACAAAAATAAACCCAGTATTGAAAATTATACACAATATTGGTAGTAATATTAACTTTATTGCAGATAATATATTTGACCCTGTAAGAAATTCTCACAGTGTAATAATTTCAAGAAATTTATTTTTCGTATGATATTTTCAAATAGAATCATTGCAGCATTTAAATAACGTCAACAATAACAAATTCACTAGTAAAATTGGTGATGAAGGTTTATTTACTCAGTATAAAAATCTGCAGCTTAATATTTTAATAATTAATATTGATAAACTGATGTGAACTCAGAGGCCTATTGCAATTTACCGTGGTTTTCTCATAGTTTTCTTGTTCACTTATGAAACGATAAACTGGAGACAATTTTAAAAGTACGCGAAAGTATGTACTACGATTTGTTGACATTTGAATGATGAAAAAAACGTCAAAAGGAACAACTTGATGTAATATATATTCTATGAAGAATTTTTAACAGACCATCGCCAACAGTAATCGCTTAGATAACCTAATAAATAAAGCCTATTTATGTATTCACAAAACAGTAATACATGTGACACAATAACAGCTAATAACGATGTGAAAAAGAAGATAACCTACCTAAGACTGAGGCACAATTGATTTGTTTGAGTATCGTGGATAATGAAGAAATGCACACATCACGTACTTGTAAACACTGAATATACAGACAAACAAAATTAATAAATATACAAATTGTGAGTGTGTATTAACAATATATTTTTATTTGGGGTCAAAATATATGATAATTTGGACAACAGATCACAAAAATGTAGAACGAACCATGGCACATTGGATTAGGCAATTGACTTCCAGCTAGTGGGTCATTGGTTCAAACTCTGCTACACCTACCAAGGTTTGGGTATACAGATAGTAGTCATTAACTGTAAAACAATAGATTGCGCTCATTACCTACTGCAGAAAGAGACAGACAGACAAAACCAATGTAGAATCTCGCAGACAAGTGGTATCGGTTCAAGTAGCCATACTTGGATAGAAAAAGACTGATACCAAAGTAGACAAAGTTTTGTGAGAGAATAAACAGTTTGCAGATAAAAGTCAGTGCAAAGAGTGAATATGTCTGCACCACTGTGACCGATTTTCAACCATTTCACCAAGAGTCCTTAACCACTGTTCGTATCGGAGAGCCTAACCACACGATGTGCATATCCTTTTCGAAACTAGTCTAACCTTTGCTAGCACAGCACGTCAAGGTCAGGGGTAGCTCGACATGTGCAGCACACGTTCAAGTCATCTCAGTCGATGAAGGTTCACCAACTGACTTGGCTGTATGTTATGGGTGTATCTGACATAACGTGATTGATTCTAAGGTATTACACCTAGTCTCCAACTATCCGTTTCCCTTTCGTTTTTGACTCCAAACTGTAAGTCTACTTTCCCACATTCACACATACAATATAATCTAGCCTAGTCACACCTAACTTTCTACAGCTTAATCCAACTTAACGCCTGTCAGTAGTAGCTTAAATGTACTATACAACATATAGTAAGTATAATGACATATATGTACAAGAAAGAAATAAAAGGCATACAAGAATGCAATAAATGAAGGCACTGAATGTAATAACAGCAATGCGTCGTATATGCACAAGTGACTGGAGGGCAATCAATTTCATGTTGTCTAGTCCTGAGTGTTGAAGGGACATCAGTCCCTTGGAGGCTGCAAATACGCCATCCTGATCCAAGGCTTCCTACCGATTGCTAATATATATATATATATATATATATATATATATATATATATACTACATAATAAAGTGCCTGACAAATTTCTACACACAATAATATGCAATCTGTGAAATTAGATTCATAAATGTATTGCTAGAAATTAGAATCAGACAACGGTTATACAAACTGTCACTACCACAATATTTACGGCAGTACATCTAAGTCAATACATTCACCGCCTTGATTATATATGTCTCGATTGCGTGAAAAACATGAGACTAGAAAAAATAACATTGCTACTTTACTATGTATATTACTTGTAAGATTTAGAATGATACAAAAATTAATTTAGTGAAAGTTCTACTACAACAACAAATGAATACTGAATATTTTGTCTGGGAAAAAATAGAAATTATGATGATGGTGGTGATGATAATCAACAGAATATGACAAATAAAAATAAGAATGAGTCATCAGGTGTATAAAATGGAATGTGATGACAGATAAAATACAGATAAAGTGAAAGTTGGGCATATATATATATATATATATATATATATATATATATATATATATATATATATATATATATATATATATATATATATATATAGGGTGCAGATAGTAGTTCTTAACACAACATAAACTTTCATCAACTTATCATGTATGCACATGTTAGAATAAAACGAGTAATAGTGGTTAATGCTTTAGATCTAGTAAGATGAAACTTTACGATTTTATAATTCATAGTTTCAGAAAGATAATCAGGTAAAAGGGGAAGAATATACTTCTGTTCACCAAACACTGTAATATTAAAAGTAAGAAATATATACAGATTTAGACATTCTAACCTATCTGAATACTTGATATCCTCTCCGGTTAAACAATAGGTGATTCACAAACCTGGACAACTGTCGACTACAAGACATCTGAATACATATATCAAGGAGCGAGTAAATATGGTTACTAGCAGCCAATAATTGTAGTAATCCAATATTTATAAAAATCTTAGACATATACACACACAAAAATCGAGTCCTCACCTGGTAGTCACCATCAGTCTCAATTTGGCGTTGAACAAGTTTTAATACATCCTGAATTAGTTTAAACCACCGTTCGCAAAGTGAAGAATTCTCAAATAGAAGAAACAATGGAGCAGTTGGAAGAAAATCATCTACAATGATCTAACAAGTAAAAAAAACCAGAATAAAGAAAGTAATAGATATGGCATAATCTCATTTATAACTTTATGCATTAGAATATTCAATCAGTTAGTGGAATACCTGGAGGCGGTGACACAATTCAATCTTGTACATAGACTACTTTGCCTGTTAGCTCTTACTCTGATTTAGCGGTTAGGTTTTCGTGTAGCTTTTTTCTTGAAGTCTTATCATACCAATAAGTCTTGTTGGATGATAGTGAGACAAGAAAACAATCACTTCCAGTGTAGATTACCTATGATATTAGTACCCGAAGACAAAGTTCCACTGCTGGTCGGATGGGATATGACAATATAGTGAGGAATTTCTCATGGATGACGATCAGTCCATGCTGGTCCTATCGACCTTATAAGACGGGATGAACTTAGAAAGAAAGGTTCCAAAATTAATACACATCGATGCTCTGCAGTGCACTTTAGTGCGACGTTGTACGTTGATCTATCTATTTGTCTCTGTCCGAAGTCTACTTCAATAAAAGCGAAACAGACTATACAAAAGATGAACTCGTCTGAAAATACGCTATCCACCTATATCCATTTTATACGCAATATTAATTTGATTAGATAGGCTAGCTTTTAATGGCATAAAAGAAATCCTTACAAAGTCAGTAAGGTAACTTGTTGTCCGACAACGAAACGGTATACTTGATTCACAAGGTACATTCCCGAAAAATGCTGCTTTACACAAGGGTGCTGAAAAATATATTATTGAAAGTAACCTTGACACGATGCAATGTTGAAATAACTGAAATTCATACTAAACCACGTAATTTCACTGAACAACGCTCAAAGCATAATCTCTTATAAGTAATCACGTTATGATCCATAAATTAAGCTTGAAAAATCATTCGGTGTTTAGTGCTTTAATCAGTATGAGTTGTTGAATAAAAATGAGTCTAATATGAAACTATACCATATCACAATGTTTGACTTTACTCTTATAATGAGGAATATAGAACCTACACTTAGTTTACGGCAAGGGACTTTTACTATAAACACATAAAAAGTGATAGTAGGTAGTGATTGAAGGTGAAATGAAAATCTAGTCCATGACAAAATTCAAAAGTTGCTGGCTCGAATCCTGTCGCAGCGCAGGTTTGCATTCCACCTTCAATCATCACTAAGTATCAATGATACAAATTTGCCAAGCGATGGTTATGTCATACAGTCAAATTGAAAATGATATGAATTTTGGTGAAGTAAACGGCATTATAACATCCCTAGATTTTTGTGAATACTTAGAAGCGGAGAGACGCATTCGTGATTTAAACTGTTCCCATAGGAGTCCATAAACGCAACTCCATCAAAAGTTGATTAATCACAAAGAACACTACGTTCCCCTACCAAGTTGTAGCAACAGACCCATTCACCAGGACATCACTGGGAATGAAGCTGTAGACTATTTCACATTTACCGATAAACATCGGTCATGATGTCTAAGTTCCCTTCTGTAAAACTTCACCGTTGTATTAACGAATTTACGCTAAGTGGACATGAAGGTGTAATAAGTATCCAAGAATACGATTCGAAATGATTCTGAACAAATAAACTGAGTATGCCTGCCAGTAAAAACGGAGAAAATCAACGCATGCACTAATGGCACCCGGATTAAATGCCGTTCACAGTTAACCATATTTATGTACACAAACCGGTCGAATCAAGAAAATTATAGGTAAACAACAGCTTGAAATAATGGGAAAGATTTGTAGCTCAGTTTGAGAATGACAGTGGTTCGGTGTTCTTTGAACCTCAGTACTTTTTGCGGACGTTTCATTATCAGACTTGGTAACGTCTTCGTGAAGTTAGCGATGAAAAGTCCACGATAAAATACCAGAAAACATCAGACCTCAATCTTAAACCACAGTGACAGAAGGGTTTTCGATGATAACCTTAGAAAAATACTTTTAGAGGGTGTTTAGAAATAGTTATCCAGTAAAATTAGTAGAAATTAGAATGAGACTTTTTCAAAGGAAAAAAAGTAGAAATTTCCTAGAAGTAATCTTGAAACTGAAAAAACGTAACCATTTTGTGTAACGTGAAAAAAGTGCAAATATAGAAAAATACCTTCAATATTTTTGGAATATCTTGGTGTTTCGCGTGTATTACATCAGCTGCGGTGACACGAGATACAGAGAATCCTGAGCTACGCAAATCTACAATTCGACCAGGACTGTTTGATTGGAACACAAGATTGGTTCCTACATTTAATGAATTCAAGGAAACGTTATTATTTGATCGATGCAAATTTTGAAAAGACGGAGATAATGAACTGGCGCTTCCACTTAGAGCTTGCATATTCGGTGACTCAGAAATGACCTATATATGTATATGAAACGAAGAAACAAACAGTCAGGAGAATAAATTGATGAATGGTTTTTGTATATGATAAGAAAAATAAACAAGCATTTGTACATACAACAAGCAAGAATTCGATACAATGAGAACCTTTCGATGTGGTAACAGAAACCGTAAGGAACGCATAGAAAGAAAATTATTAACTCTATTATTAATTTATCGCCCAGTTAAGTTATACATGGATGTTTTAGCAGTCAAAAGTGAGAAATTTATCAGCATGGTTTACACGAAACGTCCAGTGCAGCATCGACAAAATTTGTCAGTTTCAAGAATATCAGTCAGTAAGTAAGTCACTATCAACATGAGACCTGAAATAACGAGTTACCATCAACGTTATCACATTTCACACCGACAAACCAAGTGAGAATGCATTGAGACGAACATAAGGAAATAGGGGAGCGTGTGGGCTGCTTCTGCTCCTCATTGTACTCAGAGCCTGCAAAGATACATTTACGCCAATTCGTCAACTCAGAAATAGCTGTTGACCTTGAAAAAACGTTTCTGAGATTCAGCTACGACCTTCGACGCTGTTTTTACAGCAAAATGGGAATGGTACTAAGTTTCTTCTGGGTGAGTAGTGTTGTTCTGTTCTGATAACCATAGAGCCAGTTTTTGGATAGAAGTCTTAGTATGTTCACTGCGCTAGCAGTGGTTTTGTTAGTATAATTTTCCAATGGCCACACAAACAAACGGGTGCTTGAACCAACACATGATCGCTTTCAGAAGCACATGCTCCAGAAGGAGTAGCTATCTTCCACCAACCCTCTGAAGCTATAACTGACAGCAATATGGTCTATCTGAGTCCACTGTTGGGCAACGTTGGTAAACATCACATAACACAGTCTCTTTATGTTTGAAGTTCATGCTGGACAGAAATAGAAGGCTGTCTAAACACACTTGTATCAGGCGGTCACCATTATTCATTCATTCTGACGGGGTTTTAAAAGTGCCATCAAAGCGTCTTTCAGTCCGGCAGCCTACCCACTTTGCACTGGAATTGCCTACTACGTCGACCACTACTGAACATCTGGCTTTTATGAAAACGATAAACAGTTTTTGGTAGAACGCATCCTTCAGTTCTTTCAAACTGTAGTCAGTAGGTGTGTAGGTAGAGATTAAAAAGAGAACGGGGAGTCTTACTATTTCTTTTAATCTTCAGTGTGCTGTACAGCCGAACAGTGCATAGGCGAGTGCGAACTGGGATCCAGTTTAGTACACTTTCTGGTTTAGCCCTTAATGCCATAACTACTAAACCTGCAAGAGCATGAGAACTACCCATCAAATCTCAATAATCTTGAAGGAGGAATTTTGTGGTTTCACCATACAGATAGGGTGAGTTTATGTGAATAACTGGACTTAAATTCTGTATGTGTGTCTCACAAACCCAGTAAATATCTAAGGCCCGAGATATTAGAGTTTTGGGTAACGAGGCCTGTTGACCAATTTGACGGAGAGTGAGGATATTAAAAGCTCCAGTGTGTAATTTGGAAAGCGGTTTCAGAAAACTAATGGTGTTGTCCCATGAACTGAGATCGTTATCAAGAGATGTGACGCTGGAATAAACTAAAGATTGTCTAGAAATACCGACTAAAGGACATGAAAAAAGATTAGAAATCAAAGAAATTGAAGGTCTTTGGTGATCTAAAAGAACTTGAGTGGTGACAGAGTTGTGAGGGTGGTTAACACTTCCGGCTGCTCACACCGTGAAAGGTTACTTATTACTGAGGTATATCGAAAAGAAGTAGGGTTAGTAATAGTGATGCCGTGACACAAAAGCCCAAGGGGAATCTGCATTGAGTCCTAACCAGCACAGTTTATTTGGAAGTTAGAGGTTTAAGTTTTTTTATGTAGAATGCAGCTAAGAATCCCTGCCATCGGCATCGAAAGACCCCAAGGCAGGGAGGAATGCACTATTCTCGGGGTCAAACGTTTCCCACCCTCTTCGCCATAGAGAAGGCAGCATCAGCAAGGCACTGTTGGTCATTCGCGAGAAACAGGTTACTCTCCAACAAACCTATGTGATATGGTGGAGACAGATAGACAGGGAAAATCAACGTAGAACCTCGTATACAGGTACATCCACTCAAGTTGCTACGCTTCACAGTACTATACAAAAAACAGACGGATAGAAAAGGAATGGTGTGAAAGTGGTGTTAGAGAATAAACATTCTGAAGATAAAGGTTGGTGTGAATAGTTAAGCTGTAGATGTCAAGAAGTATACATATGGCGGAGCCTCAACGGAGCGAGTGATCGAACGACATATCTCGTCGGGTCATTGTGATACGCAAGCCCGATCACAAAGTCAAGATAGCAGCTATCAGTTGAAAATATGCTAGGTAACAGTTCGCCAGTATCATGATTAAAAACAGTGGTGAAATAATATTCAACAGAGAAATGTTTAGGTAAGCCCTACATTCAAAATACACAAGCTAACTAATTCGTTTCAATTATTCAGTTTGTACTAATACATAACACAAAATGAAAATGAAACTAAATTTACTGATTGTTTAATCTATGGATGCATGAAAGTGCTGAATATAACCAACTTACGGTCATCTAACTGAAAAATATTTTTTTATAAAGTCAGGTGATCAAATACAATTCGAATGAAAATTCCCTGCAATTTGATCGCTTTCATGATTTTAAATAGCTAAGGGATGTAAAAGTTATGTAGGTAACTATATCTACTGAAACTGTCTGATGAGGCAATTTTCAGAAAATAGCACCATATGTTAGATGAATTCAAGTTTTCTCATAATATATCTGCAATTTTTAAAAATGGAGGTTTAATCAAAGAGTAGTATCGAAAATGGATGTACCAGAGAGGAAAATTGAGAAGCTGAGATGATTTCAATCTTAATAAAGTATGGAGTATTACTAACTGTACAGTGAATCAGCCTACGCTTACCCAGTGGATGGGAAAGCCCAAAGGAAGCGGTAGCAAGTATTGAAATTATGCTCTAGTCTACGCCAAGATAAAACATTATCGTATCTAATATTAACAGTACATCAAAAGGAGGATTAATTACAGTTAAGTTCATCATCATCAATATCAACATAAGACCAGACATTACTAAGTAACGATTCAAGTTGCCACACCTCATATATATCAGCACATCAAGTAAAAAAATAATAACACTCGGAAGATGAAGAAAAATCGGTCAAAAGCAGTACAAAATAGTAAAAGAGAAGACGGAGAAACCGCTAAATTCAGTCTAGAGACAAAAATAATGTGTGGATAGATATGCGTTAGTGATATCAGTTCTGAGCCATATCAGGTAATTTATCAAATTGTATGGAGATTTGAGGGATTGATTAGATAAAAAGATGTGTGAACAACTTTATTTGAGGAATATTATTTTGCAAAGTGAAATAGCATCACAATGTCGAAGAGAGACTACATCTTACTTTCAAGGCAGTTCATGTCATGGTTGACCGAATAAGGAGGATACCCTCAACATGAATACCGAGTATTGACACGTATTTAACACGGAAAGTTCTTTAAAACGTTTGTCTTGTTTTACTCTCTTCTCCGTTCTAAAATAATAATTGAACTAATGTCAAAGGATTAAGACAATGAAGTTCGACTGAGGTTTCAAGTAGGTTTAATATATTAATGTTAGGGTAGAACTTGGATACTGTAGTATTGCATAGTTCCATGTTAGTTTGCTTGTTCGATATTCCACACAGTGTGAAGTGACCAAGTGAGTAATAAAAAACACGTGAATGAAATTAACACGATGAGAACTTTGGACTGGATACGAATAATGACTGTTCTCCCTCAGAACCTTAATACTTAAGAGAATTTATTGCTCATCTTCGTATCAAAGCACGTGATATGTATGTGAAAAACAAAGTCTATTGGAAACTTCATCCAATAAAAAATACAGTTTCATGGTATGTAAGTAATATGGAATTAATTTTAGAATAAATGTAGGAAATGAAATAGGCGAAATAAATCACATAACGTCAATTCATGAAAACAATGAAATACTTACATCATAAAAGAATAGACGCTTATCAGATAAATACATACGATATTTCAACCAGCCACGCTTGATTCCACCCAATTTAGGCATCTATTTGTTTGTAAACAGTGAACAAAATGCAATGAAGAGAATATTCGAATAGAATGATTAATAAGTGCACCACAAATGCATATTACAGAACAAGTTTGTTAAAACACTTCATACAAAAGAAACATGATGTTAAACAAATACATGCGGATCTATGCACTAGATCATAAATGAAGTCCCTTTTTTAAGAACTTAGGATACTATCAAGTCTTCAGAAACTTGGTGAGTCAGGAGGGTTACAAAAACGTGATTAGTACGGGTATCTTACTGGTTGCAGAAGAAAGGCAGTAGTTAGGCCTATTTGTGTTCGATGAGATGAGAATGTCAAGTATGTATTGAGGAATGAGAAAGCTAAGTACAACAATCTTAATCCTGACGAAGCCTGAGATAATATTCAGTCAGTCAGCAGTAGAAACAGCGCCACACAACCCTATTACGATTGATTAATGCAAGGATACTCAGTCATAATAGTTCTGACGCCAATGAAGAGCGAAAGGACCTTAAATATAAATCGATCAAGTCTCCGAAATAATAACCAGCAGTCATGAGAGGCAAAAGTATAAAAGATGGAGAAGGCATCAGCATAAGTCAGCGCTCCGTAATAATTCAGACCGATTAGTTATGCCGGAAAGATGATAGTGAGACCATTACCTATAATGACCTCTACGGACAGGCGGTTAGAACATTGGCGACAGCACACTTTGAAGTACAGTTCAAGTGATCGATAGCAATGCTTCAGCTGCTCAGTACATAGACCGGGGCTGAATTGGAAGCAGATGTCAGTCCTTCGGCCATCCTAAAAGCTGAGAAGGCTGTTTCAAACCTGAAACGATGCAAACCAGCAGAACCTAACGATTTGCCACCAGCCTTTAGAAAGGAGGTAGGAAACTACTGAGTGGAATAACGGAGTTACTAGGTAGTATGCGAGTCGGAACTTGAAATTAGCGTAACCAAATTCAGTTACTTTTTACCACATATAGTCCTCTATAACCGTGAAAGTGACCAGATTTTGCCTGTGAGACTATGAAAAATAACGATGATTATGATACGTGAATTAACTGCAACTACTATACAACATACCTGCTTCAGGAGTAGGCTCAAGACTATATTTGTGAACAGATGCAATCATACAAAAGCTTTCTTGCCATTACTCACTGTTCATAGATCATGGATGGATCTATACGTCATCCATCCAAATCAACACAAGACCAGGCATTACTGCGTAACAGTCCGAGTTGCCACACCTCATATCAGTGCATCAAGTGAAAAAGTAGTAAAATGGAAGATGAAGGTAAGAAAATTCAGTCAGAAGAAATATAAAATACTTAAAAAGAGAAGAAGGGAAGAATGAGAAAATGGTGAGATTCGGTAGAGTGTCGTTAAGATGAGGACAATCTGTGTATACATCTACGCCACTGACATCAGTTCTCAGCCATATCACCTAGAGTCTCCAACCACTGGTTCCTCTTGTCCCGCCGACCCTAACTGGCTAGTCCACATCGCCCCACACGGCTCAAACCAACAGTCAGAGACTTCATACAATGGTGCCATGTTTTAGTCTGACCATCTCGACCCCCTTTCCAGCTTGAACCTACTTCCGCCAACTCTGTGTGATGAAGCAGATAAGGACTAGGCACACGCAACACATGTCCTGCCTGACCAGCCATCTCAGTCGATGAAGGTTCATAACCTCGTCAAATGACTTACCTCTTCTCCCTAAAACTCTACACCTGAGCCTTACTTCTGCGTTACTCATGTGGCGACACCACGAAACACAGCCCATACTGATAAGGTAGTGGTGGTCAGACACCTGAAGCCTTCTCACGTCTTCCACCTTCTATGGCCATGTTTCATTCACATTCATAGAGTAGAACAGAGCGCGGACTGGTGTGTAGTACACGCCACCCTTAATAGACAATCGGATATCTCGGAGGCGCCATACGTGGCGTAGGTTGGCGAAAGCCAGCCAGTCGAGCTTCTTGTATTGGTGCAGAGATTTCATCGACCACTGAGCCACCAGGGTGGGGTTTGATCCTACTTCTCAGGTAGTAAGTGAAGTGAAGTGGTCGACACACTCAATCACTACACTGTCTATTGTTAGCTGCGTTGGGGCAACGTTGAAGACCAATCTCGTGGAGCAACAATTTGCATTTGGTTGGTGAGAAACGCCTCCCAAATTTCCACTCAAAGTGTCCAGAAGACTCTGCATCTTTTCAGCATCTTCACCTAACCTAACAGGACTGTAATCTGCGTATTCTAGGTCTAACGAAAATTCTCTGGCGATTAGGTCAACGTCTGTGTAATCAGGTGACGAGAGGGAGACCTCTATAAGAATATCTATGATAAAGTTGAATAAGAATGGAGAGAGTGGGCACCCTTGATGGACGGCACTCGATGAGCACAGCTCCCCGGACATCTGACCATAGGCTCTAACACGCCCACAGGTGTTCGAGTGGAGAGCTTTCAATACGGTGATGTACTTACTCGACACGCCTTTCAATGAGAGACATTGCCATAAGACTTCTTGAAGAACGAAGTCGAATGCCGCCTTCATGTCGACAAATGCAGCTTTTGAAGGGCGTCGGTAAGCGTGTCTGTGTTCCAGAACCTGGCGCAGTGTGAACATTTGATCAATACATCCGCACCCGGATCTAATTCAGTTGTCACTGGTTCGAATGTTTATTATACGTTCACAATAGATCTGAGTTTTATCCTCTTGGTAGATGTGTATGTGTGGCTCATTGGTTTACGCAGACGACTTTCAAATAATGTGTCATGCGTTCTAAACGCTCCATCTACCGAGGTTTTGGCATCCAGATAGTATCATTGGCCCTCACACGTTATGCGTGGCTTATTGCCTACTGTACGAATGTGCACAACCTTACTAAGTGCATCCTGTGAAATAAATCTGTGCAACTTCATGTAGTCATGTTAATGTTTTATTATATTCAAAGATAATTTTCATTATCTTAGATGTTGCATAAAATTTATTATTAAAGGTTGAAAATTTTTATTCTGTGACAAATGGAAATCAATATTGTAATTGTTTGTGCATTTTCAGAGTGAATTAAGTAGGGTGCATGTTTTTCTGCCTAGTGGTTAATTACATTGCTTTGAATGACACTAACTTTCTAATCTGACAGTTTACTTGTTTTTATTGTCTACAGTTAATTTTCACTCTACACTTCGTTATTGTTAACCATTTAAGCGTAAAGTTCATTATAGTACATTCTTAATACATGTTTTACAATGAACCTAATTACTTTATCTTTTCTTCATTTCCACTTTGTGATAGATGATATGATAAAAAAAAAATAGGTGCGTAATTCTAAGCCCACATTGTGTATCACAAGTCAATCAACCAATCATTCAAACAATTTTGAAAGTGTTTCAGTCTTAATTTTAACCCATCGTCATGTTTTGTAGAGTTTTCACTCATTGGTTTAGGAAGTTGACTTTCATCTAGTGGGTCACGGGTTTGAACACCACCTACCAAGGTTTAGGCAGCCAGGTGGTATAACTAGCCGTCATATGATAGGTGTAACTCAGTACCACATGCACTATGTTGCTGAGTGGATTTCTTCTTTCGAATTTTAATTCGACACGATAAATTTACCAATCTGGTGTAAATTTTCAACACAAACGTTTAGCTGTGCTTCAGCTTGGATAATAAATCATTAATTCTTCATTGTTCATCTTTGAATTTCTATTTTAGGCAAACAACGATTTCTAAAATTAATACTGGTTGGAGCATTTGAAGGAATGAATTTGAAACCGATAAAGATTACTGAACCCAAATTATGTACTCGATTCACATGTTCAATGAGTCGAAATAACACAGTTTGTTTAATTTGTGTCGCAAGTAATCGTTCATTATTTATCTTCGAAATTGCACGTGTACAAGGAAGGCATAAACGTTTAAGAGAAATTTCCTGTCCTTATATTGTTCAGTCTATCAATTTTGTTCGAGATGGGGATTGGATATGTGTTGGATCATCTAATTATTTTGCTCTATATAGTATATGGAATGATGGACCACCTCAAGGTAAGTAAACGACTCCATCATAATAATGTTTTCGGTGGAACTAAACTTTAGTGACGGAACACCTTAAAGACAACGAATAAGTGTATGGCTGCTGTATTCAAGGTCACTCGATACGTCCATTTACAGTGTTGTTTACACTGCGTAGACTGATATAATATAACGAAGATTACTTTACGGGTTAGATATGAAGTTTGGTGAAGTAGGTATTGTGGTTGAGACAAATAAATCTCTCTTTCGGAGATTTAAACATAATGTAGAAAGATGATTTCTTAAAGGAGACAGGATAATTTACATACATATTTCTTGGTGTATTTGCCTGAAATACGAAGAAAGGACGTTTTCAGTGGATAAAAGATAGATGAAAAAATCTATCCTAGAAGGTATAGGAAAATGCGTGGCATTGGATTCCACAATATGCACAGATGCTTGAAAGTCGCATATGCGTCTACCATAAATGAGTCACTTCATCAAGCTATTGTTTACAAAAAGCACTTTGAAAATATATGAAATCGTCTTAGAAAGCTCTTAAGATCTTGAAAAGAATCACGACGGGAAATGGTATAATCTCATATGGTTGGCTGGCAAAATAGATGATGGTATGGTTCCAATGATCATAAACCTATTGAAAATCTTGTTATCTTTATTTCTCATGCGAAAAAAATCTATAAATCGTAAACGAAGTACTATTTTCCGGAATAATTACTTTGTCCTTCATATTCCTGATTCCTATTGGTCAGTGTATACATGATTCGTCGTCACTAAGGTTTAGTTCTACTATTTTGTATATTGCTTTGAGCTGTACATCTCTTCTTATCTGTACTAAATAGTGTAAATTAATTTTTTATTTGGAAATTAGAATTGTATGCATGATGTCTAATCAAGTTTCTTGGTATATTCTTTGTTTCTACCCCATTTTAATTTTATCCATCGTTTTCTAAATCTTCCTCATAGTTTTATTGCGTGGAGATCTGATTGATCTGGACTCCAGCCTGATATTTTTTCAACAGTCACCATCAGATGCATATTTTGCTGTTCAGTTGGGTGAAGATGAATTTCTCTTGGCATTCGAAAGTAAGTATCAAAAATTGGCTTTATCTTCAATCTATTCTGTCTTTGCTACATTACTATTAACCATGATGTTGCGTTTGTTTGTTTAATTTTCTTTTGTTATGTATAGATTGTGGCGTTTATATGAATACAAATCGTAAAAGAACACGACCTGATAATCTCATGTGGCCTGCTAAACTGATCTCTGGTTCTGCCATCAGCTTTTCCTATCCTTATTTATATGTATTTACGGAGGCTGGATTAGTTGTTTTCAATGCAATCTCTGGTTGTTGGGTATCTACACTTAGCTCTTGCCGCGTTCAACCACTGAATATGGATGCTCATTTATGTCTTGTACATCTGTCATCGTTGTCTGCATCAAGTCCGTCATCTCGTAAATCTGCATACAACGGTAATGCGGATAGCCCAGGTAACAATTTACTGGGTAATTCTTCACCTGTTGCACCATGTATTTCACCAAGTGATCTGATTTCAGGACAACAACAGCAACAACCTTTGCGATTGATTCATTTACCACAAACGTATGACTGTAAAGAATCCTCAAAACAACAGATACAACAACAAATACATAAAAAGAGAAGAAGGGAAGAATGAGAAAATGGTGAGATTCGGTAGAGTGTCGTTAAGATGAGGACAATCTGTGTATACATCTACGCCACTGACATCAGTTCTCAGCCATATCACCTAGAGTCTCCAACCACTGGTTCCTCTTGTCCCGCCGACCCTAACTGGCTAGTCCACATCGCCCCACACGGCTCAAACCAACAGTCAGAGACTTCATACAATGGTGCCATGTTTTAGTCTGACCATCTCGACCCCCTTTCCAGCTTGAACCTACTTCCGCCAACTCTGTGTGATGAAGCAGATAAGGACTAGGCACACGCAACACATGTCCTGCCTGACCAGCCATCTCAGTCGATGAAGGTTCATAACCTCGTCAAATGACTTACCTCTTCTCCCTAAAACTCTACACCTGAGCCTTACTTCTGCGTTACTCATGTGGCGACACCACGAAACACAGCCCATACTGATAAGGTAGTGGTGGTCAGACACCTGAAGCCTTCTCACGTCTTCCACCTTCTATGGCCATGTTTCATTCACATTCATAGAGTAGAACAGAGCGCGGACTGGTGTGTAGTACACGCCACCCTTAATAGACAATCGGATATCTCGGAGGCGCCATACGTGGCGTAGGTTGGCGAAAGCCAGCCAGTCGAGCTTCTTGTATTGGTGCAGAGATTTCATCGACCACTGAGCCACCAGGGTGGGGTTTGATCCTACTTCTCAGGTAGTAAGTGAAGTGAAGTGGTCGACACACTCAATCACTACACTGTCTATTGTTAGCTGCGTTGGGGCAACGTTGAAGACCAATCTCGTGGAGCAACAATTTGCATTTGGTTGGTGAGAAACGCCTCCCAAATTTCCACTCAAAGTGTCCAGAAGACTCTGCATCTTTTCAGCATCTTCACCTAACCTAACAGGACTGTAATCTGCGTATTCTAGGTCTAACGAAAATTCTCTGGCGATTAGGTCAACGTCTGTGTAATCAGGTGACGAGAGGGAGACCTCTATAAGAATATCTATGATAAAGTTGGATAAGAATGGAGAGAGTGGGCACCCTTGATGGACGGCACTCGATGAGCACAGCTCCCCGGACATCTGACTATAGGCTCTAACACGCCCACAAGAGTTCGAGTGGAGAGCTTTCAATACGGTGATGTATAAGGTACGACATGGAGAAACGTGTGCAAAACTGAGTAGTTTTCAAACTAAATAACCGCTTATCAAATAATCAACAGTTATCAATCATAAAAAAGGTCGTTTGAAATTCATCAGAAACTTCTGAACAAATGAATATTAACTATTTGAAAGTTTTTACCTTAACATCACTTTCGAAATCGGAACCAAAATTGCAACTGTCATCTATAAATCGCAGTTGAAAATTTTTATTGGAAAATAAAAGAAGACAAAAGTAAAAGATGATTAATGAATAGCATGCAACCAGTGAATTTTGTTCACAACATCCGAATCTAAAATGGATCATTCAGAATGAAAACAAGTAAGTAGCAACTTAACAAAACAGAAATTATTGTTTGAGATTTAGACTGTTTTTATGTTATACCACATTGATTATACATCGAAAATCCATTCAGTGTAGTCGTTTCTCAGTAAGTTGATCGAAATGTAACTGAAGTTGATATGATTATGTAAGAATTATTGATTGAGTGGAAGGAATCAGTACGAAACTCGACCTTATCTAGATTTCACACATACCGGAAATGTTGAGTGAATGCACTTTCAGAAGACCGTTCAGTGACATCTTGGATAATTTGATTAAGCCCACTAAACTAGCCAGTTATTAGTGTCATTTAGCATAGTGATGACATAACAGTGAACAGTTAATAAGTATAAATTATGTATGAATGTAACGTTTCGTAATGTTATGTACAGAAGATAACAAAACAATGAACATGTTTAAAGTCAACTCCCTACACCAGTGAGCAGAAACTTCCAAATACATCCTAGTGTATACGAAGGCCGATAATACTGATTGACTGTTTTACGTTTGATTAAAGCATTTGTGTTGAAGACTGTAAAGTAGAAGAAATGAAGCAATTACTGGGTTTCGATCGCAGATGTCTTCATAGTATTGCTTGCGTTTCGAGGAATCATCATGCGATCAATATTCAGGTCAGGCGATGGGTACTAGACAAGACAAGAAAGTCGATTGAGGTAGTGAACCTTCATTAACTGAGATGATCTGGACATATACTGCGCATGCTGAGGGAGCATCTAACTCGATATCTCATACTAGCTAGGGAAAGTTGCATTAGGTTAGAAGAAGGTCAAGGTTGGACAGACTAAGATACGGTACCATTCGATGAAGTTTCTTACTGTTGGTCTTACCTATGTGGGGAGATGTAAACTACTTGGTTACGGTAGCCCAAGACAAAGGTCATCAAACGTTGAGGACTACTAGAAACATGGTCGAAAATTGGTCACAGTGGCGTAGATGTATTCACTTCTTGACATCTTTTAAAGCTTGAATATACACACTAACCTTTATCTTCAGTTGCTTATTCTCCCACACTACTTCACCTACTTTGATATCACTCCTTTTCTATCCACCTGTTCTTTTTGTACTACTGAGGTATGGCAACTTGAGTGGATGCACGTGTGTGCGAGGCTCTACCTTGTTTTTGTCAGTCAGTAACCTCGGAATTGGAATCCAACGACCGACTGTTTCCTACTTCGTTCAATTCGCAATATAGTACATCCATCATGCAATGTCATCAGTTGGTATCCATCGCACACCGCACGCCTCGACATCTATTTCGAGCCAACGGTAATCCATTCATAAGCAAGTTTCCAATGTTTCTTCAACTGATATCAATTCGTGATTAAAAATACTACTTTGAAATCAATAAATTCCTACAAACCACTAAATGAATTAAAGACATTTGTTGATAATTAACAAACAAAAAATAGTAGTATAAGACATGTTGAACATATGTTCTACAGGAGTGATATTGTTAAAATCTGTTAAATCTAAATTGAACAAAGAAACTTGTCATAATAAATCTCTACAACAGACAAGTGTCGGAAGAACAGTGATCGTCTTTCCTCAATCGGAGAGCAAACAAGGTACGAAAGAGGTGGCCCTCGTGCTCCAGTGAATAATGCTTTAGCGTTTGAAGTAAGGGGCATGGGGTTCGAGTCTCAGTGGGAGCAACAGCACTCACTAGGAGGAAGGTACACCGAGGTGACGAGTCCCGAATACAACGAAACACTCGTCTTGGATCCTACTGCTAGCCATCAAGCAAAATACTGTATAATAAATACTCAAGTAGTATAGAGGCATCCGCATACGAGCCCATCTGCCAACAGAGGTCAAGCAATTCCATCCAATACAGCAACAGGAGATTTTAAGTATGAAACAAAAAAAAATAAGAACTTTTTTATAGTTATTCACAAAAGGGAACTAAACGCTTGAAATTAAAATGGAATTAAAATTTACTCAGCAACCCAGTGCATATTCGTGCAGTAGTCAATAAGCCACACCTATTGTGTGAGGGCTAATAACGGCTGCTCAAACTTCGATAGGTGAAGCGGAGTACAAACTGGTTGAAAGTCAACCGACTAAGCCAATGAGCCATAGCCTCAAACATACACCTTAAGGTTCACAAAAGAAAATGGTCAAAATAACAAAGAATGCAAGATGATGCAAAATGCTGTTTAAACCAACCCATGGACGGTAAAGGTGGCGCAGGACAAACTGTATGTGCCGATAGACGACACTGATGATGAGACTTCAATTGACAGTCTTGACACTGAACGCCTTGCCATTTCTGACCAAGTATCAAGCTGCCGCAAACATGACATTTGGTTGGTTGAATAAAAGTAGCAAAAATAAATTTATGCGTAGAAGCAGATGCTTGAGAGGCGCCTCCAGAAGTATCTATTGTAGTCCATGAACCTTTTTGATCTGGTGTAGATGTACAAGGGCTGTTGACATCAAGTAAGGGAAGAGAGCGTCTGTTATTGTCCACTGAGTTCTTCTCTACATTTGTCTTCTAGCAGAAAAATACAATTAGTAGGCAATTAATGCTTTACATACGTTATGGATAAAAAGTGACTGAGATATTCGGTAATAGACAGAGTATTATGAAATGCTAGTTGAGCAAAACCGTATGTCTATCTAAATGAGTGAACAATATTCATACTTCGATCAGTTCATGAATAGAAAGTTGGCTCTTTATAAAAAGAGGAAGAGAGGAGAGTACGCTTATCAAGAACTAACATCAAAGCTAGTAGGTATAAATTCCATATTCCAGTAACAATTACATAGATTCACAAAGAATGAAACACCTCTTAAAGAATTCTCAATGATATATTATATTATCAAACTTTTTATTCTATGCATGATTCAGTTTCGGATAAACTTTGGTCGTCGGTAGATAGCTGGTCATGTCAATTTAGAACAAGCAAACTAGAGTGTGATTCCCCTATGAAAGAGTCAAAACATTAGAAAATTTAAATGTTGCTACATTGTCATACACACTAACAAGTGATCCAATATACTGCTGAATTGAAATATTATTATGAAATACGTTCAGTGCTTTATTTAACCATGAGTAACTTCTGAGATGATATAACACGTAGTAATGTTGTCGCACAAATAATACAAGCCAAAATCCCATGAAACCTAAGAGGAGGTATGGGTCGACCAAAGATCAATGGCGGTAGATTTATGTAGGCTACATAACGTTTATCAGGACGGTTATAAATAGTTAGATTAGGAATATGGTAGGTACTGTAGGGTACCTAGGCACACTTACGAACCTCAACAGATAGTACTATTAGCAGTGTCACTTGAGGACAGTCGTGTCAATTGTCCTCGTATGATAGGGTATAAACCTTTATCAGCAACATAACAGAAATATATTTAGATTGAGTGTCAATAAATACGAAAGCCGTACAAAAAGGAAGAGATATACGAATTAATAAGGAACGTTGAAAAAAAGTATCAGTTCAAATTAGTATACTTTACAGCAGCATGCGAAAAGAAAATACACGGCATTTAAGTAGACCAAAATCTGATTTATAAATACAGTATTCGAAAGTAATTTTTACTACTGACAGAAAGACAAACGAAATCAACATACAACCTCGAACACAAGTGAACAGGTTGAAGTTGCTAGACTTCCCAGTAGCATACAAAAAATAAGTGGATAGAAAAAGACCCATACTACAGTAAACAAAGCTGTATGAGAGGAAATTTAAGAGTTAAAGTTAGTCAAAACAACCGAGCTTATGAAGACATCAATGAATGAATACATCTGCGCCACTGCGACTGATTTTCAACTATGTCATCAAGAGTCCTCAACCGATGATTCCTCTTGTCTCATGAACTCAAAACAGTTAGTCTACATCTCCTTCACATAGCTCAGACCAACAGTCAGAAACTTCATCGACTGGTCCCAGCTCTTGGTGTAGCTAACGTCGACCCTCTTCCAACCTAATCCAACTTCCTTACAATGGCACGTCGAGGAAGCCGGTGGCTAGGCATAGGCATTATTTGTCCAAGACTTCTTAGTTGGCTAAGGTTCAGAACGCCATCAATCAACTTGCCTATCATACCTAGTACCATTAGCCTAATCTCAGCATCGTTCACACAGAGATTTCACCAAACGCCAGCAATACTATAAAAACATCTGTGATCAAAACCCACTAGTCGCTTTCTGTCTTCTACTTTCAACAACCATGTCTCACAGCCGTACAACAGGACAGTAAGGAAGCAGCAAAGTATACTGGTTCTCTGATGGATAGTCAGATATCTCACCAGTCGGCGTTACAGATGACGCAAGTTGGCAAATGCCAATCGAGCCTTCACTATCCGAGCTGACATTTCCTCAGCAACCAGTTAGGAAAACTGATGCAACTCCGCAAGTAAGTCAGGTGGCCGACACATTCCACCACTGAACTTCATATCATTATACTGGGAGTACTAGCCACACACCAGTCCTGGAGCATCCTCTTACGTTTGACAGACGAAAGTGAAACGCTTGACAAACATACTCAGATTTCTTTCTGCTCAACGCCTTCAGAAGTCCTTGGATTTTGTCAGAGTCTTCACCTAGCAGGACAATGTCGTCTCCATACTCCAAGTCAACCAGATGACCTCCAGGGAGTAGGTCAATCTCTATGAAGTCAGACGTACCTAACGTTATATCCATTAGTACGTCTATGACGAAGTTGAATGAGAACAGTGATGGTGTACACCCTGGTGAACACCATCAGTTGTCGTCAATTCACTTGACAACTCTCCATGAGCCCCTGGATGGCTGCATGAATTGATTAGCATTATATACTTGGTTGGTACCCCATTCAGAGTCAGACAGCGCGTTAACAACCCACGGTCGACAGCGTTAAATGGCGCCTTCAGGTCGAGAAAGATGGGAAGTGTCGGTCACTGGCCGGTAGGTATGCCTTTGTTCTAGAACCTGTCAGGGGGTCAAAATAAGATAGATATACACGTTCAGAAGTTTTGGCATTTTTTCAATGTCTTCACCTAGCACGACAATGTTGTCTCCATACTTCAAGTCAGCCGAATGACCTTCAGATCGATCCCTCTGAAGTGAAACGTACCAAAGGTTATGTCCTTTAGTACACCTATAACAAAGCTACTGACAGGTTATTCCTCTTTAGGAATTATCAGTTTACAAGAGTGTTACAAGTTCAATCTGTATACAAGCATATCAGCGTTTACACAAAGTTTATCAGTCAGTTATTCAGTCCATTACTGACCCTCTGTATGGAGGGCCTTTCATATATAGAACTGACATGCATAGTAGTTATTTTTAATATATGAATGTAACTGTTTCTCTTATATATATCCAAAAGTGAAGAATAATACGCTAACACAATGGAAAAACGAAATTTAAAATTGTTTTTCTTTGAAAAAGTGACCGAATAATGGCACCAAAAGTCAATTACATATTTCACTTAAAATGAAATCAAATAATAAAATGTATCCATTCAACCAATTATAACAAAAAATATCCGATAAAAGTCAAACAGAATATATATGACTAACTATGCAAGTATGGATGAATAAAAATCAAACGAAAGAAAGAAGACTATTTGAAAATTGACTCTTTTCTTCGTAACATGGAAAGGTAACCGAACAGTGATTTTGAACTATTAGACTGGAAACGAAGCAATTTACCAGAGGATGCATATCATCAGTGGAACTAGTTTCTTATAGCATGGCGACTATTGGGAATGACTAATCCTAACACTACTGCCATTCATAATAATAATAATAATAATAATAATAATAATAATAATAATAATAATAATGATAATAATAATAGTGACAGAATGTGTGTGAAAGAATTGATATCAGACAACACAGAGTTAGAGAAAAGGATATCACAAAAGAAAATCAGTTGAGGAGAATGAATAAGTAGCAACAAAGAAGGAAATTCTAAAAAGCATCTCTCTCGAGAAAACTTATACCTCTGTGAATACAAAAACTTTCTCTCTCTCTCTCTCACTCTGAAACTATTGTATACATGTTGTCATCCAATGTCTTTTGAAAAGATGATGATGATGAAACGTCTGTCTACAATGCTGTCATGAAGTGTTGCAAATACTGGGCTGAGATAGCTGGAAAAAGCCCTATGAACACTTTAATCATAGAACTACACAAATGTAGGTGTTGCGGAAACTAAACTCGGAATACTTCGAATGCCTTCAACTTTTTGGTTCATGGTAGCAGTGAACGCATCACTGATTCGAATATTTTACTGAGTGAAAGCAACACAAGTGAATATCTACACATGACTAAAAGTACATACGTCCATATGAAAGGATGGGATTCCAAAACAAGTAGTATATCTGTAATTTTGCTGAGAATACGTGTATCATTGTTACCTTTATCAATCTCAATAAAGAACGAATTAACACTCTATCACTTTTGTAAAACAAGAACAATAAAATCATTCAGTCTATATCCCGAAAGGTTAAGCGAAAGCTGGTTTCCTAGATTGAACCCATAACGACAGTTGGAGGTCGATTCTGATTTTGTAAAAGAATGCTTGAACTATCTGTTCATTTTGAGGCTTCGAGTCAGTGCAAAATGGATTAATTGAGTGTTTACAGATCTAAAGACTTTAATTAAAAAGTGCTGCAAACACTAAGAGTGCTGCTTTGCCCATCCCTGCTCCATAATCAATGACTAGTAGAGATAGCTGTCAAGGTGCTAGCTGGCATTACTGCGTAACCATCCAATTTGCCATAAGTCATATCACAACACCAGCCAAGAAATGAACCATGATGAAGCAAAAAGAAGTAAAGACAAAACTATTTAAAAGTGGTACGACAGTCGTCAAATCACGACAACGACCAAAAAGACGATACGAAAATTCACTAGGATGATTACGATGAAGATGATGTTTAGATATATCTCTACACTACTGACACCAATTTTGAGCCATAGCACTTACAGTTTCCCTCCAACAACTGGTTTCTGTAGGCGCATGGACCCAAGCTGTGAATTCTATATTCTCCCAGACAGCTGAGATCAACGATCATTACGCATTGATGCCATGTTTTAGTCTGGTCGCCTCCAAACATTTTCCAATATGAACCTACTTTAACTAGAATTTTGAGACGGCGTAGAAGATGACTAAGGATGTGTGTTTCAACGAGTTTAGTTGATGAAGATTTACAACCCCACCAACTGACTTTCCTCTTCATAAAATTCTACACCTCACTTCTACACTATTGACGTGAAACCACGATACACGATGTGCTGTGGAGGAAACGGTGGTCGAATACTCAAAGCCTCATCACTAACTGGTTGACTAGGACAATGTAGAATTAAGCACAATGGTATATTAGTTTAGATTAACATAGACTATAATAACAAATAATATCATTGTGAGCCAATAAACATGTCTAGTATACAAATATGCCAATCATTTTACGCACAGTTTAGTCACCTAACCCAGTTATAAACCAAACAAAATATGGATTTTGTGTGTTTGTATTAAGCTTAGTCAGATCATTGCTATGGTTTCATTAAAGAATGTCGATTCTTACCACACTAGTAAACGTAAAAAGTGAAATAAGTGATCATAAAAACAATCAGTAGAAATGAAATTACTGACATTAAGAAAAAAGTACCTTATGAAAAAGCATAAAACAGTGGACAACTAAACCATATGCAGTCAATCCTGTATCCAAAATACCAAGCAGAAACACAGTTAGAATTGGAAAAACAACCAGAATACTGAGATAAAACACGTACATGGCGTTAAGCTATGCTAGTTAGAAACGTGAAGAAGACAGATAAACGTTTACATTACTTTATTTAGGTGATCCAAGACAAATGACAGACATATTTCTCAGAGCAGGGTTATTAAATGATTTCAACAGACGAAATCATAGAGTAGAGTGAACTTAACGGTTGTTTATCCGTTTCTTGCTACCTATTTGGATTTTGCAATTAATAAAAAGACAAATAGAATTTTTGGATAAAAGTGTTCACGGAAACCTATCCCAGTCTAACAAATATCTGGAATTTATGTCATCTCACTCCATATATATATCATAAAATGGGTAGGCTTGAGATTCAACTGGAAATGACACAGCAGTCCAAACCAAATACGTATTTATGCAGATGCAAACTATAGAGTAATTTAGAAGTCGATCCGAGAGCGCATATGAGAAAAAAAACGTTTCCACTGAGATCCGATAGCAGGGGTCAAGTGAGTACAAAAACTACGCAAAATATAACTCTTCTGTCCTCCTAATTTCCTACGGATAAAAATAAATCAAAATATTACTGTAACTAACCTGTATAAAATTGACTGCTTCATTCATTGTCTAAAAGATGAAACAAAAATATGTCGTTCAGTTATTATTTCGATAGGGAAAGAGTTATGCGAATTAATTTCTGAGAAAATATGAAACTGCTATCACTAAATGATATCGATAGGTTAGAAAGCAAAGTCAAATATACGTTAGTAAATGTAAATACAATAGATATTCACAAATAAATATAGTCGAGACAGGGGAGCAACAGCTACTAAAACGACAATTCAGTATATACACCAAAGATGAGCAAGTGGAATAATACTCATCATTCTTTATTTATTCAACCACGTCCAATTAAATGAATCATATATGCAGACAATTCTTGGGTAGAGTAAGGAGATAGACAATCAAACGTATCAAAATTAAGTTTCATAAACTTATGATAAATTAATCAGACTCGTTGGATTGTATGAAAAAAGTGCTAGGCGAAATACAAGTAAGAAAATTTACAGAAATCAGTTTAATCTATAAAGATTCAATTCACCATTTTATCCGAAACTGTCTCCTGATCACGGATGATTAAACTATGTAGATCATCGATACTATGAAAGTACTCTCTATTACAATAAACTTCTCGTGTATCCCAGTAACTATCAAGTGAAATGAAATAAGATATCCTGCTTGGGTTGATTGATAAACAAGGAAATTGCCAAGCCAATATAACTATTAAAACCTAGGCCATAGGCGAAAGAGTTGTATGGCAGTTAAATATCAAACTGAGATTTAGAAACTGTTACAGTGTGCAATAAGATCGTCCAGATCCTTAGTCTCTTTTACTGCTTTCTACTGATTTTGACTGATTCTTTTTCACTTCTTCATTTTTCATCTTAATGTCTCGTTACGTGATGTGCTGACATAAGGTGTGGGAACTTTGGACTGTTAAGCAGTAATGCTTGGTCCCATTTTAGTATCGGTAATTAAGAAAACTGGAAAGTTGCACATTTGAGCACAGTTCTACATTGATATCCATACAACCAGATCTAGTTTATTTGTATGTTGCATCTAAACTATTTTCCTCGACGTTGAAATTCTCATAACAATAGAATAATATATTACAAAAATCACAGGAATTATCTCAATTATCTTGCTATATTTTGAAATTTTCCTCCACTTCAAGTTCAAAAGCTAACGGAATACGGGATCAGCTGGGCATAGCATGAAAAAATGGTCACCTCCTAAGCTGATATCTGCTACGATTAAAGATTTCTTTGAAACATATCAAATCAATGAAATGATTCGACTTTTAAACTAGTAGGACAAAGTTATTTGTCGTATGTTTACCAGATAGTAATGGCACATATGCGTATGATGCCTTGATGATTTCATATCAAGTGTACAATTCAGTTTTATATTAATGATGGATAGTAGCTAAGAGCGGAATCCAGGACACATGTTTCGTCTCGATTGGAACTCATCAGCTGGATGCACCTGCATCAAATTAATCTCTTCGAGACTGAATCATACAACCACTCATAATTCATTTCAACCTTTATAATGAGTATAAGGGGTCATTCATGTCCCAACTAAAATACAGTGAGTTATTTACCAGAAGGTGCTATCACCAGTGAAAATTGGTGTAGATTGTAAACAAAGACCACTTCGTTGCAAATAAAGTAGCGACTACTTTAGTCCTTCACAATAGCAGAAAAGGATGCAATGAGTCAGCCAGTCAGCTAGTTAGTCAATATCACCATGAGACCTGGTATTACTGCGTAACCATCCAACTTGCCATAACTTATATCACAACACCAACCAAGAAATTCATCATGATGAAACAGAAAAGAATAAAAAAACAATCAAAAGTGGTGGGAAAGTCGTCAAACGATAATAAAGACCAAGGAGACAATACTGAAATTCACCACGGCAATTACGAGGAGGATAATGTATAGCTGCATCTGCACCACTAGTACCGACTTTGAGCTATCTTCCCTACAGTCTCTCTCAAACCACTAGCTATTTTAACAAGTGGGTCTCAACTGGAGAGCCCACATTGCCCCATGTTTCAGGCCAACAGTCGAAGATTTCATGTATTGATACTAGGCTTCAATCCTAACGCTTCCAACATGAACCTACTTCAGCTGACATTGTGCAATAAGGCAGACAGCAATTAGACTTGCCTAAAAAATGTCCCAGCCACATCAGTCAATGAAGGTTCACAACTTCATCAACTGAATTTCCTCTTCGCCATCAAACTCTACGTCTGATTTCGACGTTCCCGACGTGATGAAATTATGACACAGGCGGCCTGTGCTACGAAGGCAACGATGGTTGAAAATCTGAAGACTTCTCACATCATCTACTTACCAGCAGTGTGTATCACCAAATGAACTGAAGCATGAGAAAATGTTTGCCGTAGACACAAAACAATGATCGACTTAGTAATGTATACATGCGAATGAACTTTTTTTTTCATTGTGTGTGAAAACGAAACCATAACATTGATTGTGTCAACGCTTTCGAAGATGATGATCATGATAATGTGCAGAAAAAATATACAAAGCGGTTACAGATATGAACGATGATATCAGAAAATTTACATAAAAACTGGATACAACCATAAAGATTTCATTCATTTGATATCATAAGTTGGACGATAATAACAAATTACATTTCATATGGAAATAGATGGTAGCAGATGGTATCAAATTTTAAACGACACACTCTAAACCTCAATATTGCATGTATATATAGACAGATATGATCAAAACTGCGTCTAGCTTTATCTCGTTACGATTGAGGTTGTGTGGTAATCATATCAAGGCATAAGAGTAGATGCATATATACGTATGAAAATAGCCAATTTGATAGAAGATGCTCTGCTTAACAATCCTATAACATGTTGTTGCATCTGACTCGGTGGTGGCTAGCAGAGAAATCTAGAACATGCTTTTAGTCCCCTTTGAGACTCGTACGTTGAATGTACATGAGCCTCAATGAGTGGTGGTGTTCCAACTGAGAGTCGAGCCTAGCACTCATCCCTTTAAGTGAGAAAGCGTTATCCATTGGGCAACTGAGGCACCTCCTGCACAACGGGTATCAATTATTTATTGATACTCGTGATTTCCTCTTTCTGTACTGGATAGAGTTAAACGACCTCTTTTAGCACATGAACTCCTCAGGGGATGTCTCGATATTGGCTTTCACTACCTTGAAACATCTGAGTTTATACTTCAGAAAAGTTAAAAATAAACATCTACCATTCAATTATATCGAAAAAGTAGTAGAATTCAACATTTAAAGTAAGCAGTTCATGCATAAAGGGATATCTGTTTTCAAGTAGCCTTAATAACATTCTAGAACAAGTTGTTTATTGTGATATTATTTGACTGACAGACAGCATGAAGACGAAAATAAACCACTGAAACACAATCAGTTTAGAAAGTACTCAATAACTATATAAAATGGTGATAGAACAGTTGAGAAATAATAGGATTTTAAGAACAACAATAATTACAAACAATAACCACTCAACATTTTGATCGTTGAAAACTTTTGTTGTAGTTCATATTGCATAATATATATATATATATATATATATATATATATATATATATATATATATATATATATATAGTAATAATGAGTTATAATCGTGAGAGACAATAATTAATTGAAATATTTATTAGAACTATCAATTATCATTAATAATATATAATTATGAACTAACCGATGTTATATATACTTTTTAATTAAAAAAAAAACTTACATCATTATTTATACGACACAGACGAGCCTGATTTGAAACTGGAAGTAGATGTATGGAAAAGAAAATGTATTAAACCTATCATAAATTATTCCAAATGATAAAAGCTTTCAGTTCAGATGCATGTACATCAGGTTGTAAGTGAACTCAATCATGTAGCTACTACTTTACATATTTAAGCCTGTTCTCCTTTTCGTCGATATTTCTAATTGATTTAGGAATATGAGAAACTTCAGTCACAAACTCAACCTGCTCAACATTAAGTGATAGGGTTATAATCATATCAAATATATTTTTCTCATTAATAGATTCTCAGTAAAATACAAATGATACTACTCAAGTTACTATGAGTGCTATAGGATACGAAAAATTATTTTCTGTGTTGGTGAAAGACAGTGAACCAATTCTATGATTATTTTTATGGCATTATGCGTGGTATCAAGCTAAAGATCGAGATAAACATTTTTCTTTACCTACCTATGGTATATATTTAAAAATCAGTCGATATGAACTAAACAACACTATACAATGCAATATAAGCATCATTTTTGATAAACATTAATTTCACTTGATGAATATGAATAATCACACACAGACACCGCTTGAAATGATTTCGTACTAATAATTGTGTTTTAAGCAGAAGATTAAGAAAAGTAAGTCTTTTCTAGAAAGATATACAAACTTATACACATAATTTTCGTGAGCTACTTCATACAAATGGAGAAGGTAGATGAATGCGTACTCTATAATTTACATCTATGTGGATTGTTTTCTAAAATCTTGGACAAAATGAAGTGGTAACGCCTTACAACTGGTTAAATAGGTGGAGAGGAAAATGAATAATCTGACTGTATTTTACCCTGAATAATCATATCTCTTCTTTATATCCTCTCTAAGAAAAAGATGATTCATTTAACTTTCAAAGGTGACCTAATTGAGGACTAAAGCACACCAACTTGAATGATTTTATACTATTTTTAAATGCTTAAAGGTGGCTTATACCTCCTAGTGGGTAATGTTTTAACAATTCTTATACAAGGGATTAAATCACATCTGTACACCCATTTTATGGCCCGTTTCGATATACTTAGAAATTGAAGAGTCCAAACATTCAATTCCAGCATCAGTTGGGTCAGGAAACTCGATTTGTTTCTGAAGCCACTTTGGGATATATTCTATGACCCTTATTTTCGATAACCCATGATTACTGCCTACGTGTGTGTGACTATAAGTTCATTTAAATTCGCAAATGCAATGGGATGTCGACTTCATTGTTCATCTATTTCAAGGGCTTCGAATTTTCAATTATTTAAACCCTAGCTGCATGTTTTATTGATACTAGTCTCTATCTGACTGTCAAGTTATTCGCATCATCAATGTATGGTAATTTGATGAATATAAACTTTTTTAGGGACAGAGTAGACAGTATTTCTCAATGTTCTGTCTACTTTATTAGTTAAGGATAGATAGGTATATGAATTTGTCAACATGAAATTTTAATATGTAGTGAAAAAGTGAATACGCAGTATGATAATAAAAGTGAACAGCTAACCACAGTCATCAGTATTGTTAAGTAAATTAAACGTTAGGGTTCCCTAATTCATCAAATCCACGAAATTGAAAATGAATCTTAATGCAACTCAGCTTCAGTTGCAGCCATACACAAAATTGTCTACTTTTGGATAATGTAATCATTTTAATACAATTTCCTATTCCTCAGACGCTTAAGCGTGCAGTAAAACATGCGTCACAAAGTAATATTAATAACATTTGGTTGAAGAATCACATTATAATACGTGAGAGTTACCTTTCGCCGAAACATACTGACGACACGTGCAGGTATGCAAGATGAGAATAATGTAATACTTTTACCAGGTTTAAGTGTACTGCTTAGTGGAGCTGTGGTTCATTGGTATAGGTGCTTGAACATCAACCACTGAGTTACGGGTTCAAACCCCGTCCACCTATTGACATCTGAATGGTCAGGCGGTATCATTAGGTTTCACACGAAACGTGCAGCTCATTGCCTACAACGCGAAGATACACGTGGTTGTTGAGTGGACTTCAAAGGAAATACTGGGGAGGTCTCATGATATCAACATATATGATAAAGGATCCACCTGCCACTGAAGTTCACTAGTTTCACAACTTTATTTCTAAACATTTAAATGCAAGTGGTATCATTTAAAGGAATTTTAAAAATACAGAACTGTATTAAAGATGGGTGAAATGAGACTGACTGGAAAATTTGGTCCAAAGAAATCCATTAATCGATCTATAGGTGAGTAATCAATTATTGACTAGATATGCATAAAATGTGTCCTATTGACACCAAATTCGAAGTAGTTGTGAATATATATGGTCATGTAGTGGAAACGTACAGAAAAGTTAACGTAAACAGAGTATGCCACATTTTCAACTGGAAGATATTGTTTATAATTTACGGTGTGTTAAAGAAGGAAGTGTATTTTATGATGTGATTGGTTAACTATGTGTGGGCGTAGAACTCATTTATTTATGAAAAATAAACCTTGAGGAGTCCTACTTCGATTCATCAGTGACTGTCATTTGAACGGTCTTTGACAATGTTAACTTTAGAGCCCGAACGCTTCATTATCACCCCACCATTCATGCGTACAGTCAACCAAACCAGTTTAAACCAAAAGATGTTTTAACATCTTGTCTTATCACTTCACAAGAAACATAAGAAATAAGGACAAATCTCCTTCACCTTGACAGTTTTACTGTTGCCTGCTTGAGTTTGCATGCGACGTTTTTCCAGCAGTAGCCTAGGATTAGTCATACGTAAAGCTCCAGAAGAAATGTCCACTGAGTTGACAGAAGTAATGTATTGAAAGTTGTTTGATAATAACGTTCAACCACCTTACCATAATTCACTATAGAAGTTAGGCCGAAGTAATTACTAGTGACATTGATAAGGCATAATCATTATTCATGTATACAATTGTGCAATCACTTACAATACTTTGATCATCAACATATCACAGAACATTTCACTCTGTACTTTACTCATTGAACATAATCTACCCCACTCTCCTTGTTCACCTCAGATTTTTCACATCTCTGTATCTCAACGTACTACTTGTCAACAACAGTTAACAAAACACATCACTTTTATTGTTATTTATTACAGAAACTATCTGATGCCGAATAATTTTACTTCATCTTATGAAGTATAAACTCTGAAAACTTTAAACCTTATCCATGGATATCTCACTTTGTGCACCTAAGGAGTAAAATGGAAATTATGAATCAGTCCACTAACAACAAACTGTTATTCACAAATGAACAGTAAAACAGATAAACATATTAAATTAGGGAGAATATTATCCAATGGGGAACTTACGTTCTAGCAATTGGTCATTTAAGTGTTCAATGATACGATCTTGTTCTTTAATCTTTACATCCTTCTGATTAGTTTGACTGGCAACAACAAAATGAAATGTCCGAAGAATTAGGTTAGGCTATTGACAACAGTTACTACTATTATTATTATGATTTTAAAAATGATTGAGGGGTTGATTTTCAACCAGTGGATAACGGGTTGAAACATCACTCCGCCTACCGAGGTTTGAGCAACCAGGTAGTATCGTTATTAGCCTTCACACAATACGTATGGCTCACTGTCTACCTGCTGCACGAATGTGCACAAGGTTGCTGAGTGAATTTCACTTTACTCACTGGAAACTGTTGAAATGTAAAATAATCTCTCAACTTCAATTCATAACGTCTAACATAAATAAATCCTTTTGTATTGGAATGCTAACTATGCATTTCAGTAAGTTCTTCAGAAACTACTACTGTTGAAATGTGTTGACAGCGCCTTTTAAACTACTCGTTTTATTGCAGAAATCTACGTGAATTACTGATCACATTTATTTCAACGAAAGCCTTAACACGGTATTGGGACTATAGTGGTTAGTAAACAAGTGAAGATAGTTTTAGCTGAATCATAAAACAACCAAAGATATTGTAAGTAAATGAAATTGAATTGACTATAGAGTTGAAAACCAAAAATAAACAAAGTAAAAAAGCAAATGATCTTTCCAAAAAACTTTGTGATTATGAAATAATACATTTTTGATTATCTACCATGATCTCAATAGTGTGTTGAATTCTACCTCGAGGCAAATATAATCCCCGTAAACCTCAAACTAAATAACCGTATAGTGATATGCTTTAAGATGAAAATCCTGAAGTTCTAATGAGAAGCCGTGATCTGTGGGGGGGGGGGGGCAACCAGTAGGACGTGAAGCAGTGGATAGGCACTTTATGTAGTGGACTGACAGAAATAAGGAACTGTGGTCCATTGAACTCTGACTCAGTGGGTGAATGGTTAACACGTTTATCACGAGAACTAAAGGTCCTTAGATCGATCCCTGGTGAGGTCGTGGGGGGCTACTGAGTGCCATACTATGACGAAACAGCTGTGCAATGTTCCTAGACTTTCAATGAATAGCCAAATAACTTCAGTCCACAATGAATACTACTTTGAAATTAGTAAAATCCCCACAAACTTAAAAATAAATTATTAGTTTCTGTTTCTTCACTGAGACTTATTGATCTCTCTTCATAATCTTAAACATAGAAATAGAGGTTCGCAACTAAACGGTTTGGGATTTCATTCAACTAGATGGTTTGGTTATGAAGTTTTCAGTATTATTAAGAGGGACATTATCAAGGCCTGAAATTTTACGTCTACTGTCCTTGGCTGTCTTCCAGCACAATTTTTACCCGAAGTTCTCATAAGTGGTGCGCTAAACAACTGTTCCAATCAACAGCAGCTACTCCTTAGTATTAGTTGGACTTGTTTTTAAATGAGTTATACTAGCTAGATAGCTTATTTCTGAGAGATCATATCAGGAAATTCACTACCTAGTGACTAGCTAATTCATCGATATAAAAGAATAACGCTGCTACTGAAGATGACGTTGTACTGTTTAATGAAGATGGATGTGATGATAATAAGATTTCCTCACCATTCAACCAGGTTTTCAGTCGTGATAACTTTGTATGAGTCGGTTCAAAAGGGATACATCCAAAACTGTTTGTTTTCGGATAAGGTTCTCTTAGGAACTGAAATACCTGTCAATATCCAATCACCTATAAAGGTTTACCTTAAACAAGTGTCTACAAAACTCTTCAGTCAGACGAAACTTGCACTGTCTTTCCTAGGTGCTTTACAGAGATGGAACATTGCATGATGTGGACATTGAGGAAGGATGAGCCAATTGAACGCTTCCAAAGAAAGATAGGTACCATCTGAGCATCGTTAACCCTCCTCATTTTTCTATCTTCCGTTACAATTATTATTACGGTCTCTACAGTTAAGTCAATTACTCAACTTATGATCGTTGCTGTTTCCAGTCAATTTAAAAAAAATTTGAACTCCTAAAACCGAACTGCCGATTAGAAAACCGAGCTTGCAACAATCGTCAACCATATCAAACCAGACATCTAACCCTACCAGTCACTAAGGTATGTTGGATGTGTGTTGCGTTTCGGATATGCGCATACAAGAAACAAGTGTGGTCACTCATTTAAGCTAATGAGGTGATTCAGTGTAATGCGCCATCACATGAATTGGACAAAGATATAACAGTTCATAATACTCCTGAAGTAGAAGCTATTCGACTTTAAACAAATATTGTTGGGTGCAATAAGAACTAAAATACTAAGCCAGATAAACCTCTGAGAAAACTGGATGGGCTAAATGTACCAAAACTTATCAACAACGGGGAAGTGAGCAAAAAACAAAGGAATACTGGAATGAGCAAGGAAACTCTCGATTATGCAACAAAGAAACAATATTCAGCAACTTAAAGTTAATTCTTATTTGTGAATATTTTGGCAGACGCAGAAAAATAGAAAACGACTTAAATGAATAAAGTATCGAGGTTAGGAACAAGACCGTTTTACAAAATAGCTCAAAATGGTAGATAATATTGTTCTTGATAACAATGCAACCCAACAACTCTGCTTGCAAATGTGTGTACACGGTTACACATCAAATATGCATTTAAGCAGGCGGGGGAAAAGGGTGGTATCAAAATGAACTCAACAACCCTGTGCACATTCGTGCAGTAGGCAATAAGCCACAAATATTGTGTAAGGGCTAGGGATACTACTTGTTTGCCCAAACTTCGGTAGGCGGAGTGATGCTCAAACCCGCGACCCAATGGTTGAAAGTCATCTCCCTCAACCAATGAGCCACAGCCCCACGAAGGGGAGGTAGTATAAACACTACTAGTGTACAAATGTAGTAAACGAAAGACTAAAACAACAGACGTTCAATAAATGCATGCATTACGACTGAATTTAGAGTATACATGCTTTTATACATATCTAAAAGAATACCACTAAACACTTTATTCAAATTAGGTAAGGCGAATCAATTTGTCTGTTTCGGAGTTAGTAGCAAATCTATGCATGAAAGTAAGCAAAAATAACGGTATAAAACATTGTTGAAATCGATATACAAGTGATTTTTCTAAAGATCAATTACAGTTATAGAAATAAAAGCACACGCATTCACGTATACACACAACGGTGAACAGTCGCAGGCAGACACTATTATCGAGTATACAGAAACATATGATAAACTGTTACATGACGAGTATTACTGCTACTTAGTAGTTAAGAACAGTTGTCACAAAAACCTGAAACTATTGTGAAAACACGATTAAACAAGAACCATAGAGAAACAAACAAATAAGCAATAACAAACATTGTAAGTGTATAACAGACTGTGAGGAAATAAGAATTTCAGAAGTTAGTACTTGACATTAGCAGTGAACATAGTTGCGATAAATCAAGTAGTACACAGCAACCATGTCACACCGAGATAAAAAAGAAACAAGTGAATCTTTAGGATTTGGATCATTGAACTAAGTGTAAATTGTAGGTATCTATTCATTCACTTTGCCATACAGTACATAACAGTTGAGAATTTAACTCAAGCTCCTGAAACTATTAGCATTGAGGGGCAAGCAAACCAATAACAGGAATAAAACATTGCAATAGTGTGAAACAACAACATGAATAAGTGGTAAAAAGTAGCCAAAGTAGAAAAATTAACAGGAATATCAAGAATAAATACCCCCAAACTGCTGAAAATGATTTAATTGATTTAAAGCTCATGATCATCAATTTACGCCATACTACAGTCAGACAGACAGACAAAATGAACGTACAACTTCGCAAGCAAGGGCATCCGGTTCAAGTTGACAATTTACGTTGGTGCACAAAGAACAGGTGGATAGGAAAAGATTGATATTAAAGAAGATAGCTATATCAGTGAATAAATAATTTGAAGATAGAGGTTAGTGCGAATATTCAAGCTTCAGAAGACGTCAAAGAGTGAATACGCCTGCGTCATTGTGACCAATTTTCAGCTATTTCACCAAGAATCCTCAACTAATGATTCCTATCGTCTCGAAGACCCCAGGAAGATATTCTATACCTCACTACACGACCCAGACCAATAGTCAGGGACTTCGTCGGCTGGTGATGTATCTTAGTCTGGCCGTACTGAAACATCTCCCAACCTCATCCAACTTCGCCTAGCTAACATGGCACGTCGAGGTAGCTGGTGACTCAGCATGTGCAGTACATGTCCAAGTAACCTCAGTTGATTGAGGGTTTTCAACCCCACTGATCGATTTGCAATCCCAGCTTAGCACCCTTCTCCTAATCTCCATTGTTTCAAACCAGCAGTGGGGTTGGGCAGGGTCACCCGATTTCCTCATTCCTCTTTAATTTTGCCACCGATGACATTCTTGAGACAGCTCTGAAGGAAGTGTGTGATGGTGGTATAGATCTATTACCCGGAGAACGGCTATTCGACCTTGAATATGCGGATGATATCGTCTTACTATGCGATAACATACAGGCTGCTCAAGTCGCTTTTAATCAGGTGGTGATTAATGCCCGTAAGTATTTGCTTTGGACCATTAAAGTGCAAAATACTCTTGCAAGATTAGCAAGAGCCTATGCCTGCGCTCACTCTTGGTGGTGAGCCGTTGGACGTAGTCAAAACGTTCGTGTAAGTGGTGAAATTGCCAACCCCATGTCGAAAGCCAAAGTGGTATACATCAATCTAGGCCATATTTGGCACCGACACGATGTTAGCCAGATCGTAAAAGGTCGGGTTTACAACGCTTCGGTGCGAGCAGTTCTGCTCTAGGCCTGTGAAACCTGGTCTCTTTGAGTTGAGTATATGCGACGACTGTGTTCGATTATCGTCGTCTCCGTATGATTGCTCGTATCCCGTGGCAACACCATGTAACTAGTTCTGACGTATGACAGTATGTTTGGGCATGATAGAGATCGTCATTCAATAAGTGAAGTCATCTGAAAATACCGACTTTGGTAAGTTGTACATGTGTTACGCATGTCCCAACAGCTTCCACGCCGTTCATCCTTTGGTAGCCCTGAAAGTAGATGGAGGGAGCGAAGGGGTGGTCAGTGTATGACGTGGCACCATGGGATCAAGAATAGTTGTACCAGGTTAGCATCTATTGATGCACCATGACTCTCTGGATGCAGTCAGAGACAGCACACAACTCAGTGGCTTGAGTCATTATATGGCTCAGAATCGAAATGAGTGGCGGTTATGCAGTAGCTTAATCCTATCTTCTGATGCTGAAAAATAATGTTTCGGTTCGAATGTGCCTTACTGGATTACCTTTCTATTCATTCTACTCTTCTTGTGTTTGTTTTTATCCACTTCCATTCGTTTTATGTCTTCATAATGTTGTTATTTTGTGTGGCGCATTTCTTGGTGCCCTTGCAGCACCACGTTTTTGTTCTAATAAATAAATAACCTCCATATTGCTCCTACCTCACGTGAGCAATGCTATGTTTTACTGAACAAAACATCTGGTTAGGTTCACGAAAACAGAATGATTCTCTGGAATAGAACCTAAGTTTTACTGTCATACACTCACAATTTGTGACAACTTATCTTGATATTCCTAATAATAACTGTTGAACTAATTCTTTGATTAAGCTGTAGATGAACAAGTTACTGTAATTAGAAGGCTGTAATAACCAGTTGATTGAACTTAAAAGAAACAAATGTGATTGAAGTGAAATAAAAATCTAGTCAGCAGTCGGGGCTCGTAGCTCAGTTGGTAGAGCACCAGGCCGGTAACCCGGTAGTCGCTGGTTTGAATCCGGCCGCCATCCAGATTTTCATTCCACCTTCAATCATCGCCCAGTATAAATACTAGTCTGCCAAACTACGACTATCTCAGATAGTCAAATCATAATCAATACGATGCTCCCCCTCCCTGATTCAGTTAGATTTGGATTGGGATGAGAAGTCCTGACTAGGCAGCCAGTGTGAATTACACCAAGCGGTAGTAACGAGTCACGAATTTGCATGGTAGTCAAGCAAACCCCTTGGTGATTGAAGTGACATAAAATTCCGATCAGCAATCGGACCTAGTAGCTCAGTTGGTAAAGCACTGGGTCGGTAACCCAGTGGTCGCTGGTTCGAATCCGGCAGCGGTTCAGATTCTCATCTCACCTTCGATCATCACCTAGTATAAATGTCATAATAAACCACTAATTCAAGCGTCAAAACCTTGCTTCAATTTATCTTCACTAACAATCACATACAGCATACATATATTACTATTTATTCCACTCTTTCCAAATAGCATACATTTTACATTTCTTGTAAAGTTCTATTTATCCATCGGTTTATTTAAAGACAACAGGTACAATGACTATCGGATAGCCGGAAGTACCATTCTTGAGAAACAGGCATTTTATCATTACGAATTTTGCTCAAAGATCAATAGTCATTATAATTAATGAGGGTGAATATGTTATATTACTTATATTTCACGTCGGACCTACTTTCAGCACTAATAAATGGTAGTGCATCTGGTGGTGTATAAACCAACCAACTGGTTGCAGAAGAACTACCATAACACTTTTGCTACGTCAAACGTCACTACTCAGATTACTATTCGATTGTTTTAATACTTATTCACTTTTCTTGATAACTTAACGACAACAGGCATTTCATAAAACCCTTTCACTTTTCGGTGCCTTCGAAAGTTTGGCAGTTTTTACCAACCTTCATATTTAAAACCTTTCCTACTCCCAACATATACCATTGTCTACGTTCATATCAGTCTTTTTGACACATAGTTGTTTGCATACTGTTGTGAAGTGTGAGGACTTGAACCAATGCACTTCAATACGAGGGTTCTACATTGATTTTGTCTATCTGTATAACACTAGTCTGTGGCAAATTTTAATAACACAGTTTAGTATAATACAACAGAAAATTAGTAATCCCGTAATTTCTCTATCAGTCAGCAAAAGTAGTAGGTTTTAAATAAATCACGTTTAAACAACCTTTTAAAACAAAAACAAAAAATTAAACTTCAAAGTTTAACTGAAACGGAGTATTATACTTGCAATAGAAATGATAAGGAAGCAATAACTAAACTGAGATTATACTCAATAAATAAATGGAGGAAATAAATCACAACACTTACTCATACATATCTTTCAGACGAGCTTCAACTTCTTGCAAACGAAGTTCAGCCTGTTCTCTAGCTCGTACTTCATTATTTAAAGCTACTTCATGACTCCATCTTTCCATTTTATTCAGTTTTGTAGATTTACGCTGACGCCAATCCAATGTACTCTCACCAATTACACTTTGAGCAGGACTGTCATAAGTCAAAGAGTTAATATCATTTGTTATATTGAAGTGTGTATTCCACGATTGATAACCATTACGGTATACTCCATCCTGATTATAATCTTGTACTAAACCTGAAGTACGCAGTGCATCTAATTCAGATACTAAACGCACTGTGAAATTCTTTTGATATAAATAAGATAGAGAAGAATTGTAAAGAAAATAATTCTAATACATTTTTGTAGTAAAAATGTATCACCAATAATAAGCAGTACATAAGATACAGTGCTGTTTATCATCATAAATATTCCAACAGACAGTAAGAATTTTGTTCTTTATCATATTTCAAAATGCGTCTATTGGATTTACTAGATGTTGGATCATCAAAATAAAGCCCATTGACTTTTATGTACAATTACAATGCATGTTGATGACAATTCTGGTATCGTAAGAGAATGATACCACGATGCAGTAAGCATATATACACGGTGTGGGATTTTTAAAAAGTATGGGGCTGTGGCTCATTGCTTTAGGGAGTTGACTTCTAACCAGTGGATAATAGGCTTGAGCACCGCTTCACCTATCGAGATTTAGGCAGCCAGGCAGTATCCTTATTAGACCTCACACAATAGGTGCGGCTTATTGCCTACTTACTGCACGGATGTGCACAAGGTTGCTGAGTGGATTCGATGGATTCTAAAAGAGAAAACTGATATGAAAATGTTAACAGAATGGTTTCTAGACGTATAGGAGAGTATGTTCCAGTTTGGCTTCATAAAAGCGAAATGAAGTCTGTTAGAAGTTTTATTCAAGAACATTTGATTCATTTCCATCAGTTAACAAACCCAGATAATGACTTTAAAATTCTTTATCAAATTCTACCAAATCTCCCACGTTTTCAACTGCTTAAAATAGTCAGGGCTTTAGCTAGTCATGAACCCAAGCCTGATTTGAGTGTACAAAAGAAGTATGTACAGTTACTGTTTTTACCGTGGTCATAACATTTCCCCCATCCCCACGAGTTTCCCCCCGCTTGTTAAATTAATCTTTGTATCCTTCCTTTATCACTACTTGCAGTTTCCCGTGTTATTTAACTTAATCGTTTTAATGTTTTCATAAAGCAATGATTTTAGTTTGGCCAACTAGTCCAATCCTATTACGTAATACCTTTTTGGTTTACCACTCATCAGTTTTAGACTTTTCTCAGTCACGCATATCCCGTGAACGGTTCTATATATTACATAATCTACTTTGTTATCATTCATACTTTACCACAATTATAAGTACCTCTGAGGTATTATTCATCACGGACTGACATCATTAAGAGAACCACTGAAAACCTCGGAGCGCTGGACAGCCGTTTTGTCTTAGTATGAGACTCTCCAGCAATACGCACCCACAACCCGGCTAGGGAAGAAACAGCTGTTCAGTCTTCCCAGGTTTTCAATGTTACTTCAAATGATATCGGTTCGTGATGAATACTACCTCAAAGTTAAAATCCCCATTAACCTCAAAATATACAAGTACCTTTATTATTATCAATACTAAGAAGCCTATAGATGCATAAGAAATCAGTATGAAATGGCATACGTTAATTATGACAAAATTGAATATTTTCAGAGATTAACGCATAATTCAATTCATTAGAATGATGAACAAACGAGCAATAAAATAACAACTTAACATAACTTACATGGAGTTTTTCTTTAGCTTCACGTTCATCATCAACCCACTGGTTCAACTCGAACAAATGACGTTCCCAGTTAGCTATATTACTTTCAAGTTCAGCATTATTCGCTTTCAAGGTGGTGAGTTCATCTTCTAATGCTATAGTCTGTTAGAAAGATAATTAAAAATAGTACCTGTGAATTAATCAATATGGAGTAAAGAATTCTGATCGGGAACCATTCAGTACATAAATGTTTAACGCCATGAGTCTCATTAAACCTATCATACACTTCTTTAATTGACACACATTGGCTAACAAACGAATTTGATAACTGCTTTATATCGAAACTTTAAGTCTCCACCATGAATTATAGACCTTGCAATAAGCTTTTCATTTCAAAAAAAGTGATTACTTTGACTATCGTTTCCACTACTATCAAAGCATTGGTTGTTAAATCGCTACAAAAAAGCAAAGAAAGAAATAACCGGACGGCTTCGTGAGACTTAGTCTTCGTGATGAGCATATGTAGCAGTTGAGAAGTCAATTTGAAATTGTTTGGTCTGTATCATGCGAAAAACCGAAAATCGAAATGCACTCAGCAGCCTTGTGCACATTCGTGCAGTAGGCAGGCAATACGCCGCGTCTATTGTGTGAGGGCTATTGATACTACCTGGTTGCCCAAACCTAGGTAGGTGGAACGGTGTTGGAAACGGTGACCCACTGGTTGAGAGTCAACTACGTACACCAATAAGCCACAGCTCGTGCTGTTTCAAATTTTTAAAAAAAAGTACGGCTGATCACTACTGTCACCAACAAATTTGTTTTAAAAGACTAAGTAGTTACAGAGTAGACACCGATAGATCAGTTATCATGTGGCTTATTTGTTTAAGGAGTGGATTATGGATCCAAATTCTTCCCCCTCACCTCAAATTGTGAGTAGCGAGGTAGTATCATTAGCCTTCATATAAAACGTGTGACTGACTGAACATAATTGTTACGTCCAATTAACCACTTCATTTATTGTGTTAATGAACTCAGTCTAGTATAATCGAATACCCATGATAAAAGAGAACATCACACCAAAAAAAATTGAAATGCATTCAGCAACCTTGTGCGCATCCGTGCAGTAGGTAGGCGATGAGCCACATTTATTGTCTGACAGTTAGTAATACTATCTGGAGGCTCAAACCTCAACTGGTGGAACGGGGTTCGAACCCATGACCCATTGGTTGAAAGTCAACTGCCTACACTGATGAGCCAAAGCTCCGCAAGAACATTAAACGAATGCAACTGTGTGTATATTTAACAGAATACTAACATATTTTTTCAAATGTACTTGAAAAAATGAGAGAAACAAAATAAACATAGTGAGACCTGTTTAGACAAACAGTTTTACTTTTGTTGATAATAAGAGAGAAAGTAAATTTCACCCGTTAGTGGCCTGCAAGTAGAACACAAGGTAGTATTGAATTCTTGTCATAAATAATGACCTATATATCCACAATGATTATCTAGTGAAGTAGTTGGGGTGTGTGGAGGCACGTTTCTCTACTTTTCTTTAAGAATATAATCAATATGGAAAAAGAATTCACACACAAATATATATATGCGATAAATGATATTACTACAGAGAAAAAATGACGAGAAATATACAGATTAAGAATGTTTGCCTTATGGGCACCATTTAGTGTACTATTAATATGCATCTTTCTTATACTTCGATAAGTAGGGAGAAACAAATTCAGTGTAATCATATGTTATCAAGTTCAGTTCTTTTCAGATTATATGCTTAAATGTGATTGTCATATTGAACCCACTGAAGAGGAAGCTACATAAAATTGTATTGAGAATTCTTAAATAATAGTGCGATATAATTGCTAAACCGGTTGTTAGCCTTTATAAAATCATTCAAGATCTTCAATAAATAAACAGTTATCTTGATCAACAAAAATATAAGCAAATTCGATAATGACTGTTGATTAAATTGAAAGAGGTGAAAATATTTACGGATGATAATTCCGGTCGGCAGAAGAGCAAGGCGAAATTTAGGGATAATAATTGATGTAATGTACATACTAAGCGTAATATTAAATAATTGAAACAATTGGTCCCTTTTATGAATTTGGATAACGCAATAATTAGAGAATGTAGTTTATCTGAAAAAGGGCTAGTATTTGCACCATGTATTTCGAAAAATCTAATTACATTTGATATCAATGATAGACAGTGGTTAGCAGCGTAATTCAGGATGCACGTTCCGTCCTATTTAAGATTCGTTGACGGGATGTACCTAGCATTCAGTGAGTCACGTTTCCCCACGAGGACTTAAACCCAGGATCAATCACTTCAAACGGCAGTGTTATCCACAAGCGAATCGAATCAAGATGCTCTCAGCAACATTCTGCCTTTCGTGCAGTAGGCAGTGGCAACGTATTGTGTGAAGGCTAGTGAACCTACATGACCACGGGAACGTCGGTTGATGGAGCGGGGCTCGAACGCCTGACCTCCATCCTTGAAATGTAACATGGGAAACTGCCAGGTTCTGCTACTTTCCATTGTTTCAGGTTTGATAGAGCCTTCCCAACTTCAAGAAGAGTTAGAGGAAAAATGGCTATGTTTCATTCAGGCTCAGGCTGGATGTTGGGCAACCGAAGCGTTGCTGAGGGCCAGTTAAATTATGGTTCAGAGTGTAGTGTCTCATCCAACGTTTTAGCTGCCTGTCCTGAGAGGTAATCAGTGTCCAATCCTTTTAGGTGATGGTTTTATTCACTATCGTCTTTTTCTTGCCAGTATCTTTAATAAACCCAAAATAGTTGCCTAGTGTTACTCAACATTCATGCCTTCTTCATCTCTCTTGGTTTCGTTATCCCCCTCTGCTCCAGATCGACGTTAAAACTCTTGGCCAATTTATATTTAAGTCGTCTTCAATCTTCTTCGTAGTCATAGCTTGGTGGAATCAATCAGCTCAGATGACGTCGCGGAAATCCACTGACGTTTGCTAGCCTTCAGGTGTAAGTTACCAACTGTCCCTTCCACTGTTTTTACACCAGACTTAATATCCCGCCGTTTACTGAGAATGAGCATTTCTGCCATGTTTAGATAAATGGTTACCTATCTCTTATCTAAGTGCGAACTTGACGTCCTCATTTTCCAATCGACCATAAACAGGCTTTACTATCGCCTGTTTCCTGCAACCAGTAAGGTGCAGATATACACGAACCCGTACTAGAGTGTGATCGGAGTCCAAACTGGTACTCAAGAAAAAGCGGCAGTCCTCTACCGATCCTCCCCAACGATGGCTTATAGAAATATGATCTACCTGTGCCCGTCGTTGGTTTGATGTCGGTGGACACCATGTGAAACAGTGTCTTTCCCTTCTTATACCTAAAATTAGTCCTGATCAGAAACAAGTGATTGTCAGAGAAGAATTGCAACAGACGACCATCGCTGGCGGTTGGTTTCCATGGGGATTCTCTAGATATCTCCAGGATGCCTCCCCGACTGGTTCAGCTTCCCTACTTTAGTGTTAAAGTCACCTGTCATTATGACTATACATGAACGTCCTGCTTTCTGTAGCAAAATTGACAGCCTATCATAGAACTCACTCTTTGCATCACTGGAACTACAAACAGTGGGTGCGTAGGGGGAAATTACGAATAGGCATCGCCTGGTCTCATGTTTCTTCCTAGTACTTACAGATCCATTGAGTCGAACAGCACGTAGACGGTTGCTGACTGGGGGGGGGGTCCTTAAGAGACTAGGAATGAGATTTCAATGACTTTGATGGTTCGCAGTGATTGCGGAGTGAGAGAATGGGTAGGGCTTAAGAGGCCCTATATTAGTATCAAGAGGTGAAGGCAAAGGAGGAGACAAAGTTGGGGAGGATAAGTTATGTTTAACTCGGTTTTGTGTACTGAAAGCGTGCGGGTGGTTGACGATTCACGGCTGTACACATCGTCAAAGGCTATTTCTTCTTAAGGTACCTGAAAGAGAAAAAGATTTGTGTGACCGTAGAGCTAATTGGACATCTGCTCACGGTTGTGTTGAGGTTTGGTTGTTTTAACGCCGAATAGAGAGAAACTACACCGTGGGGCAGGGTAGGGTATGTTATTTTGGGGGTCGACATTTTGCAACTCCAACCTCCTTCTCTTGAGAAGGCAGCATCAGCGTAGCACTGCTGGTTATCCAAGGGATAGAACTTACTGCACTCACACCCCATCCAGCTAGCAGTAGTAGGACTTCGCCCTCAGACCCGCATCATAGTGTAACGATTTACGCTACAACGGCAGCTGTTTTACGTCTTACCACTATGCAACAAACTCCTGGAATGGTGAGACTTGGACGGAACAAGCGTTCACTCAGTATAGCTTGTTGGACTATTGGGATATGCAAGCCCGAACACCACGTCAAGGTAGCAGCTATCGGTCGGGAGGACAGAGCGGGACCACACATAATCATGCAACTGTTTCATCACCACCGTGAATCAGTCGATTTGATGTCGCTCACAATCAGTATGAATGACAAGCTTTGCAGATAACTCTTATTTTTGTGAACACATTACTGTCTAACTTTCGGCCGACAACAGAAGAGACATGTGTTTACTATCCTTATAATCCATAAACCGTTTAGCCTATGAAACTATGTACGTGAATTACAAACTTTCAGTGCATAGTAGTTTACAGCAAACGAACTAAAGGACTGTTGACTAACTGGGAAATATTTCTGAATGAGGAATAATATAATAGTAACGAGTTAAAAGTAAGCCTGCAAAAGCGGTAACATGGCAGCACTTTCAAGTAAAATCGGCACATTTTAAAACTAATACAAATCCAATGCAATATACCTGTTTTAGTATCATTGATGGATAGTGACTAGCAGTTGAATCCAGGACACGTGTCTCGTTCTAGGTGAGACTCATTAGCTGGATGTATCTGCCTCCTAAGTGAGTGGTGTTATTCCCACTAAGACTAGAACCCAGGGTCAGACTCTTCAAACGCCAATGTTACCCAGTAGGCCACTGAGGCACGATAACCACTTATTGTGCAACAGGAATAGCATGGTTTCGATGCTACAGCTTGCAAGTCTCCGTCTTTCATTGGAACGAATTAATCGGCCACCATTGTCATACAGGCTCCCTGTGCGAATGCCTCAATATTGCCGGTATTTTCAATTTTGATGTTAGTGATGGGTAGTGGTTAGCAGTAGAATCTGAGATGTGCGTTTCGTCCTATTTGGGACTCATCCATATATTCGCACAGGAGCTCATATGGTAAAAGTGGCCGGTCAATCCGATCCAGTCAACAGCGGAGATATGGAGACTACACTTATTTTAGTTTCACACATTCCTTTGATAGGGCCGATGAAACAGATTTTCAACTTTGATAAGAAGTGGCGTTATGGATCATTAGTTCAGGCAACTGACCATTAACTAGTGAGTCACAGATCTGAACACCCCTCCACCTATCAAGGTCTAGATAGTAAAGATACCATCACTAGCCCTCAACACAGTGTGGCTCATTGCTTACTGCATGAACATCCACATAGTTACAGAAAGAGTTTCAATTTCGTTCTCGATGTTTTCGACTTCGATAAAAGATAAAAATCAACTGATCAATGATCATTTTTCCCCAATAGTATCGGTAAGCATCATGTTTTCTGTGGACGTCAAACAACTACTGACCGACTACCGTTACTGTTTTTTTTCCATCTGTTTCGCTGCTACAACCACCACTAACTTAAAAGAACTTTGATCAACTGGCATTTTGGGCAGCTTTGCTTCGAGTTGCACTTAAATAAACTGTATGCACTAACTAGTTTAAAAAAAGGTTTGGGGGGAATACTAGGTTTTTTGAAGACTCAGTTGGAAGTTAATAGCCTTCTTTACCACCACCTTTATAATGCAAACTACACCATGTAGGGATTCGGCGTCGTCTTCTGCTCTTCATCTAGTTGTTTGTTTGTATGAATACTTGGTGTTCTTAATTTTAGCAAGAGCATGGAGAGATTCAGGCATTTCCAATAAATCAGTATCAGCAAATTCAAACCAGTAAATAATTACACTACAACTTTACGCATGATGACGACTGTTTAGTAACTGGATAGACAGCTATGTAGATGATGATGTATATATAATAGGGCACAAAAGCGTATACATTAAGCTTAAGACAAAAGGATTTTATCCATATAAACTTCTGTACGCTAGAGCTGCATACCATCACCGAGCAGTTATTATCACCTGTGGAGTGATATTTGAAAAACGAACCTAACTTATTTAACAAGTCAGACGCCAAAAGCATCATAGTTGCAACTTCAGTAGTCTGAATGTCGAGGTTATTAAAAGCTATTCCTCTCCAAAACCACTGCTACACCAAAATCATAGAGATCAGTTCACTGGTCAATAAGAAAGCTGAATAAACGGCAAATGTAGCTTTCCGAAATATGAACGGATATATAAATATTAATACTTAATCATTTAAACTACAATTTATGTAATATACATGTATAAGACTCAACCTCGAAGTAAATGATCTCTCCTGTGAGATAAGAACTCGTGCTACCCAGTGTTGCAGTCAGAGATGTTACCACAAATGAGCTATTCAGGCCACAACTGACCTCCTGTATGGCTGGATTACAGTGGTAACGTCGCCAACTGCAACACTGGCTGACGTGGGTTTGAATGTGACAGTACGCCTTAATGACGAGTGCCAACAAGTACGAAGTCCAGGTCCAGGGCTTCCTGCCGATTACCTCAACAAACTAACATCCACCAACGTGCACCGCGATGGTGATCCTTCTACCTTTGCTGTCATATTGCAAAATAGTCGACAGAATTCGGTCAGCACTCAGGACTAGATAACATGAAATTAGTTGCTTTCCGGTCATCAATCAATGCAGATATGAGACTCAACTTCCACCGTTGCATGGTTGCCTTGGTTATGAGTTTCGTTCAAAAAGATGACGAAGTTACGTATTACTACAGTAGGCTGGTTCTGCGCTAATTCAGAAAGTTCACCTAGTGAGCAATATATAGGGGAACTTACGGATATGGAGGTAAATGACCAGAGATTAATAGAAGTCTTAAGGTAATTACTTGTTTCAAGTAAGAATGAAATAAATCCCAACGTATCAGTTCGATGATAGGCAAATATGAATGGACGCTGCGTAAAACATGTCATACAAGCACATACAGTCAGTTGCCTTGTTCGAAAGCGACACACTGACGTTTAACATCTAGTTAATTTACCACAGTAACTGTTGCATTGGCAAACCCACCTCAACTCTGAATGAAAAAGCACTTCAGACGATAGTAAAGGTACATCGAACTTACTAGTAAATGGAGCTCAAAACAGTTGCTTCAATGATCATACCACGAAACCCGATGTTAGCTTACTGTTTTATTTGAAGTGATAAACATGATGCTGATGAAAATATCAGAAAAAAGGTATCTCCTAGTTATGACAAATCGGAACATGAATTTAACTTATGCATGTACAATGGTAATATTATAGTCACCTTTTGGTTAATAGCTGTCCTAATTTTTTCTTCCAATAATTCACGTTCTTTCACCCATTCTTTCTGTTCAGATTGCCAAGCCAATTTAAGATTTTGTGCTTCATTTTTTACTGCTATAAGATTCTCCATAACTCGCTTTAATTTAGTTTCACTTTCATTCAAGCGCTCCTGCAGGTCGGTATCTTGTGGATGATTGTTAGGATGAGAATTCTGTATTCCATTGACTAAATTAGATGAAGATGAGGAAGACGACGATGGTGATGAGGTGGAGATATTGTAATTCTTTATACCATTCTCTAAAGGTCCAGTTTCCTTTTTATGCACTACATTGTGAACATCCTCCAAGTCTGTTTGAGTAACATATTCACGATATGAAGCTAATTCTCCGCGTAATCGAGTTAATTCAGACAGCACCTGATTGTAAAACCAAGCAAAATATGAAAACGTACGCAAATCAGAGAGTACACTAACGATGAACAGAGATAATTTTAATCGAAATAAAACCAGTGCAAATATATGACACATTTAGTCTGTTTTAACAACGATACAACTCTACTGATAGTTACCGAAAGAAAGCTGAATATGAAAGCATTAATGAATACGTCTCATGATAAAGCCATAAACTGATATGATGTCTTTGTTTAAAAAAATTGGTTCGACAAAACAATAAGATGTAATTTAGCTGAATCATGTAATGTGTGTTTACGTAACACATTTCGAACAATCCGATCGTTGATACAAGTCATAGGGCTGGTGTTTCAACATCTATCAGACCTATTTACAAAACGTGTTGCGAACGGATTCTAAATTGTATCGAGGCCTTAGCCTTTTTGGGTTCAAAAACGATTTGCTATCAAAGCAAACCTCCCTTAGCGAATTCAACTCAAAAACCGAGTTCGATATACTCTTATTTCCGCTCTATTGATTTTCATTGTTATTTTGGTGTTTAATTTATCTTTCCTAGTAGTTGACCTTCTTTCATATTGTTACCCCTTATCTTTCATATAAATATCTATGACAAGTATGTATATGACCAGATTATTCGAAATATGTTGCTCAAATACATTACACGATTCAGCCAAATTGAGTCTTCTCATTGTTTTGTCGAATATCAGTCGATTTTAGCTTCTAGTCACTTCTGTTAATTCATTTCATTCAGTGTTCTTAAGATATGTTGAAAATTAGATTGTATCCATACTGTTACTAATTAAAAACAGCAAAAATGTTTTTACCGGAACGAATATAAATTTCAGCTTCTACTTTCAGGTCTTCTGTACTAATAAGAATACTTCGATGAGGTTTGCGGTGATCTAATACGATAATATGAATACTATACATGTAAAAGAACGTTAAGGGACAACGCCAGATAAATTTAAAAAAAACCAAACTTCAGAAATAGTTTTAACACACTGCTTAAGGAATATACAGTTACAAAAGAATTCTGAGTTAGTATTCATCACGGACTGACATCACTTGAGGAACCATCGAAAATCTGGGAGGACTGGACGGCTGTTTGGTTTTAGTATGGGACTCGTCGGCAGTACGCACCTACGACCCGGCCAAGAGATTGAACTCAGGACCTTCAGGTTTCACGGCGAACGCGTTAACCGTTCAGCCACTAGGTGGGTGTGTACTGCCGAGTCCCATAATATAACGAAATAGCTGTCCAGTGCTTCCAGATTTTTAATGGTTCCCCAACTGATGTCAGTCCGTGATGAATACTACCTCTAAGTTAAAAATCCTCATTCATCTCAAAAACGCAAAGCAACTCTCTTATCTGATTTGTCGTAAAGGTCACCCAGTGATAAATAGCTGAGTGAAATTGATATGATCATGAGCAATAATTTATGCTCGAAATGTCATCAAGTAAATAATACTATATCACTGTGTGTTATATATCAAATAAACAAATCTAATATGGAATACTGTTAGCAATCTTAACAGAATTGTCACAAGCCTAACGACAGCGAAGTAACGTTCTTCAACATGGATATCAGACATGATCGCTGAAGAAAGACAGCACAAAGCTGAATATGTTGGGCTACTAGTATCTTGGAAGCATCATCAGCGTAAAATGGCGTATTCATGCTGGGTTATTAAATGTTCGTTTGGGCTGTCGAATTAACTTCGAGATCCTAGGTATGGTATTCAGAAGTAGCTACATCAAGAGTTAAACACCCTGAGAAGAAAAATAACGGTCAATTAGCATTGTGTAACTATGAGCTGCTAATCCATCGCTTTAGTTTCTCGAGACTGTTGTCTTAGACATTGTACATTCACTACGTTCTTTTTAAAACACGACTATATTCATGGTAGATAATTAATCTTTTTTCTTTAATGCCTTAACGTGAATGGATTGGAGACTTTTAGTCACTCAGTAAGACAAAAATAACAACAGTACAAACTAGGCCGTAAAATGTAGCAACTAGTAACTTATCAGTTGTCAAATAAAAACGTGACAGTCAACGAAACACAGGAACTTATAGCTTACTTTATTGTATTCTGATTCCCAAAATTTGATAGCTGACTGAGCATCTGAAGCACGTTTGACCAGTGATTCATTCTCTTCTTCGAAAGCTTCCATTTCAGATTGCAACTTTTTTCGCAATTCGTGTTGTTCAGCAAGTCTAGGAACGCACAAGTATATACATTCAAATCAATTAACCACTGAAGGTAAATTATCAACAAATGGAACTGAATTCTGCTAGCATAGGTAGGTAGTATCTACAGCATATTTTTAAAGCAATATTTTGTGAATGACGCTCTGATTAGATAGAAGTAATGCTAAATAGAGACAGAGGAAACGGTTAAAATGTTCGCTTGCTATAAGATTCAGTTGATTAGCATTTGTAACACTTGTGTTATGTGGTCAAACTACAAAATTTTCATTTTCTTGTAATCATTTGTTAGTCATGTGGTAAGTAGAATACTCAGGAAACATTGTAGTATGGTATGAATTCATCATTTTTCGGATGTATCACAAATCTTCTGCATGGGTACACTAGGTCTTAGTGGTATGCATCGCTATTCTTGTTTGTCTTCGTCGTATGGTTTTTAACAACAGCCGATAACATTACTTTCATTTCTTTTGTTAACTGCTAGCTTGGTGTAAATTATAACTTATAACTTACTGGCAGATTGTTAAGATCGGTCTCTCCAACATGCATACTAACCTTAAAAGTAAAGATTAACGAATGCAATAAAGGTGGAGCTGTGGGTCATTGGTTAAGGCGGTTGACTTTCAATCACTGGGTGACGGGTTCGAATACTGCTCCGCTTAGCGAGGTCTGGTCATTTAAATAGTATTGCCGGTCCTCATACATAAATCGCGACTCAGTCCGTACCATGCGAATGTTCGCGAGGTTACTGAGTGAACTTCAAAGTTTTCTTTTTCGCCTTCGTGAACACAACGAAATAAATGCAACTATTTATAACATAATCAACCACAGCTATTATGTGAAAACTGGAATTAAAATAGACAGAGAAGCTTATAGAAGTGATCAATAATCATAAGAACACATTGCACCACTTCACCTCCTATCACTATACTGGGAGTACTTGCCATAATCAGTCCTGGAGCATCATCTTACATTTGACAGCTGTCAGCGAAACGCATGCCAAACATACTCAGATTTCTGTTCAAGTCGTCCGGAAGATCCTGCATTTTGTCAGCGTCTTCACTTGGCAGAACAATATCGTTTCTAGACTCCAAGTCAACGGATAGGATTGATATCAAAGTAGGGAAAGGTGTATGGAGGGGAGAGAGATAATTTAAAAATTAAGGATAGTTGAAACATTCAAGCTTCAGAAGACGTTAAGGAGTGAATACATCTGCGCCATTGTGAGCAATTTCACCAAGAGTCCTCAGCCACTGATTAACGTCTTGCGGACCCTAGCCAGGTAGTCTTCACCTCCTTACGCGACTCAGAACAACAGTTCATGAATTCATGCACTGGTACCATGTTTTAGTTTAACTACCCTGAAGCTTCTTCTAACTTAATTTTAGTTCTGTTAGCATAGCACATTTATGTAGGATACTAAAACTTAACTGGTGTAGTATCACTAAGTCGATACAGATTGACGCTTATTGACTTCAATTCAGGAGTGATAAAATTTACTTTCTAACTTAAATCGGTACCCGCATAATTTAAAGCAGTATACATGTCCTTCCTAAATCTGAAGGAATTCGAATGATATCGTTCTTTTGAGATCAGAGATACAACACAGCTTAATTCTATGAACACAACAAACTTGGTCATCAACAAAAACACTAGAATCTTTTTTTATGTGCATACAAAAACACATTCACACCACAGTCGATGTGATTCAAAAGATGTGAAAAGCAGAAATATGCAAAAACTAGGGAAATGAGGAAACAATCTCTTCCTCCTTATCAATAAGACAGCAATTAAGAAAAGGAATTCATCATCATATGATAACAATGAAAACAATCAAGATGTTAGGAATAATCATTATGTATATGCATTGTATCTGTAGACGAAAATCATGTAAACCAGACAGGTAAGAATTACGATAGGAAGAAGTTCAAATAATTGTTATTTTTATATCCAAGATAACTGCGTAAGCACTTTTACCGTCTTAGCAACACTTACATCTTACTTAGAAACAAACATATTCACCAAGCAATTATGGTGGCCAAAAGAATGGTAAACTAGTGCGCGCGCACACACAAATACACATCTTACTATTGCAGATTTTACTGGGCTAATAAATTACAAGATCGCGATGTTCAACTAATTGCAGAAATTATTCATAACATAAGCATAACACCTGCACGGGGACACTTCATGAATGTTAACAATAGTTACATAATGCTTTTGCCGGTGATCAACAGCAACTCTTGAAAAGAAGCATCTTGTCGGTGGTAATTGAAGAAAAATAGTTTGTAGATTGCATGGATTACCTCAAAAAACGTGGTGAACAGCTGAGTTTCGCACAGGGACGAAACAGCTGTCCAGTGTTCAATGGTCCTCCAAGAGATATCAGTCCGTGATGAATTCTTCCTTGAAACAAATAAAATCCGCATAGAGACCAAACTAAACTACTGCCTAGTACTCGTTAGTGACATGCTTCGAGATGAATATTCCGAAGTTCCAATGAGAAGTCGTGACCTGTGTGGTCAATCAAGTCGGAAGAGAAGCGGATACCAAGTGGAGACCTTGGTGGTTAGTGGACCTAAAGGTCCTCAGTTTGATCCCAGGTGGGATGAGGTCGTGGGCGAGTACTGCTGAGGAGTCCCATACTATGACGAAACAGTCATCCAGGGTTTCCAGGTTTTTAATGATTCTCTAACTGATATCATTCCGTGATGAAACTATGACGGAATGTTATATGAGTTTACTGATTACTCCCTAAGAGCATGAAATTCAAGAAAATTAAAACGTATACTATTTTGGAATGCTAGAAGCATGCGTCATGAGTCGTTTCGTGATCTAGAGTTTTAGTCGGAAGATGTTTCAGCGTAATGCTAGACATTATCAACAGAGCTTTACAAGAACACGAAGTAATCGGTTGTGTACGGATGTTCCATAACGTGCTACTTTGCTTCAACGTAACTTTATTGGTCGTCCGATTTAGGCTGAACCTGTTGGTTAACTTTTTGTCTATGGTTTTCTCAGAGGGGTGTGTAACTAATTGATTGGTCTATTTCTCTTGTCTACCTGCAGCGCACTAAGATTGCTTTATTGAGTAGTTGGATCTTTTCTTATGAATGAATTGATGTCACACTTTGGTTGACTTTGTTTGACTGAAGTGATGAAGGTTAGCTTGACCTGATTAGTTGAGTTGCGCATATTGTAGAGCTGGTGCTTTATGCTGATTGGTCGATTCGCTCAAAGTGAAAGGTGTTCCTTGCTATATCTGACGACTTAGATTTTACTAGGGAGGCGGATTTCTTTTCTTTTGATCGGTCAACTACAGGAGTTTGTTTAGTTATGCGTGAGTCATCCTCGTGTAATTGGTCGTCGAAGGTTTCCGTACATTTAGGTCGATCGATTCCTGTAATTGCATTGTTTCAAATAGACTTGTATACTACATAAGTCGATGGGACGATTTATTGCTAATTTGTTTGAGTTTCAGACGTCCAGGAATTCTTGGGCCGTTTTCCAGTTTTCACACTTAAATATTTTGAAGTTGTCTCAGTCGGCCATGCGGTTGTAGTTGTTACCGTGCATTTGGATAAGACTTCACATAATGACACTTCACAGCTAGCGTGAGCTCGTGTAGGTCACATTTTTAATGCATACTGTACTAAGGAAGTGAATTGACTACGTGACACACCTGGTCGAATAAATCTACATCTACCCAGTAGGTGAGAAAATGAAATGCATACCGATTATTTTAGTATGCAAAAGACATACATAACCGCAATTAATCATGCTACTTAGTGGGAAATCTGGATTTTGTGAGACAGACAGTGAGAAAGAAAGGGGGAAGAACAAAGATGGAATACATTATTTCCAATCTTCACGCATGAATGCAAGCAAAATGTGATATGTATTTCTGACGTAAACATGAATCACAGAACCCAAGTGGATTACCTATTAGCGTCAAATGACTGTCTAAAATCTGTTCAAACTCACGACAGTAAACAGTTGATCACAATCATACAGTGCACTAAGTCTGGATTATCAGCCAAAAAATGTGTAGGTATTAGGCTGGAGATAATCGAACAAGATAAAGCAGTAAATATCAACGTCTGAATCGAAATGCACTCAACAACTTTGTACACATTTGTGCAGTAGGCAGTGAGGCACATCTATTATGTGAGGACTAATGAAACTACTGCTCGGTTGGCCAAACCTCGGTAGGTTAAGCAGGGCTCGGACCTGTGACTCGTTAGTTGACAGTCAAATCGCTAAACAAATGAGTTACAGCTCCATCCACGATACTACCAGTCATCATTATTAAGTTTTAAGTACTTTTGTTCAATCAACAGAATCTAATATAGTCAAACAAACACTGTGTTGTATCACAATACAGACCACATGAATCGTTTGAATACAATTATAAGTGTTCTTATGAGCCGCTTTAATGTTCAACTTTTTAAATCAGTGACGGAGTTTAAAAAACTTAAATAACAGACAGACTAGAAATGATAACGGCCAGTTTACATGTTCAATGCTCTGCTGTATAAATAATTAAACCCAACTGTTAATGATATTTTAATTTTGTTTAATTTAATATTTATCACTTCCTGCTAAATTTGAATGAGATCCATGTTTCCTTTTTTGCATTTATGACATGAACGAGATCATCGTTAACTTTTTAACACCATTCTTCTAAATTCGACTAAGCAGATAGTCAATGTTGTACACATAGATTTTATAAATGAAATAAATAAACTTCGTCAATATATCTAAGTGATTCTTACTCATTTTTAAGTGAATCTGCATTAGCTAAAATAAGATGATTTTGTGTCTCCGATTCTTTAAGTTTTTCCGATAAAGAGTCAACTTGTTTTGTCAATGAATTTATGATTGATACATGATCATCATTAGATGACAGATTGTGAGTTCCTGCAACTTTTTCTGTGGGAACTAACGCCATATCTTCAGTTATGCTTTCATGTTTGGACTGATGATAAGACGACAAAGTATTTTTCAATTCTGTTATTTGTATCTGGTTTGTAAATAGATAAGAGTATAACAAACAAGTAATTAATGAAGTTAACAGTAAGAATTCGATCGGTCACAAAATACAATAGCATTCATCTAAATAATTTTACGACAGATTGCCGACACATTTTTACATGAATACAAGCTAACTCTGTATATTTGAAACTGATGATGGATAGTGGCTAGTAGATGAATCCAGGACACGCATTTCATCGTATTTGGGACTCCCCAGCTGGATGTACTTGCCTTCCAGTGAGTGGTGTTGTCCCCACTGAGACTCGAACCCAGAACCAATCGCTATAAATCCCAGAGCGTTGTCCACCAAGCCATTGAGTCACGACAGCCAACAACAATAACACTTACTGCGGCGCAGGTGCAACCAGCTGACGAGTCCCGAATAGGACGAAATTCACATCCTGGATTCCACTGCTAGCCAATATCTATCATCGATATTAAAAGAGAAGACCCTAGAAATATCGAAGCATCTGAACATGAGCCCATATTTCAATAAAGACCGATAGATTCGGTTCAATAAATGATGGAGATTCGCAAGTTATAACAGCAAAACTATTTATATGAAATTTACTGATGACATACTGAACAATAATTTTTTTTACAGTTGAAATGTAAATCACTCCATTTTTAGAATGGTGGATCGAAACTTTGTTGTGTTCTTGGTGTTGTTGTTTTACTCAGAAAAGATTGAGCAGTTCTTCTGTAGCAGTGCAAGAAAAAACGGATCAACGTCAATTATTATAAAGTATCCCATGGTTATAACAGTGAATTTGTACTAAATGTCACAGTCTCGTGTTCTAACTACAGAGTCTGGGAACTGATAACAAAGTATTTGCCAAGATATTTACTTTGTTGCAGGTGTTGAAGTAATGCCCATTTTTATGAACATAAGTTTAGGTGGCTATTGAGCAAGGGCTCTATACTCGAAATCACAAATCTGTAGATGAAGAAAATGAGTAGTTAGCGCCATCGAGAAAGCAGTGTTGAAGAGAGGTACTGCGTTTTCGGCAAGGAAACCATTAGATTAGTTGAGGCATCTGTTTGGAAAACTGAGTTACATCTACCACCTAGAAGCAATAATGTCAATAGTTGGGCCAAGTCAGAAAGGTGGCCAAATAAAAATGGCACGTAACTAAGTCATTGGTTGGTAGCTTAAATCATGTAGAAAGGTATAGATTACATAAATGAGGTCACAATGACTGAGAAATAGACGTTGAAAACTCAATATAACTTTGTCTGAAATCAACCAACACCGTACAGGTGCCCTTTTTTTATTATTTTACTCAAACTTCTGCATATATTTCTAAATTGTATCTACTTTCTCTTCTTCACCTGTTGTTGTTTTGTTCATTATGTAATTTGAAAACGTTTGAGATAACCTGAAGCAATTTAACCTCATGATTCACTGTTTTCTTTATGTCTATCACAGAGAAAATAGGTAGGAAGTAAAGCTCGCGGAAACAAAGCTTAAATAAGCAATTTATTGAAGAAACGATGGTGTTTCACTACGAAGACTTAGTTACTATTGAAAAAATCCAGGGTGTCTGGACGATAGCTAAACTTAACAGAGAAATTGACAAAAACGTCATGGAGATAATTCATGTTTTGATGCAGCATTAGGTACTTTCGCACACAGTATATTCATGCAAATGTATCGATGTATCACCTTTCACGGACGGGTTGCTGACGAAATCTCATCTTGGATACATATAAGGTTCATTTGACATTTGCCGAATTGCATCATCTCCGGTATCGACCGATGAGATACCCAGCTACTTATTAAAGGACGGGTATGCTGCAATAGAGTCCGCTTTGTACTGTTATACTGCTGTGAGACATGGCTTTTAAAAACAGAAATATGAAGCAGTTACAGGTTTTTCCCCATAGGTGTCTTCGTCGCACTGCTTACGCGAGGTGAAATCACCACAAGAGCAATATAGAGGTTAGGCAAAGGATGCTAGTCAAGACAGACAAGTCTGCCGATGAGGTTGTGGACCTTCAGTGACTGACGTAACTTAAGCATGTAGTGCGCATACCAAGCCACTGTCTACCTCGACAAAAAACGATAGAGGAAGTTGGATTAGGTTAAAAGAAGGCTCAGGGTGGCCAGACCAAGACATGGTACCAGTACATGCGGTCTCGGACTGTTGGTCTGAGCCGTGTAGGCAGCTGTAGACTGCCTGACTGGGGTCCCTGAAATGATAGGAATCAGTGGTTGGAGAGCTTTGGTAACATGGCTGGGAATCGGTCACAGTGGTGCAGATGTATTCACTTCTTGACGTTAGTTTTCAAATTCCTCTTCCTCCTATACACCTTTGTGTGCATCGATGCCAGTCTTTTTCTGCCTACTTGTTCTTTGTATGCTACTCTTAAAAACAGCAACTTCAACCGATGTATCTGTGTGCATGCCTGAATAGGTTGCTCAACTGTTGTAAATCAGAAGTCGAAAATACCACTGGAGTTAACCGATGAGTAAGAAATAAAGCTCAATGATTACATACAGATTCATGTACTACGAGCTACAAGTTGAAGGTACTATGTTAACAATGAAATGGTGAAATAGAAAAAAAATTGGTGAGACTAGGCTAATTTATGCAATGCATGAGTCTAGTGTTGTGACTATTTACATATAACTCAAAAGCTGACTATTATTATTGCACTGAGTTAGTTTATCATCAGGCGTGAAGAACTTAGAGTAACTTTAAAGGACACTCTAGTAAACCAGTAAGATTTTTTACCTTTCGCTGGAAATGTAGTTTTTCATGAAAAAGTGTGACTGATTATTTCAGTAGTCACTCAGTGCTTATGTAGTACGATTTTAAAATATGCGATAGGTAGGGATAGAGTAACCGTTTAATACGAGACTCCAATTTTTGTTTCTTCGCCCAAATGCACAAGACCGATAGAAAAGACTGACTTTAAAGGTCACTCTAGCAACAACGTAAATAACCAATTAAATTTCTGTATTTTATAAAAATCTGCCTTCCCAGCTGAAATGAAGAAACCTAATTGATTATTTCAGTCGTTGCTAGGGTGGCCTTTAAAGTCGTCCATAGAAAGTGCTGTACCAAAGTAGTATCAGATTAATGAGGCAATTTTTTCAAAAAATAATCAGCAACACATCATGCAAGTATATTTTCTCCCTAAGTGTGCTTAAATTATATTGAAACTAATATCATATGGTGCAAAGGTTTAGTACTAATAGCAAGTTTATTCATAGGTAAAATGAGAATTTTTGGTAGCAGTGCATCATCTGTTGACCAACTAATTTAAGCGATAACACTATATAAAAGACCGTGTATTTCAAAGAGCAGAAATCTAGGTGGGTATACTACTAATTAACAGATGTAATATCAATGATAATTTTTTGAGTAATGTTTAAAAGTAAGTGAGAAAAGCCATTTAAAGTTAGAATTATAAAGGTGAATGAAACCATGCATTTGTCAGTCATTCAATCAACATCAACAAGGGAAGTGGTATCACTGCATCGCTGTACAAGTTCCTACACATCACCGTATCAAAGTACTAGGCACTAATATAAGTGAAAGAGAAATAGTGAAAGATGGAATCAAAAGAATTAAAAAGAGGAAGAAAGGTTAAAACAATGACGCAATTCGGTACGACAACTGAGATGAAGATAATGGTGTGGATTCGTCAGCACCAGTGAGTTCAATTTCAAATCGAAAATCGAATCCATTCAGCAACTTTGGGCATATTTGTGCAGTACGCAGTGAGCCATATATATATTGTGTGAGGGCTAGTGATACTACCTGGCTGCCTAAACCTCGGTAGGCAGAGAGGTATTCAAACTCGCGATCCTCTGGTTGAAAATCGACTCAAACTGATGAAAAATATCGCGCTTAGTCTCCGACCATGTACCGATATAACTTGGACTTCACAGCATCACATTTTGCCAACGTGTCAACCAGATTGCATTCAAAATATGGAAATATTACGAAATTTTGCCATATCATTAAATGTTTTTATACGCCAGCCTAAACCAGCAAACCTAACTAGACATTTTACGTGTGATGGTAAAGGTTAGATTGACCAGTGAATGATCATTTGATCGAGAAAATATAACATGAAAAATAACGATCCTAAACATGTTCCAGTTAGATTAAAACTTAGGTGGGGAGCGGATGGGAATACGTAAAGTTTCATCAAGAGAGATGAATAAGTCCGAAGATGAATCACAATAAAACACTAGTTGATGCTTTATGATAAGTTAAAACTTACTTATTTGAATTAACCTACTACTTTACAGGACTAATTATTTTTATGATTTCTTTACATCCCCTCTTCATTTCTTGGACAAAAGAATTTGTGTAGTAACCATCATAAAGAATACTAACTTGGGGCTAAAGAGTATTAGATTTTCAGTGTATTGTACTGATATCGTATGTAAGATCGTACTTTTTTTAAAGGTGTACTTCAACTTTAGAAGGCAAATGAACGTCGAAAAAATTTGAAAGTTTGTGGTGTGAATCGAAGAGTATAAGATGATTAAAACGAAGTCTTAACTTGCCTCATAAGCTTCACATTTTGTGCGTAGATTCTCGATCATCTCAGTTACAGCTGTCTCATTTATTCTCTTCTCAAGCTTCGTATCAAGAATTGTTTCTGAAGAGTTGGATATTTCACATTCATCCAATGCTATAGATTGGTAGATGAACCAGTATCGCATAGGGCTTGTGATTTTGGTGTTTCAGCAAGGTATGAACTTTTATCAGAGCATTTATTCTCGTTTTTCAATGTCATTTTAAAATGTGCAGGACCCAGTTCATTCAAAGGAGAGTTGTTAGTAAATGTGAATCCAATACATGCAACTTGGCAACCACGAAAAATCGGTCCAAGAGGTGGTCCTTCCTGAAAGTAGTACACGAGATAAAGTGATAAAAAGTTTGACAAGTCATCTTAAGTCAACGCGTATGTACTGGTGATACTATTGTAAGGTTTTTTGAATAAAATAAAAGCAAACGTGATACCCCGTATAGAAGCGCAGTGGTTACAGTTGTTACTTGCTCTTTATAACGTGGTCAAACTTATTTGTTGTGATCATGTATAATAAAAGAAGTTTGCAAATATGCTCCATGTGAAATTCGTACTAAATAAACACAAATTCACGAAAAGGAAGAATACAAGGCGCAGACCACCACTGATAAAATAAGAAATTGCAGCTATTAAACAGTACCATTCGTAACAGTTGTCTAAAAAATGAACATATTTTAAATTGTAGTAGTGAGGACATAAATGGAAAAAAAGGATTTCTTTGAAGTATCGAATCAAACTATTATTAACAGGAATATTTGTAAGAGAATGGAATGCATTATTGTAGTTATCATATAAAGGTGAAAACATGCTTGCCTTAAATTCAAAACTTATAACATACGCACAATACAGAAATTTTGATATTTATCAAAGTGATGTGAAAGGAACTAAAAAGCGATGGGAACAATACAAATCTAAATATTATTTGTGCATACAAATTTTCGAGCAAGAGAATATGTTCGAATTGTTATTTCACCACTGTTAGTCGTAATGTGACTTCAAGAATCACAAAAATACGTAGTAGTATTCGACGTATATTTTTTAACCGCGACAAACACCATATGCAAACCAGAAAATCGAAATAAACTCACCTTTGGTATAACAAGATATCAAATGAAACCATGAAAATTTGGAAGAACACACTACCATTATTATTTATCCCTTGGGTTCCTAATGGAACATAGGGCTTCAGTAGCACATCTCCATTCCACTCTGTTCTCTGCAATCTTCTGAACCCGTCGCCACAACTGCCCACAAACTCTCATTTCTTCCTCACACGATCTCCTCCACGTTACCCTCAGCTGGGACGCCCAACTCGTCGCTTCCCATCTGCGTTCCACTCGACCACCTTGCCTGACGCATAATGTCCCCAGTCAGCATTCTCAGTGTATGCCCAATCCATCTCCACTTCCTTCTGCATATTTGTTCAGCAATAGGTTCTTGGTTGGTTCGTTGCCACACCACAGTGAGTTCCTTGTTGCTTATTCTTTCTGGCCATCCATCTGAGCTTCAGTAACGAGCCAGCGTAGGCAGTTGTTGATGAATGTCTGCAGTTTGTTGGAAGTCCCTTTCGTAACGCGCCAAGTCTCCCAACCATACAGAAGCACTGGCTTGACGTTGGTGTTGAAAATCCGGATCTTGTTCCACATGCTGAGTGCGGTGCAGAAGATCTCCACACTGGTTTCAGGTTAATGAACGCCCGTCTTGCTTTTCCGATCCTGGCTGCTTTGACGTCCTCGTCTGTGTCGCCTGTAGTTGAAACGATGCTGCCTTGCCTAGGTAGGTCAAAGAGGCTACTTCCCTTAAGTTTCTCCCGTTGATGGTGATTGGAGCTTGCTGTTGTTGCTGGTGGTGTTGTTGGTTGGGCATCTTTATCACCTCCGTCCTCTCTACGTTCACTTGAAGTCCCGTCTTCGCTGCCTCTTCTGCCAACTTGTTAGTTTTCGCCTGTAGATCTTCAAGTTTGTGTGACATCAGACACATGTCATCAATGGCGAAATCCAAATCTTCTAGGTTTATTTCCGCGGTCCAGCCGGCGTATCCCCCTCTTCTCGCTCCTCACTGTTTGTTGCATGATCCAGTCCAGTAGACCACAATCAGGAATATCATGGGGGATAGTAGACAGCCCTGTTTTACTCCTGTTTTCACTTCAAAAGCATCACTGAGCTTCACATTGTGAATTACTTGGCATGTGGCGTCTTCATATAGTTGTTGAATGAGGCTGATAAAGGTTCGTGGTATTCCGTAGTGTTGAAGCAACTGCCAAACTACTTGTCGGTCGACGCTGCCAAAAGCCTTCTCAAAGTCGATGAAGTTGAGGTAGAGATCCGGTTGACTGCCATTCTATACTCTGTTCTATGATGATGCTAAGCGTTATAATTTGGTCCGCACATGATTTGTACTTCCTGAATCCAGCCAGCCTGTTCCGGTCGTAGTTTTGAATCCAGCGCATCCTTTAGTCTCTCCGGGATGATGCGGCTTAATATTTTGCTTGGGGTGGACAGGAGCGTAAGTCCGCCCCAGTTCCTGCAAGGCCTTATGTCTCCCTTCTTTCAATCAATGTGCAGGTACTTTCCCTTCCTTCCAGACCTTCTGCAATAATGGCGTGAGCGTGTCTGCTGTTGTCTCTGCGTCTGCTCCCAGTGCTTCTGGCGGGATTCCATGTGGTCCTGCTGCTTTTCCGCGTTTCAGTAACTTTATGGCGCTCAGGACTTCGACTTTTGTTGGGGGATTTATGTTCACTTGTAGTTCTGTGGCTGCAGGTCGTATTTCTAGACGAGTGGCAGGTGGTGGTCGATTCAAGAGTATTTTGAAGTGCCCAGCCCATCGTTTCCTTTCTTACTCCTCTTTGGTAACTAGCTTTCCTTCACTATCTTTCATTGGTTTCGTCTGTGTTAATTTCTTCCCAGATAGTAACCTAGTTATTTGATCTAGTGTTGTCAGGTCTCTGTCTCTCCTACCTGCAGCCTGTTCTGCTTCACTTGCCAGTGTGTCGTAGAAGTGTCTTTTGTCTTTCCGTGCACCCTTCTTCACTTCTTTGTCCAGTGTAGTGTTTTATACATTGTAATCAGATCCTCTCCTCGTTGTGCATCCTTGCACTGCACTGGTTTATCTTCTGCTTCACCATCCTCCTCTCCCTCCTCTATCAGCTTCCATGTCTCCATCAACATCCATTCCATTCCTTCCTTATCTTCTTTCTTCTTCCTTCCTGATACGGCTGTGCAGGCTTCTTTCCACATAGCTTCCAAAGACTTCCAGTGTTCTATCACCAACTTCCTTGAAGGCTTTCAACTTGATTTGGAAGGTTCCTTGCACTAGGTAGTGGTCTGAGCCTACATCTGCTCCTCTTCTTGACCTTGTGTCAAGTAGGCTGCGTCTCCATCTCCACCTTCTTCACATTGAGATAAGGTCGATCTGGTTTTTAGTGTGTCATGGTGTCTGGTGAAATCCATGTCGCTTTGTGGATATCCTTGTGCTTGAACACACCAAATCGTTGAATGTACAGAATTCTGCAAACAATTCTCCATTCTCGTTCATCACCTCACCGAGCGCTTCTCGGCCCATGGTTAGTTCTCTTCCTGTGTTGTCTTCTCCCAGTTTTGCACCCATATCACCCCGCCCATTAGAATTTTGATATCGCCAACTGACGTCTTGTCCAGTGTTGATTGCAGTTATCTGTAGAATTTCTCCTTTTTCTCTTCATCTGCATTATTTGTAGGTGCGCAGCATAGCATTGTATGATTGTGACTTTCCTTCCTTTTGAGTTGAACCTTGCTGTTATGATCCTGCAGGAGGAGATTGGTTCCCACTGCATGAGAGCCTCCGATGCTCTTGGGAGTGGGACTTCATGATAGCCACTCCAAAACTCAGTGTGCTTGTGGTTGTCGTGTCGTCTGGGTGACAATATCAGAGTTGATGATCGACTCTGGAGTTGACAGTTTGGAGAGTCCACTTCCATTCCACCTGGTTTCTCAGATTCCAAGCACTTCATCGCGATACCTTCTCACCTAGTTTGCAGTCTGGGCTGCCTTTCTGGGTTCAAACACCGTGTGGACATTCCATGTCCCCACGTTTACTTTCGCTTTCATCGAGAGAAGACACATCGGCCAATTGGCTTCCCTAAAGCAGGCTTTCACCAACTGGCGTCATTTCGCCTCCCCAATTGGAGGGAGGAATAAGTTTGTTTTTATTTTTTATATTTCGTTTGTGCTTTGAAGTTTCTTTAGCGGTTGGATTTGTTTTACGGGGTAGGGTTGCTAGCCCTACGCCCAACCTTCTTTCCTTACCCGGGCTTAGGATCGGCTAGTAACTAGTGAACTAGTTAGCCAGGCAAGGAAAAACACATAGGAAGGAGATAAATTGAGAGAAGTGAATAATAAATGGACTAGAGGGATATGTGACGATGAACAACAACCATATAATAAATGAGGGATGGATAAGATGCGAGGAGATAGAACTGCGTTGGCTAGAACTAACACCTCCCAATGATATAGACTTAGCGCTTTGTCTGAGTGGTCTAGGGAGATGACTATCAACCACTGGGTCAAGGATTTGAAACCTGCTCCACCGAGGTTTGGACAGTCATATAGTATCATTAGCCCTCACACAATAGGTGTGGCTGATTACCTACTGTGTGAACGTGAATGTGGTTGATGAGTGCATTTTGTCCTTCTCACACGGCCTCAAAAAAACAATCAATGACTTCACATATTGCTATCACATTTTTGTCTAACTCCACTGGTGCGGCTTCCAACCTATCTTAATTAGTATCACAACTGTACAGTGGTCGCGCAGATACAATACACGTTTTAACCAACTAACATCATTAAAAGTGAACCGCATTGATAAGTTTCGTAGGTTGATGAGCATGTTGCAAAATGATTTATAAAATTCATTCAGCATTTAGGACTAGATAACATGAAATTGGTTGCTCTCCAGTGACCAACTAAAGTTCTAACCATCTCAATGAATGGACCGTTACCAAAAGATTTACTTTAAAATATATAAAACTATGCTTTTTACTTCTACAGCATACTCATGTACAAAAGACATGCCAATCTCATGTGCTGATGAAGAGACAATAAGATAGAGAATTATGATTTACTGCACCGAATCAGCTAGATGACAGTTAACCCTTCAGTGCAATGAAATAGCCATCAACCACAAAAAGGAGTTATGTTTGTGTATTTCTCCCATACAGTCAATATTAAGGTGGGGTGTTAACTGGAAAATATATCATTTCTTATCTAATTAGAGCAAGAATAGATATTAAGTTCATTTGAAACAGAATAGTTATAACTTTCGATGTTCACATTTATTAAAAGAAAACAAGTTACCATAGCTAGATGTCAGCAAAACCAATTCACAAGTAATGCGAAAAACTGTAGACTTGTTAGCTGGAGTGTGGTATGAACTTTTACTAGATATGGTTTAATATTGATACCGCTGATGTGTGTGTATCTAATTGCTCCTTGCTTAGGTCTCTCGACAGGTTAACTATTTCATAACCGTTTGTACTCTATCTTCTGTGGAAATTTTTCCCCTAACAGTGTTTTCTGTCTTGTCACTTATTCCACTGTTTGGCGACCTAAACTGATGAACTCTGTTGGCGTTTCTATCTTCGATTTCCCAGTATTTTTATCTAACAAGACCGTTACTTGGTTAATCAAATAGATCAGGAAATCCACGGTTAGAAAGCCAGAAGAAAGTATGATCCACATAAATACACCCACAACAAAGTTAAATAAAAATGAGGAGTAACTTTAGTGAAAATCAATTAAAGTAGACACACCGTAAGTTACGATGCAATTTCTCAATCGACAAATTTCAATGCTACCTAGTGTCATGCTTTCATATGTAAGCTTTTGTTCGAGGATTTGACAGAAGGGTAACACACCTAGCTGACAGACACATTCACAACAAGATCTGAAAACTTTCTGATTCTCTTAGATTTGCTGTTCCTGAATATATGTTATGTGTAAAATAACGCTGCATATAAATGTTAACCTTTTTGTTACTTAAACACCTTTTTTCTGGTGTCTGAAGAAGTGATGAGTACATCTCAGTGTCTACCTTATGATGCTAAGTAAGACGATTGTCTTGCAGAATACACTCTTCTCTTATCTCTTTAAATATTTTATAACGAACAAAATAACTTGGAAAATGTTACCGTCACTTGTATCTAAAACAGTGCACTTAAAAATAATTAGATATGACGACCAGCTATCATGAGATGCTGACAAGATACTACACTTTAATGTATTGGAAAACACAGTTATTTCACTATTCTACACCAACAGCAATCGAAGAAATGTCTAAGGTAATAAAAATTTCAAATCTTTATTACAATACTTTTTGAAAAGAATGAATAATAACGGATTTAAGATACCTCATGATTTTGAATATACCTTTCATACATAGTAAACGTTTCGCTTCATCGTTTTAAACTGAATGTCTCATTCAATAAAGTTTGTAACTAAAAAAATGCACTTACGTGATTACGAGAAGACTGATCAATGTCAAAGTTGGAAGTATCATCCGGACTGGTAACCTCAGGAATGTACGGAGGATTTTCTGAAATTCGAAAAAATAGTATAATTACCAGCTTATGTTTCATTACATGTCATATGCCTTGCAAGTATTGAAAATATCACAATGGTCTTTCGCTTTTAAAATGTCTAGTTAATAAGACACTAAGAGAAAAGGAAATAATCAGAAGATTAGTTGAAACAAAGTAACATAAAGCAACGTAGTTGATTACCGATCTTAATTGTGGACAAGGTCAAATATTCCCCAAATATATGGATGTCTATGAGGCTAATTAGTAAGTGAGTGTTGTTGTTTACAAACTACCTTTTTCGAAGGCTATAAACTATGCGGTAATGGGAGTTAGTTGCCTACTGACTCGTTTGGGTAGGCAGTAAGAAATCGCCATGAGCATTGTTCAGTGGAGTGAAAGGACATTGAGGATATGATATTTTCCAGATGTTTAACGAAACGCACTCAGCTGCTGCGTGCACATCCATGCAATAGGTAGTGAATCACACCTATTGTGTGAGGGCTAGTGATACTACTTGGCTGCCTAAACCTTGGTAGGTGAAGCAGGGTTCGAACCCGTGGCCCAGTGGTTGATAGTCGTCTCCTTAAATCACTGAGCCACAGCTGCATCGAAATGCTTAAGCTCATTAACTAGACTGCTTGCTGAATAAGTGTGTTTAGCTATTCATTTGCACGGTATGTAGCAGGTGACACACGCGAAAGAATAAGGAATTTAGTTAGACTATAGTTTTCGCTTGCTATAACACCATTTGTCCGCCATCTGACCAGTTTTCATGATTACTTTTTAGAGCCTAGAAGAAATGACCGGATTCAAAAAGAAATGCCTTAGTGGACATAATCCCTAACATCCAAATACATAGAGTGGCTGATACTTGTCAGAATGCAACAGACTCAAACTGCGTCAAACTAATCGCAGATGGAAAACAACCTTAGTGTGTCACATAATCGGTCAGAAGAACATCCCACTCAATTTCAGTGCTCGTAGGGAGATACCGTTATAACTAAGGTAAAACGATATCGTACAAGAAAACAAATACCATAATGCTGAGATAACGACGACAAACAGTAGGCAGGCGCAGTGCATGTTAAATCACAGAAGAACCTATCAAACCTGTATACTGAAAGAAAAGAAACCAAAAATAATTGTTGTGAATGGAACTTGTATGCCCCGAAAACTGCAAACCGAGGAACTATCTTATGCAAAACCTACAGTTAATGCTAAGTGGTGGTTGGTCCAAAAGAAGAAGCATAGAAGATGCACAACTAAATAATTATTCCACATATTTAAAGAAATCACCTGTTGAAGAATAGATTTATTTCAGATGCTAACAGCTTCTTTGAGAAATACACAGCAACTTTTATCAACAAAACAACATTAAACAAGTGAGAGTTAAGCGATCTAGTTTTCAATAAAATGAGGAATTCATACGTATTGTAGCAAATGAATGAAATTCTTTCCACTAGAGAACCAGCAATACTTAAGAGTACTTAAAACAACATCATGTAGACTTCAAGTGTCCCTATTTTTCAATGATTACAAAAAAGCGAAATTAATCCCGTCGGATGGCTCTAAAATTCCTTCAGAATCTTGACATAAATAGTAAAATTACCTTAAAAGGGAACACTGACCAATGAGTACATGTAAGTAGCCTCAAAACCAAGGACATATTTTTGTCTTATTAGGTGTTCAAAAGCTAGTTTCGTCATAATGTTACAAAATCCTTCGAAACCTCAAAATTACTGACTACCTGAGGAGACTAAGGTATCAAAAACCAACCAACAAAATTTGGAATTTGAACATTTACTTAGTGAAAGCGTTAAGACGTAATTTTCCAGACAATTAGTCATTATCTATTGTCTAACTTTTTGCAAATATACATACTAGTGGTATGAATAAACAGTTGTTCAACATATTTGCTGTTTCATATTGTCAGCAACATTAAAATAATTCCATGAGCCTCGTGCTACCTTTTCGACTGGGATAGTTTTAGTAGTTAGTTGAAGAATACATTAGCACACTAATAAAACTATCATTTTGAGTTCCATATATGACTTCGGTGATGTGCAGAACAAGTATTTAAGTAAATATGTGAGAACTTTTTTTTATCCATGCGGTTGGGATTTGATCATCACCGAAGCTTTTTGGTCGATTGATTAATAGTAGTAGTGATAACTGTGCTCGCAACTAAAAATAGACTCATTCAGAATACAGTTTCAACTGAGACATAGAGAACATATATCATAAACTGAAGATCACTTTTTTGTCTGATGAACTCGAAGCATCTGCAAATAGAACTAGTAAAATAACCACACTTCCAGTCTTACAGATAGCATGGTTGGAGACTTTAAGTTGGCAGATTACATTGATAAGGTTGGCCAGGAAAACTACTTACACAAACTGCAGTTGATTTCTATATTATCAAGCGGAAACTAAATATGCAGGTTTGTAACAAGTTCTGAGTCAGTTTTTCAGTTTGATGAAGAACTGTATCGTAAACAATTCACACCAGCTCACCACTTGTATTTTGGATCTGTCAATAAAGGAGCTGCTACAAATAGTTTCCTATTACTTAAAACTGTGGAGTTGGGGCTTATTGGTATAAGCAGTCAACTTTCAACCAATGGCATGCAAGTTTGAATCCGGCCCCACCTACCGGGGTCTGGTCAACCAATTAGCACCACCTTCCCCCACATAAAGTGTGGCTCATTACTTGGGTCAAAAACTTATAAATAGTTGGTAAGTTCTATTTTTTTACGACCCATAAAGAAAGAATATCGATTCAGATAGTTAGACTATCAATAGTATATCAAAATAAATAATGACAGAACATTTTATTTATATTAGAGATATGGCTTACGTTCTCGTATATGTTCCCAGTCTATACCTTTAAAAAAGGCATGATCCTTCAGTTCATCAATCCCATTCCGACCAAATCTTCGTTTCCGGTCACATATTAAGTGCCTCATTAGATCGCATGCTGATTCAGAGACATCAGTACAGTCAACCGGAATCGAAAAATGTTTCTAAAAAAAGACATTTTCTATAATTATGACACTCAAATCTAAGAGTAGAAAATTAAAAAGAGGAGAGTGATACAACAGAAAAACTGTAGGAAATATAATATTTTAGGCGATGTATAGCGACAAAATCAGACTATTTAATTTTAAAACGAGTCAATGTAATCAGTTTCACACCAAGCCATAAAATTTCTATGCTAGTTTTCTAGATATTTCTACAGTATAATGCGACGTACTTAGTAAACAGAAATTTGAAAGATGGACTATGGACTTGAATAGTACATAAATAAATACCATCGAACCTCTATTGTGACCTAGAAAGACCTGACAAGGACTGACAGCAGTATGAAACAAAATAAAGGCAAAAGGAATTCTTAAAAGCGTCAACCTAGTATGTCCTAGCAGGCAACTGAACAAAAGAACGTGGTCTAGTCAGAAACTCAAGTGTTACTCCATTCCTAATTTTCTCAATACCTAACTGTCTGTTAAGTATATTATTTTTTATATCTACTTGACAAAACTGCCTTAAAACGGCTTCTTTAAAACTACTGTTTCCAGTTAATTCGTTTCCTAATGAGAGCGTCTTTAAATAAGACATTTTAAACCAATAGGAAATCTTATTTACCTCAAAATTCATAATATGGCCGTATGTTTCGATTAAATTCTCACTGTAGAAAGGTGTTTCACCGAACAGCATTTCATACATCACGACTCCGAGAGACCAGTAATCACACTCAACACCGTAAGTTCCATGACCATCCTCAGAAGCACGTAAAATTTCAGGTGATATATAGTCTGGTGTCCCAACAGCTGTATTGTTCTTCACTAATCCGTTCTCCCCGAGTTTTAAACAAGAACCGAAGTCAGCAAGAACAATATGACCTGAACTGCAGTTAAAAGATAAGACCACAAAATTAGTTTGATATCACAAAAAGGTCAAAAGATTAGATGAAAATTGCAACATGAAATACTGGATCTGCAAAAAAATGCAATTCCTACTTTGTGAACTATCTGTAGGCAAAGAAACTTGCGACTTACTCAACAAAATAGATTTGAAAGTAAGGAGAGCATCTGGAAGTGATGAGGTACGGAAATTACGATATTTCCTACATAGTTACACTTTGGGAACAGTTATTAATCAATTAACTTGATTGAACTGAAAAAGAGATTGATGAACCTAGGTATTTATTTGGAGCATACTAGTTACATTTCTGCCCTAAATCATATACGGTCTAAAAGTAGTTTACACTTTATGGAACCATGAGTAATTGATGAAACTACAGAAAATGTTTGTTTGGTGATAAGCGGATGAAAATTTAATCTCACTGTAGTGATAATTTGCAATAAACACCTTTCAAGTGGTTAAGTTCATTCTTACTTCCATGATTATTTGCTACGCTTTGTTGGTTATCAGGATTATATACGGATTCGTGAATGCCTGATCTCCTAAGGGTTCGAGTAACAGACAACTGTTGGGAGCTTTGGTATATGTGGACTGTTTATGGTAGTTAAATGGCTGAATCTAGTTTATCAGAATGACAATTGAACTGTTTCAAATATGTATGCTATTTAAGCTTGACACTATCCACATTAAAAAAATAAAGCATAACACTGATGTATTCGTTTAAGTTGCTACATTTGAAAATGTACAGCGAAAAAACAACTGGAGGAGAAAAGGTACAAAAGTAGGAAAGATTTCCGGCTTAAGACTTAGGATAATAGGATGTCCACCACTAGGATGAGTATTTCGATCAAAATCAACACTAAATGACCTCATTAATCAGTATGAAGTTGTGGTTCACTGATTTAGGTGGTTTATTTCTAACTAGTCGGTCATATTCCTGCTAGGTCAAGACGCTGACAAGATTCAGTTTTCTGAACGCTTTGAGTGACAATTTGAGAATGTTTAGGCGTTTATCACCACCCAAATACAAATTGTTGCGTCAGGATTGGTCTTCAACGGTGCCTCGGGTAACAATAGACAGTGTAGTGATTGAGTATGTCGACCACTTCACTTACCACCTGAGAAGTAGGATCAGCCCTACCCTGGTGGCTCAGTGGCCGATGAAATCTCTGCAAGGATACAAAAGGCTTGGTTGGCTTTCGCCAACTTACGCCACCTATGGCACCGCCGCAATATCTATTTGTCTATTAACGGTCGCCTTTATTGTACAGCACCCGCTCTCCCCTACTGTACGGCTGTGAAACATGGCCACTGAAGATGGAAGACATGAGAAGGCCTCAGGTGTTTGACCACTGTTGCCTTCGTAGTAAAGACTGTGTTGAATGGTGCCACCACGTAACGCAGAAGTCAGATGTAGAGTTTTAGAGAGAGGTAAGTCAGGTGATGAGGTTATGAACCTTCATCGACTGAGATGGTCGGGACGCGTTACGTATGCCTAGTTGCCGATCGCCTCGTCACACAATGTTGGCCGAAGTAGGTTCAAGCTGGAAAAGGGGTCGAGATGGTCAGACCAAAACATGGCATCAATGTATGAAGTCTTTGACCGTTGGTTTGAACCATGTGGGGCGATGTAGACTAGCCAGTTGGGGTCCATGGGACAAGAGGAACCAGTGGTTAGAGACTATAGGTGATACGGCTGAGAACTGATGTCAGTGGCGCAGATGTATACACACATTATCCTCATCTTAACGACACTTTACCGAATCTCACCATTTTCTCATTCTTCATTTCTCTCTTTTCGTACTTCATATTTCTCTTGACTTAATTTTCTTATCATCTTCCACCTCACTGGCTTTTACCTGATGCACTGATATGAGGTGTGGCAACTCGGACCGTTACGCAGTAATGTTGATAGTGATGATGATGATGATAAGTGAGCCGGGTTGTACTAAAGACCTCAATGAGTGTGCCTCCCTGCTTATAGCATGTGGTCACTAGGTTATTTTACATTCAGCTTGACGGTGATACAATCAAACCTATAAAATCGTAAGCGTATCACATTATAGGTACTTCGAATTACTAGGGATGGGTAATAGCTAGCAGTAGGATTCAGAATGCACGTTGTCTTGTTTAGGAATCATTAACTGGATCCATCTGTGCCTCAGTGAGTATCCTGACTGAGACTCGAACGCAGCACTTACTGCTTCAAAAGCCAGGGGTTACCCACTAGGTTAATGAGTTAGGATAGCCACTTTTGCCCAGTGAATTTAGTTTAACAGTAAAATTTATCCCTTCCCGCTGTTGACTACTTTTTGAATCGAACTGATTGCCCTCTGTTGGAAATAACAATTCGCAGCATCGTAGTTCAACTTAATCTGCACACTTTAATTCAGTTACGTGATTCTGAGAGGATAAACCTGAATGGTAGTGACCTAGATTCGGGAGGATGCAAAGGGGAAATGAAATACCAAGTAGATATTCCTGAGGAACGTCATCCTTCGTGATGAGTTTCGCTAGCATTCCGCTATGATTTGACGCATAAATTCATACTTTGAAAAGTTTTTATTGACAGTCATGTTTCGTATTTGCATCAAAAAACATGAATGACACCTTTATTTCACGTGATACTATTCTGATTTTCCTTGATTAGTTGGCTACAAACCTCTTAAAACATCTGTTTGCTTTTAAGTATACAATGATTGGCTTTCGCCAATTTTTTTCCAGAACAGCCATCTGCCTTTGTAGGACGCATAAGTGGACCACATCCAATATCCAATATTGATAGTGCGAGCGTAGAAAACTGGTAGTTTTTGATCTCTCGCGTCTAGTTCTTAGGGCTTGGTTCGAGTTGTCCGGTTTACTCCTGCAGTGGACGAGGAAATCCCCTCTGCTTTCTTGCTTTTAGCTTCGGTGAGGTGGATGTTTTGTGGGTTAGTAGGTTGTAATTTGTAGAGTGATTAGGGAGCTACGGGCTGCTGGGAAGTTTAGAGAACTGCCGTGACTCCTGTCTGTGTAGGTACCTTCAGAAACTTGTCACTTGATCTTCTGCTCTTGACCAACGAGTTTAACCGTAAGCTCCAGATGCGTATGTATAACCAGGAAAGATATTTTCTGGGGAATGACCTCCGAGGAGAACCGAGAGCTAAGGCAGTTTGGCAGTTGAAACGCCCAAGAACCACTGACAGGAGGTAGACCGTTTGGTTCAAAGGAATAATAATGCCAATTTTCAACTGTTGAGAAGTGAGCTGACGAATACGCAGGGGTGAGGTGCGTGGACGGACAGAAGTGCTGCAAACGTTCGATCTTTTTAGGTTGAGTATTGTAAGTGGGAGTTTTTCAATGTGGAAAAATCCAAAAGCTGAGAGACAAGCGAAAACACGTCACTATCAAGGAGCGCCTCATGTAGCCACATGACATGAAAATCTATCAAATAACTTACCCACTAATTAATGTTCCGTAAGAATCTGAACCCTGAAGTTATCAGTTTAACTGCCGTAAAAATCTCACGCTTGATAGTCGTCCACAATCCTTCTATTTACTCAGAATGCGTTTTACTTGTTAGTTTTGAAGATTCCTTGACTGTGACCAATAATGCTTGGTAAAGATCTTAACGCCTTTAAACAAAGTCACTTAAATTTGTTAGAAATAGTCATATATAGCTAGCTGATTAACACAGGTTTAGTGAGATTCATAGGTCGAAACTAACTCTTACACTACTTTTCTGAACAAAAGGTCAAAGTCGTGACAAAGCAAGTACTATTGGTTACTGGAAAAATGAATACCACGAAATTTCATGAACTAAGCAGTTGGTCACTCAACAAAAACACTCGAGACTAGACATGTCATCCATGCATTTATTGTTTTCACTATAGTACAGACACGCATAAAGCGAGGTGGAAATATAAACTGGACCCTAACATGACGTACATTTTACCGTTTGAAATTTCCCTTCAAGATATTTTTTCGAACTTGAATGCAGTAATACCTTTACATTCAAAAGTATTTAGGAATGTGCAGAAGGAAAGCCTGGATAATATCATACCACGAGTTCCTTGCATTACTAATTGAATAACTAAAAACTGCCAAGTACCATAACAAAATGCATGCTGCTTAGCAATGATACTTACCTTTGCAAAAGGACGTTGTCTGGTTTTATATCTCTGTGAACATAACCAAGCTGATGAAGAGCGTTGATAGCCAAAACCATCTCAGCGACATAAAACTGAGCAATACTTTCTGGAATCTTGTCATCGAACTTGCTAAGCATAGTCAGCATATCACCACCATTATAGAAATCCATAAGAAAATACTAAATGCTCGTTAGTAAAAGTAGTGTTGAGTTACCAGGAACTTTTCATCCTGAAAAGTGTGATGCAGTTTGGCTATCCATGGAGAATTACTGACCATTGCCTTCACCATAACATCTCGTTCCTCCTGGAAGCATGCTCTCTAAAAATGTTAAAAATGTCCATAGACCTACATCTGAACGTTTTAGCATATCATATTTATGAAGAGATTTTAGAGCGTAAATTTTCCCGTCATCTTTCCACCTAACAACTGAAACATCGCCAAACGCTCCTGACCCAATGAGACGAATGGTCTCAAATTCCGACTTCGAAATCCAGCATTTTTCAATTTTCTCAACATATTTTCTGACTAAAAAATAGTAAGGTGTATGACATCATACCAGAGTTGTAAAATTTTATGCAGTTCCTTTCGTTTTTGTGTTGAGGAAGTCTGCATTCATAAGACAGACAAACGACAGTATCCAACAAGTATTCAACACTGACAGAATTATCATCAAAAAGTGGTGAACTCTTGGTGTAGAGAGACACAAGCTCATTTATCCTATTTTGCAGAGTCCCCATTTATCTTTCGAAGACATAAAATGAATTATATAAATCCAACATTTTACGAAATCTGAAACCAACTGAAATGACAGAGTAAAGCTTGGGGCGGCACGTTCGAAAAAGGATGAATTAACGTTCCCGCCAAATTATCCAATGATCCACTTCAAGGACGTGCATTGAGTTTTGGACAGCCTGCATTCTTGTAACATGCGCTTAATTCTACTTAGCTTCTGCTTCATTACTCTTCACTCTGATGCTCAAATTTAACCATGTGTGGTATGAAAAGTGTTCACGATAAGCTAGCTATGGCAATCATGATCTTCAGTTATTTGTTTAATAGGGTGATCTATCTACCTCATGACGCTTCAGTTGTTCTTTTTAAAGAGCCTAATATTGCGGGCGTTAACTGAGGTCGGTAGTTTGCGTTGAACGTAGTTTTGTTACGTATAATGCTCAAATTTCTTTCACCTAAAAACACTTTTGGCTATATGTTTCAGTCGCTACCCAGAAATTTACAGCAATATTCATTTGTGATTCCGCTCACTCAGATGAGCGTTATCAGAGAATGCATGTGCGAAATGTCGCGAAATTTTCAGCAGTTTTATCCGGTGGGTTTGTCATGAGTTACAATCATAGTTAAGCGATTGGCCTGGAAATCCGATGCGGTTTCCCCGCACAGGTTCAATCCTGCTCGCAACCAGGCGATTTTTATCTCTGTATATGTCATTTTCATCGACTTTAGTAAGGCATTCGACCAAGTACCTCATTTCAGGTTGCTCGAGGAGCTGGAAAGTTTTGGAATCACTGGCAGTCTGCTCGCATGGCTAAGAGACTTCCTTGTTGGTAGGAGACGAAGAGTTGGGATCAATTCTCAACTCTCCGCTTGGAAGTCGGTAGACAGTGGAGTGCCGCAAGGCACAATCCTGAGCCCTCTGCTGTTTCTCCTTTACGAATCTGAGTTACCAAATATCACGAACCCTCCGATGGCTCTCTGCGCTGATGATGTAAAGATCTGGCGGAATTTAGGAACGATGAAGATATATGTGCGCTTCAGGCAGACCCGAACAGCTTGTTTACCTGGTCGCAGAATTGGCTGATGCGTATCAATGCATGCAAATGTGTGGGTATGCACCTAGGGCACACACACAGCAACATCTGTGATATTGGTGGGACTCCTCTTAGGCCAGTACTGGCCCACAATGGCCTGGAAGTCTCAGTGAGTTATGACTTGGAAACCGTGCCGCGCTATCGATTGATGGCAGCTCGGAGCTTTAGGACTCTGTGGGCATTACGTAGAACGTTGGCGAAAATAAGTGGGCACATGTCAACCATCTTGTGCATATCCCTAGTTAGGTCTAAATTAGAAAACTTTACACAGGCGGCTGATCCTTGTCTGAAAAGGTGACGCGGACTTTCTAGATAGAGTTCTGGCTGCAGCCACTCATATGAACCCTGTGGTGGCTGGCCTCACCTGAGAAGATCGACTTAGGGAGCTGAACCTCCTCACTTTGTCCTGTTGCAGACAGAGGGGAGACCTAATCATGCTATACAGGATTTTAAGAAATGACTTTGGACCTGACCTATCTTCTCTTTTCCTTCCCACTAAGTCGGAACACCTTGGGCGACATAGTAGGGGATTACATAAGCAAAGAACGAACATGGTCTCCGAGGAGTACTGGTTCTCGCATCGAGTTATCAAAGCCTGGAACCGACTCCTAGAAGAAGTGGTGTCCGCATCGTCAGCCGACTCGTTCTAAAGGGGACTAGACGAACTCAGATATCTACTCGAAAAGGATTAATATAAGCTCTCAGCCTTCCATCGTCAAACAACAAATCTGAATCTTACTGTTTTGGCCAGTCTGATAGATATGTGGATCAACTGCTGAATAAAAAAGACCTTAAATTTCTTAACATTCAAATACAGTTAAACCTCTGTCACCTATAATATCAGTTTACTGTGTTGTTATTTGTAGTCTCCCCTGGCAAGTACTCCACAGAGGTAGTGAATCCACCGCTCGCCATCTACCAACTCGCACTCTGAGATAATGTAGACAAAAATGATACTCCAGGAATGGCGTATTTTCGCGGCGCTGTCAGGGTAAAATGCACAGAAAACGTCAGTTATCAGAAGCGTCATCTTAGCGTTCCACAGAGAAGTTAAATGAATGCGTTAAACAGAGGTCTGGGAGGGGAGTCCACAAAGTCAACCTGCCATGTTGGGTTCGTGAAATATTTCCTGATACATCGGCCAAATTCGTCTACTTACTCCTCATGGGTGATTTCAGTGGTCGTCAGTCATTGAGACGTGCAGCAGAACTTTTCTTTTCGCCATAAAAATTTTTCGTAGACCATTCCTTCATTGGACTGTCAAGGTTGAAGATGTAACTCTACCATTAGAAATAAGCTCACTGGTGTGTAAGGCTAAATAGGGCATAATGCACTTGTTCTGAGTAACTAAAAGGCTGATATTTCACCATTTCAGGTTCCAAATATTCTAACACTAAACGATCACTAGTCATGAAGGATTGGAAAACTGACTTTAGAGGGGTCACATGAAACCTGTAACGCATTACTGGGCCTAACCGTCTTGAGCCACCTGATGGAGACACGACCAGGAAATTGTTGGGGGACATTATCCTTAAGCTGGTGATAAGACCATAGTATTGGTTTTCTCAGGAAGTAGCAAGATGTTTCATCATTCTTGTCTAAAATATCACTTGGCATCCGAGAACTTAGCGGCTTTGAGATTCACTATGTTTGCACTTAGGATGATGAAAGCCAGCCAGAGAATTCCATCATAATATGTGTCACGTCAGAGAGACGCTACAGTGGGGTGGAATTAGCGTCACTGAAGGGTTAAGGTTGCAGAATCAAAGCTTATCATGACTAGGACTGCTCATATCCTAATAAGCATTCAGAACACAGTAGCGTTAGTTCAGAATCTCCTAGACTGTTCATGTATTCGACGTCTGTCATTTATTTAGCCCTCCGGCTATCCATTCCTAAAAAGTAGTTTTCCATCTGACTGGAATCAGAATGTTATTTTTATACTTAATTAATAGGAGGCCAACTGACTCCATTAAACCATATGGATAAATATTTTCTGTCTTTAGAATTTTTCACGTGCCCTGATATCTATAAAACTCCACTTATCCTGCCTAGATGTAAATTTGGCTTAAAAGCACTAGCCATTTACACAAGATCAATAAGTATTACGCCTACAGCTTCTGGAATTATGGAGAAAGCTATTAAGGAAAGCGTTCTTCAGCATATGCTTAGTAGCAACATCGGTACATCGAGCCAGCGTTGGTTCCTAAAATCGAGGTCCTGCATGAGTTGCCATCTTGGTTTCTTTAACTTCATAACCGTTATACGAGACCAACACCAATTAGTTCTTATGCTCTATCTAGACGTTTAGAGGCATTTGACCCAGTTGATCATTTACGGTTAATAAGTAAGCTGAGGCCCGTGAAAATTAACCATCCACTATTGGGATGGATTAAGTCTTTCCTCAGTAATCACACTCAAGGGGTGAAGGTGGACGCACGCATTTCAAAAACCTGGTCCAATCACCTCTGGTATTGTGCAAGGTAGTGTATTAGCTCCCCTTCTGTTTACCTTGTACGTAGATGGCATTTACTGATGCTCTTCGTTCAGTAAACCATTCTTGTTTGCTGATGACCTAAAAGGTTGCGTACACATTCACCCTGGATGATTTATCCCACTTCCGAGCATCAATACCAAGGGAGCTCGATATAATATCCTCATGGTCTACTGCTTGGAAGCCATAGATCAGTACTAGCAAATGTGGCAGGACATGTTTTAGTGCCCGTCAATGGACATGCAACTGCATCTTCAGTCTAGGAAACTACTTGTTCCCAAAAGCGCGTGTTCCTACGGTCTAAAACCTTCACGGGACCTCACTTTTTCTGGACAGACGACATCACAGACAAATCTAGGATCTTAACGGGCTGCACAGTCGGGAACTTTCGTCTCAAAGATGTCAAGTTACTGTTCTATAAAACGTGCGGACATCCAATATTGGAATACTGTCCATTTATACTGAGTGGTATCCATATTAGAGACAAACTAAAAATGTAGGGTGCCCAAAGGTACTTTACAGCTAGGTTACTAGGATACGATTGCAAACGGACTACAATTCGAGATGCGGAACCCCATGTCTGGAACCACTTTGGATGAGACAGCTCAAAGTAACCTGATACTTCCCTAATGTGTTACACAAATTCTCTTTTACAAACAGTGGTGAATTTCAGTTTGAACAAATCATTTGTTACGATTTGCGCAACCACTCTCACGGCATCACAATGAATCCGTTTAAACCCTACCTGCGCGCAACTTTCTTCGTCATCAAATTCTCTTAGTTGTGGAACGACTTCCTGCTAAAGTGAAGGCCGCCAAATCAGTGTGAATTTAGTAGGTTTCTAGTCAACTTCCTATCGTCTGGCAACTTACCGGGCTTACTGAGCACACCAACACCATCCTCCATGACATTTCGTACACCAAGCCGTCTTAATGTATGGTGAGACATCCACCACACCTACACTGGCCCTTCATATGAAGCGTTGGAGAAACTTCCATAAGTTAAGACCCCAAACCAACGGCGTATTCCGCCTTGCCAGACATAGTAGTCAAAAATAGAAGTTCCACACTACATGATAGCATGAAATTTATGCTATTAAGTATTCAACAGTTATAGCAAATACAATGAACGCCATGGCTATGTAGGGAGAGGCATGAACATAGGAAACACACTTCTTGTTGTAATTCTTGCTCCCTTCTCTGCCTGATGCTTTGTCCCTGTTTTTTCTCATTGTAGAAAGGCTATTCGCTTCTTAATGTTGCCCCGGTCGTCATCAAAAATTGATTATTTAAGGAACAGGTCTTTGTTGAAACTACCCTCAATGGAGAGTTGCAAGTGTTATTGCGTTCACAGTGCAAACAGAAACAAAGAGCGTTCATTGGACTATACCTTCATAGTTGTCAAAACCTAGGATTTA